GTCAGAACCAGCTGTTTATGGCTAAGTAAGTCGGGAAAATCTACTGTCGTTTACAATATTCACATCGTGTATTTCCAAAATAATTGGTTCTTTTGGTCTTTTGCACCCGCTTACGACTGTACCAAAGCAAAAAAAAAACACTTGAAGGAATGCTGTAAAAAACAATGATCAAACTGATCTTAATCAATTTTACAGCATGGTGCAAGAGCGTCATTATCGTGCCAAGTAAAATGCATAGCCTAAGGTTTAAAATATCATCTGACACGTCAACACGGAGTATTCAAATTTATCTTTCGATTCAATACCTATGCTAGTTATCGCTTTTTTTCTTCCCCAGCCATTTAATAAAACGATTTGATAAGCTATGAAAAAAGCGTTTTCTTTCAAACGGTCTCGGCTATCTTGTGCCTATAACCAGATCATTCTTTCCATTCCACCCATCAAAATTTCACCATTGAAGACTTTATTTCTTGTTAACATAGCATCATCGAAACGCAAGGGAGGTTGGGAGAATTCATAAAATATTTCATCTTGATATTCCAAGCAACTATTCAAGAGGATATGAGAGAGATTAAAAAATAACCCTCAGGTATAAACTACCCAAGAGGGTATAGAAGAGATTAACAATTAATCCTCAGGTATACACTACCCAGGAGGGCACGAAAAATTGAATTCCCACTAATTTATATCAGGAGACCGCTCTTTGTCTGGACTCTTTCTTTTGACTGAAAGTTAAGGCATCCACCATTAACTTATATAATTATTATCCTTTACTAGTTCCTGGGTGTCTTTGTCAAGCTCGGCTATTCTTGACAGACATCATTGCGGAGTGGAGTGATAAAAAGGTATGTTTAGCAACAATGAATTAAACGGCGAGGAATTCTTAAACTGAATCAATCTGTTCTTTATCTAGATTTATAATTTTGATAAAAAGGTATATTTTGCGACATTGAATGAAACGACGAGGAACCGTGAAACTGAATCAATCTGTTCTTCATGATGTAGATTTATAATTTCAAAACTATGCGCAGCGAGTTCTTTGAAACACAGAACTATTGACATCGATGACTGATGCCATATTTGTCATGGGATCGATGAAAAGCATGAATACTCTGCTATGTTTTATTTTCTCTTTTCCTAACTGGGGTGGAATTCATCAGTTAACTGTCTGCAGGGTTTTGGCGTCCGTTTAGAGAATAGCATTCTACAACTGAGGCCGATAAAAGTCGAGGAAGCAGGGAGTTAATTAAAAGGGAAATAAAAGATAGACCCATCAAAAGCTGAACTGTCGCTGACGGCATCATTTCAAAACATCTTTGTCCAAAATTCTGTTAACCACAATTATTTCTTTCAATGTAGCGTGTTTATAAACTGAGCACGAATGCAACACCCATTTCTTTTTGTGCAAGATTGTTCAAGCGAAACGTCTGAATAAGTTTTATTCCACGAACTTAATTCGTTTTTTTTCGTGAAAGAGATCTTACGTGGTCTTTGTGTATTTCTCCGTTGACATCTTGTCAAAACAACTTCAGAAGTTAAGCAACTATGCTATTATGTCCCTGAAACCCTTCATAATATTTTTGAAAGGTTTTGCACTAAACGTCAACACAACAATCGTGAATTATAGCTACCATTTCAATTTTAAAACCGCAAAAATTGTTTTACTGTGGTTAACTGTTTCGAAATCATTTTGCAACTTAACAAAACTTAAAACTACATTTGTAAACAAGTTAAAACATATCTCTTCCCTTTTTAATCTATTTGTATATTTTCATTACCTCTATTATTTTCAAGTATTTTAAAACTAAAGAACCGACACGTTACCAGAGTTCAGTTTGAATGAGAGAGACCAATAGAAGCCAGCGGTAGTATCGTTGTCTTTCCGGTTGGATTTCGTTTGGGGTCACAGGATGTTCCAATACCGAAATGTTTAAGTCTAACCAGTCACTATTTACTTAACATTTCTATAGAATAACCACAACATGAGTAGAACTTCAGTTGTACTTACTCAGCGCAGAGTGTAAAAACAGGGCTGTGAACATTTTACCGCATTAAAGCCCTTTTATCGCCCAATTCCTCAAGCTTATGAAATACAGGAGTTGCCTTCAGCAGATGCCAGTATGCGTATGTTATATAGCTCTTGACCTAATAGGAACTTGAACGCCAACGCGACAGATTGTGTAATGTATTAAAACTCTTTTGAATTAGGTGATATGACACATGGTAATACTTGATCGCTTCTCACTGACATAAGTCACCACAAGTTTTTTTTTCTTTATAGAAGGACCAATGAAGCTAAAGGCTTTTTCTACCAGGTGCAGAGTAATTTTTCGCTTCAGCAAAACAGGATATTCACTATAATAAGTTATTATTGAAATAGCTATATTAGTTTACATTTTCTTATGACGCAAGTAATCATAAGTTGATAAATACGTTTTCAATAAAACTAGTTCAAGAATCATGTTTAAAGTTAGAAGTTTTATGTCAATCAGTATTTTTCCCACCGGAAGCTTTATCGAGTACCCCATGTGTTCAACGGCACGGATGGAAGAAATTACCATCTATCCATTAGAGAAATGAAATGGAGGGGGTTGTAATAACCTTTTATTAATTCTGACTTCAAAACAACGCAGCATCGTTACAAAGAAAATAAGTTTTTGACCTTTTACCAGTCAACGTTTTGATGATTGATCTAACTACTTATCTCACTACTCATCGGATCTAAATTGTTGGCAAACACGCTTTTTCTGATTAACACCTTTTCAGTGCAACTGAGCATCAGCTGACTAGAGAATTGGCTGGTGACGGTATTTTAAGTTCCAAAATAATCAAGGATTACCGCTAACTCGCCACACAAGCACGTTTATTTCGATCAATGTCAATAGATCTGAAGAGATTTTTTTTTTCCTTTTGGCATCGATTAAAATTAGTCTAATACAATGTTAATCTGGTATTGTGTTCCTGTGATCCTTGTCAGTGCTGTTAAAGCTGTTTCGCAGACTGTCAAAACATTGTGAATCATATAGAAATGAAAATAATATCTTGAAATACCCCAAACTACTCCTCCTCCATTATTCTTATCGTCTCTTACAGTGTCTATCTCATGGAAACTTTGACGGGACAGGCATAAGAGGGGGTAGAGTGAGTCTACGCTTGAGACCAGCAATATGCCTAAATACTGTATACATAACTTTATGTCAGTTAGAATTTCCGGATAGCATGGTGGTGTTAGTTTATCCGTGGAAAGAAACTCTGTAAGTCAGAAATCAAGCAAGGATGACGAAGGACTAACGCTCGAAACTGCAGCTTTGAAATCCTTTACGGTATCAACTCAGTTGATGATACTAAATTATCTGTTTTCTAGCTTAATCTTTGAAAAAGTGTTTTAGTTCCCTTTACATATCGTTTTATTCTCTCTTAGCCTTATAGTTATTTCTTTTTTATTCTTCTTCTGAGAATCACGAGACAATAATCTCCAGCCGTTGTAACAGGTCATGCTGTCTCCTACTTGTTTTAAAGAAGAAACAGGCAAAAAAAAAAAAAAAATGAAAATATGACCTAGAACACTTGAAAAAATATAAAACGATCGATTAATTATCCAGGAAATGTTTCTGTTTTCTATTGATTATTTCCTGCGTTTTTCCTCTCCAAGAGGATTGTACTTTTATAATGATAATCACTGTGACTGTCTCGGGAATGATGTAATCAGAAAAAGATGTTATTAAATATGCCATGACACCTACTTAGTAGCCTTTTTATAAAGCTTAACAAAAAGCAATATTTCAGTAAAAAGATGGCTGGTCAACCGAGTGGGTAAGATGCACATAATTCACACAGAAATGATTATTATTCTCGTGTAAGTAAAATTCTCTGAAAAATATAATCCCCACGTAATGAATCTTTCATCAAGTAGTTGAAGGTTGTTTGGTCAAGATGGCCGATTGTGATCGGCCTCTTTCTTTTGTTTTTGTTCTCGTTGTTGTTGTCATCACTTTTGTTTAGGCTGTTATATGGAACGAGTAAAGGTACTTAATAACTAATGTAATTGCTTGCTCAAATTTGTCCGTAGTCGCTTCTTCACCAGACGATTCTGCACCTACAGGGCTGGTCTCTAAATTTGCCACGCGCATGTTGGACAGCTGAATATCCAATGATATCAAAATTTTGGGTGGGAAGTAAGGTCAGTAACTTCACAGCCTTTAGTTAGTGTAGATGCATTGGTCGATGCTGCGCTCGTCCTTCATTATAAGATCCTCCCAGACTTGGACAAGCACAAAATGGAGGGGGAGGGGAGGAGGGAGTGGAGTGAGACAATGCGCTCGAGACCAGTAAAGTAAGTCCAATTCAATAAAAACACTAATTCAATTCGATAATCATTTTACAATAAATAAAAACTTATCGATTATATTTGCTATTTGTCGCTTAACAATAAAATGACCAGTAATATTCACAGCAAGAATTCTGAAAGTCTTAAATATAAGTATATATATATCTATATATATATATATATATATATATATATATATCTATATATATATATATATATATATATATATATATATATATATATATATATTTAAAGTCATCGTGAGCTCAAACATAATCATATAAATCGTTCCATCTTTTTGCGGCAGAATATAACGGGTGGATTACACAACAACAATAATTAACTTTCTTAGTGTTACTAAGTTTTAAACGATATAATGGACTTTATATTTATTTACCGTTAAATACGAGACAGTCAGTGGGCTCCAGAGAAAAGTTGTATACAAGTTCTTCTTCTGAGATCAGCGATAAAAAAAAATAAAAATAAAAAAATAATAAAAAAAAAATTGAAAAGAAAAATTGACAAAAAAATGATTATTTGAGTTTTCTTCTTTCTTTGTTTATTCGCCACAATGCTAAGGATTTCCTGCTATTCCTTTGTGTACGCGAGATTTTACCTTAATTTTCGATTGAGTTTTTAATTTTCCTTCCCCTTTTCTTTTTACTCTCTCTACCTAGTGGTTATAAGCTTCCGCTATTTTTAATAAATAATCAAATTCTTCGTCATCTGTTGAGAATCCTAAAACAATGCTCTCCAGCCGTTGTAACAGGTCGTGCTCTCTCTTATGTAATTTACGGAGACAATACTCGACGACATCTTCTTGAAATCTTACTTTCTTTTTTGCTCTACGTTTGCTGCAGTAGTCATTGCTTTCACCTTTCAAATATTTTAACATTTTGCTTCTCTTGTCGAAAAATGATTGTATCCTTATGCTGCATTGCTGTTTATCTATTGCTTCTCTAGATCTTTTCTTTCTCCAAGCTATGATAGCTTGGCTTATTAAATCAAAGTTGAGATTGGAACTGTTCTTAGGGTCAAGGCCAACGTTTTCTGATTCTTTGTCCTTCACTTCTGCTGACGTTTTGGACGTTCTCGACTGTTTCAATGAATTACTGATTGCATCGAAAAATTCTTTTTTTTCTTTTGAGCTCGAGCAACGGTTCTCATCAATAAGTTTATACAGCTCACTTTCGTTCGCGTTGTTCTTGGCATCCAAAAGAGAATCATTGATTATGCCGATGAAGAAGTTCACACAGAGAATAGTGAGAGTGAAGAGAATTAGGAAGGCGAATATTTTGGCGAGTATCGTGTAGGCCTCTGCTAATTCATCGATTGGTCTCGCTTTTACTCGGCCAAGAGTTAGCTCGAGTTGGAAATAAGCTCCTTTCAGCACCGAAGAGTAGCGCTCAGATACAGAGCCAAACATCAAGACACCGAAAAGCAAAAATGCCACAAAGAAAATGGATAAAATAATGCTAAAGGATGACAAATATCGTGCAGATATCTTCAATGTTTTGGAGAATAGAGCAACATAGTTGTTGAAGCGAATGATTCGCAACAGCTTGGTGGTGACAATGAAAGTAAGAATTCCAAGTACGACATTTTCCACTTCTTGCCTAATGATAGCTTCTTGGAAACTTAGATTTGCGTAAATATTTTTATGCAGTTTGCCCATGGTTGAACTGACTTCACTTTGTCGTATTATGTGTATCACTACGGCAATCAGAGAAAGAACAATTTGAAACATCTCAACCCAATTCCAGATAGACTTGAAATATCGAGAACGATGACCGTAAAGTTTGAACATTTCCCTTCCAAAATACAGAAAAACCAATACAATGTACAGGAACAAACAAATCAAGTAAAACTGATGCGAGGGTGTGCCTGTAGAATCAAGTGAAAGAACACGAATTTGCATGGAGGCTGCTCTCAGTCCAGATGCATCAACTTCGTAGAAGTATGTGGCAACACTTAAAATATTCACCGACGGATTGAATGTGGAAAACTCTGCCAGGACAACTCTGGTTTGCCTGTCAAGCCAACCGTTGTTTTGTAAACTTTTTACTTTACTGAACCCCGTATGGTTATCATACCCGAGGTCTGCTACAAATCCTCCTCCATCATAAAAGGAGAACTGTCCCCACCTGGGTCTAGTGTCAATTTTCTCGGCATGCTGATATCGCCATGGCTTTGGACAAAGTTGTAATAACTGGTCATTCCTCGTAGTATTGTCAACAGGCCTCCAGCGTGGTTTGCTGTAGGCGGTCTTGTCTTCGTTCTTTGTAGAGTATCCATTGAAACATTCTTGGGACATTGTTTTCATATAGTTTTGGACTTCACATTGTGCTGAAAGTTGGAAAACAACGGATTATAATTAGGAAGGTTGTTCTGGTATTCATTTCACTTACCGACTTGTCACATTTCGCACTTTGAAATAGACATGGACATTTTTGTTATGGAGAACTGAAGGTGTTTTAAAAGCCTTCTAAGCAGCATTTGCCTAAGGAGCAAAGGAATGCCGTTATCAAAAGCTAAATGTAATAAACGTCCATAAAAAAACGTAGCTATATAAACACTCGTCTAGATTATTATTAGAATGGCCAGCAGTTGAGAAATTTGTTATCGGCGCATGTCAATCTTTTTCTACCAGAACTTGAATAAACTGTTATTTCAATCCATATTTCACTCCATAAGTTTGGACACTAATCACTCCTCTATGAAACTCAATTAGATATGAACAATTATAAAAGGTGAAATGACGTGTTTGGGTAAATAGCCTTTTCACTTAAATGCAAAAAGTAATAAAAATGGAAAAAACACCTACTCGCTTTCACTCTGAGTTGTCTTAGTCGAGCCATTCCAACGAGAAGAGAGTGTTTATTACCAATATAAATTGCTTGATTTTCTTTTTGACCGTTGTACCATTTGCCGGAAAACACTCCCGGGATGAAAACACGCTGTAACCAGCTCCAGTACATTGTATTGTTTGTCACCTGAATTGATTCAAGATAATTAGGTTAAATAAATAAATAAATAAATAAACAAATAAATAAATAAATATATACATATATATATACATATATATTTATATACGTATCGTTTTCTTGTTTATGACAGCGTGCTAAATTTATATAAATTTACAAATATATAAATAAATATATATATATATATATATATATATATATATTTTTTTTTTTTTTAAATGATAGACAATTAGATGGTTTGACTCACACAAGCTAGTTTCTATTTTTGGGCGTGTTTTAGACTATTATTCTCACGTGCTTATTTATTTGTCTATGATGGTAGCCACTTTCTGGTTCTCCTCCTATGGCAGAATTGAATGCCAATCTGTATGATTCGTTGCACTTACATACAGTTTATAGCGCTGCTGACAATATAGCTAGGGTGCAGTTTCCCACGCCATGTGCATTGCTTGAGCATTACCTGGAGTTTTTTTTGCCGTTTTTGTTCGTTTTAGCGAAGTATTTTAGGCTGTGTGAGAGGCAATAATTTCGAATCGTCGCCGGAAAGATCCTCATTTGTCATTCTTTGTGATTATCTGGTATGAGAATACAAGGAATCTGGACACATTGAAGTTGGTGTGTCGTATACATAATCTACATAATCTCTTCATGGGATTACACTACTATCGCTTGGAATTTCTTTCTCTTCCTAAGTTTGGGCCCCGTACACTAACATATCTCTTTTACACTATTTCTAAAGGGATTTTCCTGCTTAAAATATCCGTTACAAGAGCAAAAAAATGCCTTAGTCAATCCCTGAACGTCTGTAAAGAGGAAAAAAAAATTCCAGCTCTTAAGGAGGCTGGCAAAGTAAAATTTTCTTACATATACTTGATTTTTAACCTCCAGAGAAAGAAAAGTCATAAGATAAATTAAACACGCGAATCTCAGCAATGGATTTATCATAATCAAATAATGTTTAGTCACCTTGCCGAAGTTTGGCAGTCCATCTCGGATTGATTTTGTCATCAAGTAACGATGGTCATTTCTGTTTCCATAGCACACTGCCATAAGCAAGAAAACGAAGACCAAGTACAAACACAACTCTATAAAATAGCGTGTCAGGTTCTGTTTCTTAGCTTGTCGTCTCCTCATCTCTTCCACCTCTGATAATTGCAGTGCCCAAAAATGTTTCTTATAGTACCCAGTTTTAACTTGCTTAGGGCTTTCGCGAGCATGTACTTTTAATTTTTTCGCATTTATCTTAAAAATTGTCGCAAATGTTAAAGCCGTCAAGAACACCTTTATTGGTTCCTTGATTGTTACGTCCTGCGCGAATGAGATAAGCATCGAAGACAGCCACTGCTCACTGACACTCTTTTCCCAAATTAGACTGTAGAAAATTGAAAACGCAGCCGAGACACTACAAGAAAATAACAACAAACACCAAGCAATGGCAGTGATCAGGGTACCTTTAAGACAATAGTCATTGTTCGTCGCAGGCTTTTCAGCTCCTTTCTGAAACAGAAAAACTATGACAATGTTTATGGGTGTTACAACAAGCGCGCTTTCAATTCCAGTCACCACTTGTCTCCACGACATTTTCAGCGGTCCAACTTGGATAGGCTGTTCATATTTGCCCTCTAACTTATAGAACATCGCGTTAGCAAACATAGATGTCAAAAGCACTGAGAGGCAGCAAGAAAGCCGCTGTACTCTTGTAAAGCGGCTTTTTCTTAGCTTGGCTGCTACTGAAATCCAAATATGCCACTCTGCGAGGCCTCTTCGCCAACGTTTTGCAACTTCATCGCCAAAATCCATATGATTTGAGGTCTTGTCGATTATCCGCTCGATGCACCCATCTCCGCGCTCAAGAGCAAACCACTGATAAGCCATGAATTTCCTCGACTGCTTAGACTGTACGTCCCGAATCAGAATTTCCTCTAGGTACCACGAGGGACTATCTCCAAAATTATCATGTCCAATCTGCACTCCTTGGATTGAACCAAGTGATTTGTTAACATATAGTACAAAAACATCTGAATTACCTCTAGAAAATAACGTATTAACTGCACCAGGCTCTTCTTGGCTAAGCTGAAGAGCGCCACTCTTTCCATCAGAACCGTAAATCTCCAAAGCAACATGAGCAGTCGTGCCTGAGCTTTTCCAAGCTCCTGTAGTAATCTCTATAACATATTCATAGGTGCTGCTTGAAGATGATGGAAGTTGGATCGGTAATTCCCTCTAGAAAATCATGATAAGGAATGAATAACTAACACGGCTAGCTGATTTTTATTTTTAATTCGCTTTTTTGTCCAAGTCCCAACAAAAAAAAAAAAACAAATTTGGTCAACCCTAAAAAAACAGTTTAATTAAATTGACTGTCCCTTCACTTTTAAAGTTCAAGATTTTTAAAATATATTCAACGCGTTTAAAAGTTAAAAATCTCAACTCAACAAACAATGAAAACGAATAATGCTGTCAACATTCAACCTTTTTTTTTTCCTTAACCCCATAACTCCCACAGGTGATAAACATGTATATTCTCCCAAAAATATCCGTACATTATTCAGGTAACAGGTCACGAGAATATTCAAACCTGTAAGGTAGAAGTTGTTATCTTGATCTATCAGCAAATTGTCGTAACTTATTTACAAAAAAATGTATAGCAGTCGGAGGGGAGAATTAACAATCAGATCATGGGAGTGAAAGGGTTATACTGGAGAGCATGCTCCGTTAAAGCAACGTTCATGAGCAAAATCTGGTTCGACACTTACACTTTTCGCATCTTCCTTGTCGAATTTCCTTACGATAACGAGTACAATCATATAACACGATAAAACCACCGCAATAGCTACAATTACTGCAATATTTCCGGTTTCTGATAACTGCTGGAACTCGACTAAAACCTTGTCGAAGTCAATAGGATTCGGTTCAACTAAAAGACTTGCACCAAATGATGTCAAGTGGCTACAGCTACAGTTTAAAAATCCATCGAATTCTGCTAAAACCTGAAATTAACAAATGTAAGGAATGTTAAAATTTTGGCTGTCACCATTAACTTAATCAAACTGTATATTTTCTGTCTTAAGGCGCTGCTATGTCCTGGTTGGTTATCAAATTGATTCGACTTTTGTCTGAAAATGTTCTCTGATCAAATATTAGCCTGAATTCAAAGATAAGCTGAAGGAGTGAAGATTATTACAATACCACAGCACTTTTGCAAACAATACTCAGGAAAGCTCAAATTATCTCAACTGTATTGAATACAATTATACAAAAAAGGATTGTGCTTAAAATCGTTATGTAATTTTTCACTTACTCGACAACCAGATGATATCCACTTGTCAATTTTTTCTGACCGGTAAACACAACTACCTAAGGCCACCTTTAGAGTGTAGTTCTGGTCTCTTGTGGAATCATAAATTGGTATCACAAAGATATTTTCACTCTGGGGTGGGGTGGGTGGTGCATCTTTGACTTCGACACAGGAGCGCTTCCTTCGCCTTCCGCCAAAACAAGATCTTTTCCCCCTTTTGTGAGATAAGTTCACTGTGGCATTGTAATGTTTTAAGCCGAGAAAGTATTTCCCAGGACGCTCAGCCAGAAATTGTATCGGTTCATGTGGATTCAAGGAGCAGACCGTTTGCCCTTCACTTTTGTCATGAGCACTTAGCACCCAAACACACTTTTCGCCATGAGAGATAGTGGCATTAAGGTCGTAGTCTTGAGTTGTCGGCCGCTGACCAAAACGCATATAGACAAACATATGTGCGGTTGGATCTTGAGGTTTGATTTCCAGCATCAGCCATGTGTTTTCAAATCTAACTTCTATCACATGAAAAAGTAAATTGTCATCCCTTGTGAAATATTTTTTTATTTTTGTAAAGTTTTCATCAGGTTTCAAAGGTGTAACGATGACGATGTCTTCAGAGAGATTTGATACTTTAATCAGCTCTCTTTTGTTGTTTTTCAGCTTCAGGGTTACAACATCAGAGGCAACTCGCTCCTTTGTGCCGTCCCAAGTGTAAGGATTAAAAGAGATTGACAGCATCTAAAAGAAGAATGATTAACAATTTTGCCTGCTTGTTTGTTTTTGGAGACTGCTATAGTTATACGTGTAAACAACGAATGTGCTGTCAGTATAAATCATAAGTTACCATAAGTTGAGGGCAAAATGGAAATAACAATATATTTGGAAATGTAAGAAAAATGAAATGAAACTCGTATGGTCACTTATTATGGATTATTTTCATAGCCAGCTTTTTGAAACTCCAATGAAAAACGACAAAAATGGCTTATAAGAGATCTGATCCTGTTATTTACTCGATTTTAAAGTTTAGTGAAGGCTATCTTAAGAGAATCAAGATTGATTCGGTTTCTTTTGCTGTCCCAAGTACCAGAGTTGAACATATCAAAATCAAAACAAGATATAAGATTGCTGCAGGTAAGAAGCAACCTTTATGGTACCTAATGTGCTACTTTAACTTGACTGGGGTCTGTATCTGCCCCCCCCCCCCCAAAAAAAAAAAAAAAAAAAAATTAATTGAAATGTGCCTGTGGGGCAGGAGTACCTACCTGAACATCTACAAAACTTGTTTTGTTTACTCCAGAGAGCAACAACTGGCTCTTAGACGGTAAGATAAACCGGCCTTTTCCTGCTTTAATTTCCAGTCCTGAAAGTCTCTGCAGGCTAAATCTTCCGAGCGTCATGGATAGTTGTCCTGCTGTGAATGGTATCATTCTTTCATCAGGTACTGTCAAGGCTAACAATGAGTCTGCAACTTTCTCTAGGGCTTTCATTGAAATCTTCACCAATAGTTTACCCTGTGAAAATTGCAAAAATAAACATAGAATATTTATTTTAAAAAATTATGAATTTTCGCAAGCGTGAAACAAACAACTAGGTCCAAAATCTGGATGACGGGAATAACGGTGAAGTTAACAGCAATCTGCAGTATACCATTCTTTAATAAAGTTAGTCTAATATTATGCTTGCATGTATAAATAAGTTTTGAGGAGTCTGTCTGGTGTAAATTTTTCGACACACCCTAAATGTACATTACAGTACCTGTTGTTGAAAACTTGACTTAGAGTCTTCGGATGCAGTCACTGCTGCTGCCTTCAACACGCTGTTAAGACATGAGGCCAAGTTTTCTGCTGATTGCATTGTCAATGGTGTGTCTGCTACAAGTTGTTTCTGGGCGATAGACCATAGGAGTGACGTCATCGAACTAATAGCAAATAAGGAGATATTCTGTGGAGTGCAAATGGATATAAATTAAGATAAAAATGCTTACTTTCCGACTTCTTTCCATTGGCTTTGTAGAAATAGTTTGTGGCGAATTAGCTAAATTAAGTTCAAACTTATAGATTGCTTCATTTGATAACGCAACAGTTGCTTATTTTTCATGCCTGTTTGTTTTCATTTCCTTTGTTATTGTTGTTGTTTCTTGAGCCTTTCTGGCTAAATAGTGTCAATCAATATGACATAATTAACTTACCAGAGACTGATGGGGCACTTTTTCCAAAACCTGAAGAGCAGAACCGATAGCTGAAGATTTGTGAAGCAGGTCGGAGACAGTTTTTGCTCCCAAGGGCGAAACTTTTTCAAGGATGTAGTTCATAACCTTGATCAACGATAAACATATCAGCTTAGTGTTCATTAAGCATTAAAGAATTAGCCAGATAGACTGTATCTCGCATGTCAGGCTCGTTTCAAAGATAATAGATCTAAATAGGAGACTCAAAGTATCAGGTTTCCCAATGTCAGTTAAATGCCATCAAAATGACATATTTATAAGCGCATGATTGATGCAAATGAATCAAAACACCGAAAATGTTTAAGCTGAAATAAAGGAAAGTCTGGTGAGTTGAGCCCATGAAATAAATTGCTAGCCTCATTTTCAAGACGCTGTAAATATTCATTTGAAATTTAATTTAAGGTTCCTGAGCGTTCTTCACTTATAGCAACGTAAGACAAAATTGTATGCTAACACGCTCAACCCGCGAGAATAATGGAATTTGAACATGTAACGTGGAAGCCACGACTCTCGCACAGCAAAAATATCAGATATTTAACAGACAAGCTTCAATCTTTCTCAAAAATATGTTCATATATTTAAAGTATTATATTCGTCTGTTCCTCGACAGTTGAGTTTACCATCATCATTATGATTATTATGATTATGATTATCATCATCATTTAAATACAAATGCTTTATTGCTTTTTATTTATTTATTATTAATTTTTTTTTTTTATGTTTGGCTCCTAATAAACTCTTTGTTTTTCGGATACGATCATAATGAGCTAGTTTTATTTCACTTTTTAAATAACAAGTTGGATTTTAGAAATACCTTGTATCTCTCCTGCAAATTCATTGAGGTTTCTTGTGAAACTGATAGCATGACCGAGTTTGCTATTAGCGCCGCTTCTCTCAGGTTTCCGATTTCGATAGATTTCTGAAATAAACTGTCCTTTGCTAGTAGAAGGTTTGTGATAAAATCGGTGCTTACATTCTGATATGGCTTGATCTGCAAAAGTCAAAAGCAGGCGTCCATAACTAATCTATTATTAATAGGGACCAAAATAAATTGAAATATCCTCACATCCTTTCATGCTAGATATTAAATTAATGGTTAGCAACTTACCTGAACTGCCGAAGAGACTGGGGAAGCAGAAATTCCAAAGTTGTCAGTCACTGTAGCGATAACTTTGACAACAAAACTATATGCATTGTTCCCAGGCGGTATCCAAGAGGTATTTATATTGTTGTTAACGCCACGATATAAAACATTGTACAGATCGTTCTTTAGCCTGTATTGAAACTGGTAGGACAGAGGGTTGTTTTCACTTTTCCAATGGCTACAGCTCAGACTGAAATCAGTCTTCAGTGAGATGCCGCTTGGCGGAGTAATCGAGCAGTTCCCCCCTGTAGGGGGTATTGCTGTAGAAAATTCGTAAGCATTCATTACCCTTAAACCGTCCGTAATTGTTACGAATAGTGCCAACCGGTACTTATTTCCACCAGCAAGGGAACCCCCTTTGATAACAATGTCACTTGAATTCAGCGGTGTACTTGTGATAAGTCTTAGATTATGTTTCCTTTGCCAAGTAAAGGAGGTGTTTCGCTTGAACTGCTGGTAGAGCACCCACTTATAGGAAGATATTTTAGAGCACTGTAATCCGCGACATTGTGATTCGATACTAAGTTTTACCAAGGGACTCACTTTAGCTTGACAGTTAAAGAAACACCTAAAATGAAGCGAAAAATATTAGACGAACGCTCAATGGAGAAGAGGTTTTGAACTTTCTTTGTCTGATGAGATCATGTAATTAAGAAGAACAACTACAGCAGTAGCTGCAATTTAACATTGATATGAACATCTGCTAATGAAGTAGCTACAACAACAATAATAAACAAAACGACAATATCAACAACAACATCATTATCAGCAACAACAAATTATATGAAACGACGGCAACAGAAACGACGAAAAATAACGAAACCAGAGACAAAACAGCTAGAATTGGAAGACAGAAGCATCAGTAGCGAAAAAAAAGAGAAATAGTACGAAGTCAAGAACAAATAAAGATATTAACAACGGCAACGAAAACATCAGTAAAAACAAACCAAACAAACAAAATAATAACAGAAAAAACGAGGTAGATCTCTAACCTTTGATATATTTCTGGGGGGTCCCCTTCTATCAGATGGATAACTTGATAAACAGTGGAAATGCGAATATCCTTGGTCACCACTAGTTTAACTATGTAGGTCTGATTAACAGACATAGCTTTGGTGTTTAAGGAAATTTGTTCGCCAGATGCTTTTCCATAATACTGAATGGCTGACTCGTGTACTGCCGTAATGAAATCTTTGTCCGCCTTCGCCTCCGCTTGTTTGCTGAAGGGAATTCCTGTGACTTTGCCATAATGCTAGGTGAATTTCATTCTTGGTTGGTTGGCATGTGCAACTTCCGGGTCATATGACAGTGAGGCATTTAATGTGATGTTTCTGTGGAGTCCTCTTGTTACTTCTGCGCCACCGGAAATGACCGCCACAAGGTCAATTTTTCTTTTGGGAGCTGATTTTTCGTCTAAATAACGAGAATAAAAATAAAAATAAAATTAAAAAAATAATAAAAAAAAAGAAGAAGAAGAAAAAAGAGAAATCTGGCTTAGTTACAGAAAAGGTGATATCTCTGTTGTTATCAATTTACCCCTTTTTCCAATTGTCTTGTGACATGGTCTTAACCCTCAATACATAAAAATAAGTAGGGTTTAGCAGCCATTTTGAGCTGTTTTATCACTACATCCCATTCGAAAAACTCAGCAATTGCCATGACAGTAAGGTGCTGCACCTAGGTATATAGGATATAGTATATAGTATATAGTATCTTATCTTGCCAGTCTTACGAAATACGTTCTTACTGGTTTTGTTATTAATACTTACTATTAGATATTGTTATTGGAGCTGTAGTTGAAATTTGCGTCAACGATGGTGATGACGATAGCGATGGCGATGACATTAGAGATGGCGATGGCGATGCTAATGCCGATGCCAATGCCGATGCTTAATATGGGTGAAGATGGAAATCTTCGATTAGTGTGAGATGCTAATTGAGTTCTTTGACTATTTTATGCCTTTCCTCTTAGCACGTGTTTGTAAATTTATTAAAAATATTGGGTAGCAAATAACAGGAAACGCAAACGGCGAAAAGGTTCGAAAATTCAAGCTTGTCATCATAGCACAATTTACAAACTTGGATGAAACGGATATTTTATGATAAGTGGACGCTATTGTACCTTCGTTACAAAGTACGTAACCCGAAGTGTGCTATACCAACAGACACTATTGGAATACACTACAAATACATTGAACATCCCCATTGTTAAAACTAATGTCAGAGGAAAAGACCAACAAGCAAAGGCTTTTGTTGATTGATGCAGTAGTTGGATAGGTGGTTTACCACTTAGCTATCGGTATGATCGCGATACTCGCCGGTGTTAATTTCTGTGTACATTTGTTTGCACCTTGCACTATTCAGTCCGCGATAACATTAAGCACTTGCAAAGTTTCGATTACAGTGAGCATGAGGGATATGAAGGACGAATAAAAGTCGCTTTAAGCTCTCTTGGACTTAATCCTATAGTTTGTTAACTCAATGGGAAAATGCTAGATAGGCAATAACCAATCAAGTTACCCTCTTTGAAATACTACGATCATTTTCTCTTGTTCAACGTATCTTAACTCATTCGAGATCGCAATATATCCTTGGTTAGGGTCTAATGGAGATACGACAGAGTTTTGTTTTGCTTTTCATGGCATAATAACGTGGAATTATATTTTTGAGGCAGCCAACTGTAGACGAATAATGTTGATTTTCTCTTTGTCAGAGGAACGGTAGTAAGGGTAATCTCTTTCTCGACAGTTATTTGGTCTCGTCACGCAACGCGCACTCTCTCTAACTGGGAATAAAGGGCGTTGTGTAAGGACAACAAAGAACAGCTGCTGAGAAGTCAAAGGTAAGTATGGCACCAATGCATTTTATTTGCACTCAGATGTTTTTAGACAGAAGAGACAGTATTTTATGAGATATGAGATATGTCTGAAATATATTTTCATTTATGCAAATGTAGGTGTAAACTTGATCCTGACTGTAAAGGGGTTTATATAAATTCTGCAGTGAGTATCACCAACGTTAGAAAATAATGTACGTCTTTAGTACACTCAAACGATTCTGGTGCCGCTTAGTTTACTCAAAATAAGACTAGAAAAACAACAACAACAACAACAAAAAGGACGACTTACCCTTGGAAATTTCACAAATATAAGCGTCATAGTTTTTCCAAATTGTTCTTCCACTACCAAACACGCCCCGTTCGCCATTCCTGGACCGCTTGTAGATGAAAGCCGAGTCGTGTTCACCACTCGGCTCCCCTTGTCCCCATTTGCAAATAGTCAGCGGTCTTCCATGCACCCAGGTCCAGTTTCCACCTTTTTTTTCTTTTGTTAAGCCAATACTCCATTTATTTTCAAAGGATTTAGTATTTCGCCTTTGAATTGCATCATTCATGAAGTTCCATTCCTCTTCGGTTTCCATGGAAACTAAGTCCCCTCCTTGGCTTTGGCAGGTTTCTCTGTTCCGGGGCCAGGACCATCCATCCACCGAAATTATATACCAAGAGTTTTTAAAGGTTCTATCAGGGCATTCTACAAAATGATAAAAAAGAAAACAAAAATACTAATTATCATAATGATGATAAACAAAGTGATACTTATAATAATGATTGTAACATAAAAAGATAAATCACAATCACAATAAAGAAGAAAAATAAATGAGATAGAAAACGTGACTTATTTTTTTTACTTGATCCCTTTTTTTAACATCTGCAGTATATGTTTGATCATTGTAAATTAATACAATACATCTTTCTTCACTACAGCATCCGCTATCTCTAACCTGCTTTTCAGAATTAGTTCACATCAACTAAGATTATCTGTGAGCTCATGTAAATTTGGTGGTTGAGTTTTGAAAGTTAATTAGCTCCTCCCTCACTCCGCCCCCAATTCTTCCTTCCCCAGCTGAACAGACATAAAAACGTAAAATTAAACGTTAATCTAGGTTCTCATAGATTTGCAACTAGAGATTAGCCCTATACAGTTGATATGGGAAAGGCTGTCGGGAAAAAAGAGCAAAAATTTAAGGTGCACGCCACAATCTTAAAGAATTATATGGGTAACGGTAATCATTATGGACATAAAAAGTAAAGATAGATTAAATAGAGTCAGCTCGTCCTTTTTTTTCGTATTTCATGCTGTGTATAATTTAAGATCAGTATTGTTAATAAAATAGGTTCATCAAAACCGAGATGCCTCGCCCCTAAAGCGATAGTTTCCTAGAGTCTCCTGATATCCTCAATCTATTTTCATTCAATGCATCTGTTATTAGTTATCGTGATGAAATTGCAGGAAAAAAGTGCGTGGAGTGGTCTTCATTTACCGATTTATTAGTAGCCAACAGTCATTTTGTGTTTTCGACGCTGCTTTTAATCTTTCTGTTTTTCATATACATTGTTGTCTGATTCAAGATTTCTTACTCACTGCACAATACGCACAATCATCGTTCCTTTCATTGCGCTGGTATTGCCCGAAGAGAACCTAAGTATTGTCATACGCAGAGCCCGCTGTCATCGTTTGAGGGTTGACCTTGGTTTGACTTCGAGTTGCTTCATCCTAAAGCTAAACTCTGGTTTGATTGGCAACTTGGCTCAAGCAGAGGTTTTAATTTATCTTGTCACAAGTCCGGAAATGGTCAGGAAAAAAGGTCCTTCAAGGTCAGGGAAAAGTCAGAAAATTTATGTTTTTTCAGAGAAGTTAGGAAAAATATTAATGAATGAACTTAAACAGGATATGGACACTGAACAGGAAATTTCTACGATCACGAAGTTTATGTTCAGTCACTGTACATTTCCTTCTGCATATCGGTCATCATTTCTGTGTTGTTATTTTTACATGCTCTGACCATGGTTGATTGGGTGTTAACAATGTACTTCATTTCATTTCAGTCATGGGTTTAAGCTTTAGTTTCCGCTTGCTTCAAAGGAAAGAAATAATCTGACCATGTTCAATATGTCCTCACTTTCACTTTATCTGTTTATTAAATAAATAAAATGCGCGCCGAGTGCATTGTTGAGTTATATAAGCACCCGGGAATTTTTAAGAACACGAGAGTGCGGAGAAGCTCGAGCCGAAGGAGAGTGCATCTTCCACTTCTCTGGTGTTCTTTAAAATTCCCAAGTGCTTATATAACTCAACAATGCTCAAGGAACAAGTTTTTTTTTTAATTTCTTTTATAAAATGTATCGTGAATTGAGCGCACTCGTACCGATGACGTAGGTGGCTTGCACTATATCTCGACAATGCCCTCGTGTGACGTAAGGCACGTACTTAATGGGAGTATAATGAACTAATTCTGACCGATCACGGCGCGCGCATTTCTCTTATAATAAATAATAACGTATGTTCCTGGATGGCCTTGATTGAAATAGTTTTATGCGATTATTCTCGTGTTCTGAATAAGACGATTTTCAACGTTGCAAAAGGTGCTATCAAACTATTTTTTTGGTAGTGTTCTCCTCACATTAATCAACGGGAGTTTTTTTCTTCTTTTTCACATGTTTTGCGCGAAATAAACTAAGTTTATTTTATTTTGCCCTTAACTGAAGTTCTTTCATCGAAAAAAAGTCTTGCTTATGGTCTCCTCCACAAAACATCTTGCACTCGGGCTAAGACATTTTGCAACTTTAGAATGTTTTCAGTCCCTGTTGCTGTTCATTGATGACAATAAGTTGTGGTATGACCAAGCAGGTTTGCAAACGCAGAAGACATATTGTATTTTTCGCTCAAATCAGTAATGGAAGAAGAAGGAGTAGATGCGGCCGTGGAGAGACGTTAAGTGCGCAGCAGTATGGATTTTCCAACTTTTTTACATGTTTCTAGAACTATTCAAAGCAACCCTCCCATCTACACGGTTTCGCGTTAGAAATACGCTACGATTGCATCCTCATTTTCGCCTATTCACTAGCGAAGTAACAGTACCAGTGAAAACATTTTTTCTTTCGCACAGATATATGGCTGGGGACTTCGCTCTCCGCCAAGAAAGCGAAATAATACGAATGGAAATTATTGAGACTGCGAAAATAGAAGATGAAGAAGCCTTTCCATTTGTTCAATAACAAGTTCCAATCGTAAACAATTATAATAGTAAACTCAGTCTAGTTCGGCCTTCGGACGTCATGTTAAATATGTTATTGTTGCCTCAGTAACATGTCACGTGAGCGTGAACCTGACCAGCGATTGGTAAATGTTTGGTTTTGCTCTAGGTTATCAAATTTGACAACTATCCCGAACTGCTTATCGGTTCTTAAAGTGGTCCGTTTTTTCCTGTCTCTACCCAAGAAGGCAGTTACGCTTGCGCGAGTCGCCAACTACATCCCTAACTTCGTTGCCAGTTTTCATAAATTTAATTCGTTTTGCCAGCTGGACAGTATTTTAAAGTAAATCATTTTAAAGCAAATCAAGTCAATGAATAACTTATTAATCCTCTCTTTCTCTCTTTCAATTCACTTTGGTTGCCAGCAAAAAAGAAATTGTTTCGAAATACATTTTTGAAGAAAATATATCATTAAATAAGTTGACACGTGGCCTAAAGACCGTTTGTAATTAAACTAGACCTACTCTAGAAGTTACTCAGAAAGTTAAATCGTGAGGTATATATTTACAATTGAATTAATTAATGGAACTTTCATTCATTTTATACGTGAGTTCTTTCAAACAATTTGTTCATCGTAAAACGGATAGAAAAGTCTTCAGCAAACGGTTTGAACCCGGGAGTAACATGAAATAGTTTAACTTGGGTCTGGCCTGAGAAGGACTGTTCTCACTGACGTTTCGTCAATCCGAGCAGAAGTCATGATCAGAGTCAAGTGAATAGTTGTTGTCAGTCGAATTTTCCAAGTCCGGTTTGTATAAGCAAATGATAATTTTTTTTTTTTTTTTCATGGGCACTTTGTCTAGTTACTAATACGTGTTTAAAAGTTCATTAATCTCTCAAGAATAATATAATTACTTTTAAGAAGCATGAGTGATTTTCATGACATAAGTGCAAGACTTTAATTTTTCAGTACGTAAGATACTTTATGGTTGGAATGTGATCTTACCTCCAGGTATCTCGCAAATGAAGGCATTGTTATCATCCGAAGAGATGCCATTAAAGAGGCCTCCATTCTTGGATATTTCCGCCCGTGTGTCGTTACCATCTGGCTCAGAATCTCGCCATTTCGAAATATTTAGTTGTTCTCCATTCTTCCAAGTCCAAACCCCGCCTCTTTTCCATAAACCAATGTGCCACGCACTAGCATTCCAAGCACCACGCTTTTGAATCTCATGATTGATAAACTGCCACTCTTCTTCAGTTTCGATGGAAACTAAGTAACCTCCCTGGTCGGAGCAGACAAACTTGTTGAAAGACCATTTTCTTCCGCTTTTCGAAAATATGTAAGAGGAGCTTTTGAAACAGGCTGCTTGGCACTCTATGAGAAAAAAAAAATGAATAAATGAACGAAAAAAAATTATGCTGATGATAACAGTAGTGATGATGGTAATGATGAAGATAAGAGAGTATTTTTTAAAATATCAATTTTTATAACAAACAATGGGCGTCAAAACCCTCTACCTCACTGAAACAAAAAAAATTGGGCTAGGTTTTAAAAGTGAAAATCGGGGAGATCAAGGTAATAGCACTGTTATTCTTTGACTTTTTTTGTTTTGAATCACAATCCGATGTAATTGAAGCAGGAAGTCAAAGACTAATTGGTATGATAAATTAGTCACATCTTTCTTTCTTTCTTTCTTTTTTTTTGTCAGTTCATTTTAAGGTACATAAATATTAAATGAAATTTCACTACCTCACCTGTTCCTGGTAACTCCATCATCAAATGAAGAATGACTGTAGAAGAGAAAATGAGCAAATATATTGATTGTTATCTCAAGAATAACATTTCAAACAATGAAAAAGTTTATCAGATTTCAAATTAGCGTGGTACTAATGCATTCTATTTACTACATGCACTTTAACATCTACCCATGACTTTTCTTGCTTTCCCCAGGGAGCTGACGGATAAATTAACAAAAAATGCAGCATCCCTGCAATTCACTAATCAGCTGCAGGAAACTTGCTACATGTGGGAAACATTTCTGAGGATACGGTAGGCCTTAGCAAATGCCGTTGGGAAAAAAAAAGCGCTATCAAGGAAAAAAAAAATGTTTCGTTTTAGCTCGATGTAATGGTAAACAGACTGAGACGCAAAAATTCGGAAAGGACGATATTTCTTCAAGCGAATTGATCGGGTATCAAATCTGACGGGTCAAATAAAACTTTTGCCCAATTTGAATCTTGAGCGGTTGGGCTCCGAAATTTTGCGAAGAGTTTTTCATATGCTTGGGTGTTACTGAACTATGGATCACCAGACGGCAGAACCTTCGGAATCTGTGGAACCCGCCGAACCTGCGGAACCTCCGGAACTCGTATTTTTTAATTTTGTTTGTTTGTTTGTTTGTTTTAATTTTTTTCGCGTAAAAGAAGAGCTATGAGACACATATAAAGTTTGCTTTCGAGTGTAAAGAAAAGTAATTTAAAAGAGAAATATGTTTTAATTGTCCACAACGTCCAACTTGGCGAGCAGTCAGCAGTCTCCAACCCTGCGTGTAAATAATTGAACGATAATTTATGAGCTCTAATAGTTTGGGCAAGGCGATATCAAAATGACGCCTGATGCGAAAGCTCTCAATGAACTCTTGGCTGAAATTTAATGTACATGACCTTTGAATGAGGAACACGAGCTGTAAAATAAAACGTGATGCTCGTAGAATTTCGGGGTGATCGGAGTGTCCTGAGCGAATTCGCAGCGTTTTGCCTCCAGTGGATTCGTTTGGTGGGTTTTACTCGCAGACGTGACATCTATCAGAAAAAAATCTGCAACAAGATTATACCTAGACGTAGAATCGTTGTTCACAAACGTATCGATCGAGGGTGCAGTTCAAGCCGCATTGCGAAAACTAGAGAACGAAAGCGATCTTGCTAACCGCAGAAACTTAACACCTACACTAATTGCTGACCACATGAATTTGGTCTTGAGATCAACATATTTCCAATACAACGGGTCGATTTATGAACAGCAAGACGGAGCAGCTATGACAAGCTCTGTTTCCGCTGTTATAGCTAGCATCTACATGGAAGAATATGAGGAACAGGCGAAAGCAAATGCGACTTGCAAACCTAAGATCTGGAAAAGATATGTAGATGACACGTTCACATTCTTAGAGTCAAACAGTCAACAGCCCACAATTTGTTTTACCATGAAAATCGAGAGAGATAACACAATTCCTTTTTCTCCACAAACCAGCTACAAGGGACTCAGACAGTCTTCTCACTACCGCTTTCTACAGAAAGCCCACCCATACTGACCAGTACCTAGCCCATGATTCGCACCACCCTCAGTCAGTGAAGCGTGGTATTGTTAAGTGTCTATACGACTGAGAGCCAAACACCTCACGACGAAACCGTCGGTTATCTCTGAGGAAAAGAAACACTTGTCATCAGTACTTGTTTCTCATGATTATCCTTCCTCATTTCTACGAAAACTCGCAAAAAAAAAGGGCAATAGCCTACAAAGAACCCGCGCAGGAATTTAAATCCACCGCCGTTCTGCCTTACATAAAGGGCGTATCTGAGGTTCTTCGCCGCTGCCTACAACATAAAGGCATACGGACCATTTTCAAGACTGACATAACACTTAGTTCTCACTTAGTACGACCTAAAGACGCCCTGGAACCATCAAAACAAAACGGTGTCGTTTACAAGATCCCATGTGAATGCGGCGATGTGTATATCGGCGAAACAGGAAGATCAATGCGAGAAAGGATAATGGAACATGACAGAGACATACGGTTTGCTCGTACTCAGACCTCTGTGGGTGGATGGGCGCTGACTGCTTTGGGCAACGACTTCACATGCTTAAAGTGAAGCAAAAACTAGTGTCTCATAGCCAATGTATGGATTAGACATTTAATATAAATGTGAAAGTTCAAAATTGTCGCTTCTCAGAATAAATAACTTTAAATAAATAAACCTCATTCGATGCGAAAATTTTGAACATCGCGTGGTATTATTCCAAGTTAAGAGAGTGCCGTTCAAAAACCCATCCAATTGTTCTTAATGACCATCAGGAAATATTCTGTTGTGCTGAGAGACTTGTTGCTTGAGAAACGAACAAAAAAAACCGTCAAGAGCAACATTTTTGGTTTGTTGGGTATAATCTTTTTGTAGTTACTCTCTCCGTCCGTATATTTGCATTGTTTTACAATGCAACACTGTGGGAAATTTTGCATGTTCCCTTGCCCACGTATATGGCTTAAATGGGATAGTAGTGGAGTGATAAAAGGTATATTTGCGACGAATTAAACGACGAAGAAATATTAAACTGAATCATTCTGCTCTTTATCTAGATTTGTAATTTTGAAATTATATGTAGCGAGTCATTTGAGAAACAAAACTTTTGAAATCGATGACCGACGCCATATTTCGGTCGTGTGATCGTTGGAAAGCATGAATACTCTCCTATGTTTTTTCTCTTTCTCTGAGTGGGTTGAAATTCATAAATTAACTGTCTACAGGGTTTTGGTGTCCGTTTTAGAGAATAAAATTCAACAAATGAAGCCGATAAAAAAAGTCGGGGAAGCAGGGAGTTAATTAAAAGGGAAATAAAAGATGTAAACTCGTCACAAGCTGAACTGTCGTTGAGGACATTTATTATGAAAAATCCTTATCCAAACTTGCCTTCTGTTTACCAAAATTATTGTTTTCTATGTAGTTTGTTTATAAAATAAGCACAAATGCAACTCCCATTTCTTTTCTTGCAAGATTCAAGTTGTTCAAGCGAAACGTCTGAATAAGTTGAAGTCGACGAACTTAATTTGTTTTATCGCGAGAGGGCTCTTAAGTGGTGTCTGTGTATTTTTCGGTTGACATCTCGTCACAGCAACTTTAAAAGGCAGGCGACTACGCTATTATGTTCCTGAAACCCTTCATGATATTTTTTAAAAACTTTGCACTAAACGTCAATTAAGACACATCAGTCGTGAATTATAACTATCATTTCAATTTAAAAACCGCCAAACTGACTAGTTGTGATTAACTGTTTCCAAATCATTTTCCGTCTTAACAAAGCTAAATTTACATTTGTAAACAAGCTAAAGCATATTTCTCCCCTTTTTAAAATATATTTGGTTATTTTCATTTACTTTAGTATTTTCAAGTATTATTAAACCTAAGAACACACGTTACCAGAGTCCAGTTTGTTTGAATGAAAGAGCCTAATAGGAGCGACCGATAATATCAGTTGGATTTTGCTTGGGGCTCTCGGATGTTCCATTACCGAAATATTTATATCTAGCTAGTTACTATTTACTTAACATTTCCATAGAATAACCACAAAATGTAGTAGAGTTTCACTTGTACTTACTCAGCGTAGAGTGTAAAAACAGGGCTGTGAACATTTTACCGGATTAAAAGCCTACTCATAGCCCAATTCTTCAAGCTTCTTATGTTATATAGTTCTTGACTTGATAACAACACAAGGGTGACAGATTGTGTAATCTATTTAAACCTTTTGAAGGAGTTGATATGACACATGACAATACTTCTCACTGACATAAGTCAACCCTTATTTTTTTTTCTTTATGAAAGGACCAATGAAGCTAAAGGCCTACTTTACCAGGTGCAGAGCAATTGCTCGCTTCAACAAAACAAGAAATTCACTTAAATAAGCTACTATAGAAATAGCTATATTAGTTTATATTTTTTTGTCGCGCGGATAATACTTGATAACATACGTTTTTAAGAGAACTAGTCCAAGAATCATGTTTAAAGTTAGTGGTCCTTTGTCAATCCGCATTTTTCCTACCGGAAGCTTTATCGAGTATCTCCGGTGTTCAACTGCACGGATGGAAGACATTACAATCTACCCATTAAAGGAATGAAACTGCTCGTTGTAATTGGTAACATTTATATCGTATGGCAATAGCTTCAGCGGCGGGACTGATCCCGTAATACATGTATGGGGAATAAACCAGGAGAATTAGAACTCATCTGGTCAAGTAATGTCATGGGAACCGGGATCAGTCGGATTAAGATTTCCCACAATCCTACATGTATATAAACGACACGCAGGAGAATTCAGCATTTCTTTGAGTCTGCGAAATCGACATCTATATCTGTTTATATAGTAACTGAGAGAGTGAAACAGCAAATAGATACGGATGAAGGCTCGAGCGCTCAAAGAGAGCCTCGCGAAGGAAACAAAAGCGTGAAAAATTTCATTTTAAAGAGACAAAAAGTGTTCCAGTCTGGAGAGAGGGGGTGGGGATTTAGGATAAAATTTACTTTATTCTTTCATAGGGCTCTGTGGTACTCATAGGATCCTCACTCATTGGCAGTTAACAATCACGTTTGTATGATTCAAACCTTTATACTCTGTTAGTGAGACTGATCACTTTCAGTTCCCCCAAAAGCCATGACATCCCCTTAAAAAACTTCTGACCCCTCTCCCAGGCGATTTATAATGACTGTTTCATTAATTCTGCTTCAAAACAGCAGCATCGTTACAAAGAAAATTAATTTTGACCTCTTATCAATCGATATTCTGATGATTTGTGTAATTTCACTAATCTTCAGATCCAAATTTTTGACATACACGCATTTTCGGATTAAGAAAGATAATTACTTACTTCCTTTCACTGCCGCTGAGCATCGACTGTCTAGATAAATGGCTGGAGACCGAAATTTAGCTTTCAGAATAATCAAGGATTACTGTTATAAAAGCGCTTTTATTTCATTCGATGTCTCTTAATCTGAAAAGTTTTTTTTTTCCTTTTGGCATCTATTAAAATTAGTCTAAGACGATGTTAGCGTGGTATTGTGTTCCTGAGATCCTTTTCAATGCTGTCAAAAGCTGTTTTGCAGACTGTGAAAAAAAAAGTCTCTTGTAGTGTCTATCTCAAGAAAACTTGAACAGGACAGGTATAAGGCGAGAGGGGAGTAGGTAGAGTGAGTTTACGCTCGAGACCAGCCAAATACCTACCTACTGTATACATGAATTTATTTCCATTAGAATTTCCGGGTGGTATGGTGGTGTTAGTTTATCGGAAAAAAAAGAAATTATGTAAGAAAGTAACTAAGTAGGGATGACGATGGATTAACGCTCGAAACTTCAACTTTGAAACCCTTTACGGTGGTCACTTTGCGGTATCAACTCGGCTGATAACACTAAATGATCTGATTTTTACCTTAGTCTTTGATATAGTGTTTTACTTCCCCTTACATATCTTTTTATTTTCTCTCAGCCTAATGGTTATTTTTTAATAAAATATTTTAATTCTTCGTCATCTTCTGAGAACCCTGAGGCGTTTTTCAAGTCTTGCTGTCTCCTACTAAATTTAGAAAAGAATCAGGTAAAAAATGAAAATATGACCTTAGATTCATCTATCGAGAACACTTGAGAAAATATAAAACGCATTGATTTATTATCCAGGAAATATTTCTGTTGTTTCATTGATGGTTTCCTGCGGTTTTCCTCTCCAAGAGGATTGTACTTTTTTAATGGGAGTCAATGTGACTGTCCTCGGGAATGATATAATAAGATACTCATTTTTACCTAAAACAAAAAAAAAAAAGAAGAAGAGGTTATTAAATGTGCCATGACACCTACCTTGTAACCTTTCCAAAAAGCTAAAATAAAAGCAAAATTTCAGTAAAAATATGGCTGGCTAACCGAGTGGGTAAGATGCACATATCTCGTACACAAATGATTATTATTCCCGTCTAGGTAAAATTGCCTAAAAAATATATTGCCCACGTAATGAATCTTTCATCAAGCAATTGAAGCTTGTTTGGCCAAGATGGCTGATTGTAATCGGCCTCTTTCTTTTGTTTTTGTTCTCAATGTTGCTGCTGTCACTTTTGTTTAGGCTGTTATGTGGAACGAGGAAAGGCACTTAGAAACTAACGTAATTACTTGCACGGATTTATCCGCAGTTGCTTCTTCACCAGAAGATTCTGCAACTACAGAGCTGGTCGCTACATCTGCCACCTGCAGGTTGGACAGCAGAATATCTAATGATATCAAACCTTGGGTGGTAACTTAAGCCGAGAACTTCACAGCTTTTAGGTAGCGCAAATGCATTGCTGCGCTCGTCCCTCGGATATAGCTTGTTCACTTAATGGGAATTGATTTGCCAGACAAGTGCTGAGCCCTCACCAGGAGGGGCAAGCGTCAAGTTAGCTTATATGAATAGAGGATCGTGTAAATTAAGAGGATAGAATGTGGGACACAAAATCTAAGTTATCACATGCGTAGAATAGTGAGTAGTGTTAAACGAACTCGACAAGAATTTTTGACAACGATATAAACAGCGTTTAATTGACAAATGTTCCACACAAAATCAGTTAAAATGAATCGTGTGATGTAAACTTAGTAGTGAATCGTATGATGTCAGCCGTATGCCGGCTGGAGCTGAAATACAAGACGACAATAAAAGCTAACGTAACTAACGTATCGAATATAAAATATTACAAATGAAGGAACTATCGCTAACATTGCAATAACGACCTTAACATGGAAGTGGCAAATCGACACTTATATTGATCGATTAATAAGCTTCACGGCGTTTAACTCAGATGATAGCTTTATGATAAATAACCTTATATTGGAGATATGGACCTAATCAAGCACGATTCAGAGCATACAAAATACAAAAAAAAACAAAACAAACAAAAAAAACTAACTAACCGATTTAGTAACGATATAGGCCATTTGATAAGTGATAAAGTAAGACTTAACTGAAAAGAATAACAATAAAAAAAGCCTGAGAACTTAGCCTGGGATCAGTCGTTATCAATCGTCTGGCGGGAGAGGGGATCCCATGGTTTTAAGGGGGGCACAGTTGGGAGATCAGTCGTCACCAATGGAGTGAGTCAATACGCTCGATACCAGCAGAATTTTAATCCTACATACATACATAACTTTACTTCCGTTCGAAATTTTTAGAGTAGCATAGTGGTGCTAATTTCTCTGAATAAAGAAACTTTCTAAGTGAGTAAATGGGTAAGTCTTATTCATGGAAAACACTAATTCAATTTCATAATTATATTTCAATAAATGAAACCAATCAAATATATTAAATAAGATAAGTAAAGGCTACTTGTTGCTAAACAGTAAAATGATCGATGGTCTCAAATACAATTTTAAAATCTTTAAAGTCATTGAGACTCTAACATATTCGTCTAAATCGTTCCATCTTTTTGCAGTAGAATGTATATAACTGACGGATTATATAACATAACAATACTTAACTTCCTTCGTGTAACTCTATTTTAAATGATATGAAGCGGTTCATATTTTTTGCCGTTGAATACGAGCCATATTTATATACAATCAATAGGCTCCAAAGAAAAATTGTATGTAGGTTCTTCCTCTGAGATCAGCCATAAAAAAATGTAAAAAAAATGACTTTCTAAGTTTTTATCCTCTTTTTGTTATTTGCCACAATGCTACGAAACGCTGGGGAATTCCTGCTATTTCTTTGTGTGTGCGAGATGATTTATGCTTAACGATCTGTTTTTTTACAATGATTTAGACGGAGTATTTTACTTCCTTTCACCTTTTCTTTTTACTCTCTCTCTCTACTTAGTAAAGATAGACCTCTGCTGTTATTAATAATTAATCGAATTCTTCGTCTTCTGCTGTGAACCCTGAAACAATACTCTCCAGCCGCTGTAACAGGTCATGTTCTCTCTTACGTAATTTACGGAGGGAAGACTGGACGACATCCTCTTGAAATCTTACTTTCTTTTTTTCTGTACGTTTGCTGCAGTCGTCATTGCTTTCACCTTTCAGAGATTTTAACGTGTTGCTTATCCTGTCGAATAATGCTTGTCTCCTTGTACTGCATTGCTGTTTATCAATTGTTTCTCTGGATCTTTTCTTCCTCCAAGCTATGATAGCTTGACTTATTAAATCAAAGTTAAGATTGGAACTGTTCGTGGGGTCAAGGCCAATGTTTCCTGATTCTTTGTCCATCACTTCTGCTGACGTTTTGGAGGTTCTCGACTGTTTCAACCTGTTACTGGTTGCATCGAAAAATTCTTTTCTTTCTTTTGAGCTCGAGCAACGGTTCTCATCGATAAGATCATACAGCTCACTTTCGCTCACATAGTTTTTAGCATCCAAAAGAGCATCGTTGATTATGCCAATAAAGAAGTTCATACAGAGAATAGTGAGAGTGAAGAGAATTAAGAAGGCGAATATTTTGGCGTATATGGTGTTGGCCTGTGCTAATTCATTGATTGGTCTAGCTTTCACTCGACCAAGAGTTAGCTCGAGTTGGAAATAGGCTCCTTTTAGCACCGAAGAGTAGCGCCCAGATACAGAGCCAAACACTAAGACACCGAAGTGCAAAAATGCCACAAAGAAAATGCATAAAACGATGCTAAAGGATAACAAAGATCGTGCAGATATCTTCAATGTTGTGGAGAATAGAGCAACATAGTTGTTAAAGCGAATGATTCGCAATAGCTTGATGGTGACGATGAAATTAACAATTCCAAGTACCACATTTTCCACTTCTTGGCAAGTGATTGCTTCTTGGAAACTTAGATTTGCGTAAATGTTTTTACGCAGTTTGCCCATGGTTGAAATGGTTTTACTTTGTAGTATCATGTAAATTACCACGGAAATCAGAGAAAAAACAATTTGGAGTGTCTCGACCCAATTCCAGATAGACATGAAATATCGAGAACGCTGATTGTAAAGTCTGAAAATTTCCCTTCCAAAATACAGAAAAACGAATACAATATACAGGAACAAGCAAATCAAATAAAACTGATGCGAGAGTGTGTCCGTAGAATCAAGTGAAAGAACACGAGTTTGCATGGAGGCTGCTTTCAGTCCAGATGCATCAACTTCATAGAAGTACGTGGCAACACCTAAAATATTCACCGACGGATTGTATGTAGAAAACTCTACCAGGACAACTCTAGTTTGTCTGTTAAGCCAACCGTTGTTTTGTAAATTTGTTACTATGCTGAACCCCGTATGGTTATCGTAACCGAGGTCTGCTACAAATCCTCCTCCATCATAAAAAGAGAACTGTCCCCACCTGGGTGTGGCGTCGGTTTCCTCGGCATGTTGATATCGCCATGGCTTCGGGGAAAGTTGGAATAAGTCGTCATTCCTTGTAGCATTGTCGATAGGCCTCCAGCCTGGTTTGTTGTAGACGGTCTTGTCTTCGTTATTTGTCGAGTATCCCTTGAAACATTCTTCGAACGATGTTTTCATATAGTTTAGGACTTTACATTGTGCTGAAAGTGGGAGCAAAAGATCATGATCAGGAAGTTTGTTTTGGTATTTATTTCACTCAGGGACTTGACACATTTCGTACTTTTAACAACAGAGATATATGGAGAATTATTAGAAGCCTTCAAAGTAGCATTTGCTTTCGGAGAAAAGGAGCGCCGTCATCAAAACTTCAATTTAATTAGCGTTCATAATAAAACGCAGCTACCTAAACACTCTTCTAGATAATTGTTATAATGGTCAGAGTCTAAAAAATTGTCACCGGTGAATGTTCAACATTTTTTTTCTTTAACAATTTCAACCTTTCGACCTCTGACAGCGCAAATCCATTACATGAACTTTTACCAGCTCAGAGAGCTAGGAGCCTCAGGAAAAGAGGACGTAATTACATCCTGCCTCCAGTCAGAACCGAAACCTTTTAACGTTGCTTTTTCAATAGATGTCTTTTCGAATTTGTGTAGTTACTTAGTCTTGTATATACATAATAGATAGATATATGTAGGAAATTGTAAGTCCAGACGTTTTGTTTCTGGACGTGTTTCTTTTTAATAAAGATCTTTATTATTATTATTAATAAGCTATTTTTTAACTCTATATTTAAGTTTGTGCACCGATCGTTTCTCTATCAGGCTAAATTGTATATGTATAACTATAATATGTGAAATGACATGTGTGGGTAAATAGCCTTTTCACTGAAATGCAAAAAGGAATAAAAATGGGAAAAAAAACTTACTCGCTTTCACTCTGAGTTGCCTTAATCGAGCCATTCCGACGAGAAGAGAGTGTTTATTACCAATAGAAATTGTTTGCTCATCCCTTTGACCGTTGTACCATCTGCTGGAAAACACACCTGGGATAAAAACATGCTGTAACCAGCTCCAGTACATTGCACTGTTTGTCACCTGAATCAATACAAGATGATTAGGTTAAATAAATAAATAAATGAATATATATATATATATATACATAAGTGAAAAGGTCAAAGAGGACGCATCGACTCTCTGTCACTCTGAGTTTCGAGCCTAAGCGCTCGTCAGACAGAGCTATCTACCTTCTACCCCGCAATTATATATATATATTTCGCTCGCTCGGCTTCATCAGTGCAGTGCCGATGCTAGGATGGAGGTAAGGCAATATAGCCACCCCAAGTGATCTCACACATGTGGGATCATCTAAGCCATGCCTGAGTGTTTAAACTAGAACAACTAGTGAGCATGCGCAATGCAATGACTCATCCTAGTAGAGTGCTCAATTTGGACATGAAAGCAAAGCTTTGTATTCCAAAGAGCTATATCTATCTATCTATATCTATATATATATATATATATATATATATATATATATATATGCATAAGTTAATGAGTTAAAGAGGACGCATGGACTCTCTGTGACACTGAGTTTCGTGCCTAAGCGCTCGTCAGACAGAACTTTTTCAAGTCAAGTCAAGTTCTGTCTGACGAGAGGCGCTAAAAGTCCTAAACTCAGTGTCACAGAGAATCCGTGCGTCCTCTTTAATTCATTAACTTATGTATACTTAGCTCTGCTACCACAGCATTGAGCACTTTATGCCAAGGTAGACTCTACCCCCACATTCTCACGTGCTTATTTCCACTACATCCATCCCCTCAAAACTATAAAATCATGTTTGCATGAGATAGTGGCCCCTTTCTGGCTCTCTCTTATGTTAAAATTAAATGCCAATCTCTTCATGGGATTTTTCTATCATCGCCTGGAATTTCTTTCCAGTTCTAAGGTTGGGACTCGCACACTAACACATCTCTTGTACCATGTTTATAAGGGGATATTCCTACTCAAAATGTCCATTACAAGAGCAGAAAATGCCTTAGTCAATACCTGAACGTCTGTAAGCAAGAAAAAAAAATCCAGTTCTTGATGAGGGAAAAGTAAAATTTTCCTCCTTTTTCTTGATTTTGAACCCCCGTGGGAACGAAAAGTCATAAGATAAATTGAACACGCGAATTTTAGCAATGGATTTAACATGATCAAATGATGTTGACTCATCTTGTCAAACTTTGATATTCCATCTCGGATTGATTTCGTCATCAAGTACCGATGGTCATTTCTGTTTCCATAGCATACTGCCATAAGGAAGAAAACAAAGACCAAGTATAAACCCAACTCTGTGAGATAACGTGTCATGTTCTGTTTCTTAGCTTGTCTTCTTCTCATCTCTTCCACCTCTGATAATTTCAGTGTGCAAAAATGTTTCTTATAGTACCCAGTTTTAACTTGTTGAGAGCTTTCGCAGGCGTGTACTTTTGATCTCTTCGCCTTTATCTTTAAAATGGCCGCAAATGTTAAAGCTGTGAAGAACACCTTTACTGGTTCCTTGATTGTTACATCCTGCGCGAATGAGATAAGCATCGAAGACAGCCACTGCTCACTGACACTCTTTTCCCAAACTAGACTGTAGAAAATTGAAAACGCAGCCGAAACAGTACAAGAAAAAAACAACAAGCACCAAGCGCTACCAGAGACAGGGTACCTTTAAGACAATAGTCATAGTTCGTGGCAGACTTTTCAGCCCCTTTCTGAAACAAAAACACTATGAAAATGTTTATTGGTGTCACAACAAGCGCGCTTTCAATTCCAGTTACCACTTGTCTCCACGACATTTTCAGCGGTCCGACTTGGATAGGCTGTTCATATTTGCCCTCTAACTTGTAGAACATCGCGTTAGCGAACATAGATGTCAAAAGCACTGAGAGGCAGCAAGAAAGCCGTTGTACTCTTGTAAAGCGGCTTTTTCTCAGCTTAGCTGCTACTGAAATCCAAATATGCCACTCCACGAGGCCTCTTCGCCAACATCTTGCAACTTCATTGCCAAAATCCAGATGGTTTGAGGTCTGGTCGATTACTCGCTCGATGCGCCCATCTCCGCGCTCAAGAGCAAACCACTGATTGGCCATGAATTTCCACGACTGCTTAGATTGTACGTCCCGAATAAGGATTTCTTCTAGGTACCACGAGGGACTATCTCCAAAATTATCATGTCCAATCTGCACTCCTTGAATCGCACCAAGTGATTTGTTAACATAAAGTACAAAAACATCTGAATTACCTCGTGAGAATAACGTATTCACTGCACCAGGTTCTTCTTGGCTAAGCTGAAGAATGCCACTCTTTCCATCAGAACCGTAAATCTCCAAAGCAACATGAGCAGTCGTGCCTGAGTTTTTCCAAACCCCTGAAGTAATCACTATATTATATTCATAGGTGCAGCTTGAAGATGATGGAAGTTGGATCGGTAATTCCCTCTAAAAAACATGACAAAGCATGAATTACATGGCAAGCTGATTTATATTCTTAATTCATTTTTTGTTCCATTCCAAAAAAAAAAAAAAAAAAGACTGTCACTCCATTTTTTAAAGCCTTTTTTTTTTCTTAACATTTTAACTTCCAGGGGTGATCAACATGCAACTTCTCCCAAAAATATCCGTACATTATCTAGGTAACAGGTCATGAAAATACTCAAAATTATCAGGTAGATTTTGTTATCTTGATCAATTATCAAATTTTCATGACTTATTTGCAAAATAATGTATAGCAGCCGGAGGGAGATTTAACAACAAGACAACAATTAAAACAACAATCCTAAGGAAAATCTGACTCTACACTCACATTTTTCGCGTCTTCCTCGTCGAATTTCCTTACGATAATAAGCGCAGTCACATAACATAATAGCAATAACCACAATAACTGCGATATTTCCAGTTTCTGATAACTGCTGGAACTCGACTAAAACCTTGTCGAAGTCAATGGGATTCGGTTCAACTAAGAGATTTCCCCCAAATGACGTCAAGTGGCTACAGCTACAGTTTAAAAATCCATCCAATTCTGCTAAAACCTGAAATTATAAATGCAAGGAAGATCTTAATGATGAAAATTATCATTTTGGCTGTCACCATAAATCACACTGCATCTTTTTTGTTTTAAGGCGCTTTTATACCCTGGCTGGCTATCAAATCGATTCCAATTTTGTCTGAAAATGTTCTGTAATCAAACATTAGCCTGAATTCAATGATAAGCTTAATGAGTGAAGATTATTGCAATACCACAGCACTTTTACAAACATTACTCAGGAAAGCTCAAATTATCTGAATTGTGTTGAATACGATGCCAAATTAGATAAAAAAGATCACGCTGAAAATCTATATTTAATTTTCACTTACTCGGCAACCAGATGATATCCACATGTCACTTGTTTCTGACCAGTAAACACAGCTACCCAAGGTCACCTTCAGAGTGTAGTTCTGGTCTGTTGTGGAATCATAAACAGGCATCACAGAGACATTTTCACTCTGGGGTGGGGCGGGTTGTGGATCTTTGACTTCGACACAGGAGCGCTTCCTTCGCCTTTCACCAATACAAGATCTTTTCTCCCTTGTGTGAGATAAGTTCACTGTGGCATTATAATTTTTTAAGCCGATTAAGTATTTCCCAGGATGCTCAGCTAGGACTTGTATCGGCGCATGTGGATTCAAGTAGCAGAGCGTTTGTCCGTTACTTTTGCCATGTGTGCTCATCATCCAAACACATTTTTCGTCATGAGAGATAATAGCATTGAAGTCGTAGTTTTGAGTTGTCGGTCGCTGACCAAAACGCATATAGACAAACAGATGTACGGTTGGATCTTGAGGTTTGATTTCCAGCATCAGCAGGGTGTTTTCATACTTGACGTTTATCTCGTGGGAACGTAGATCATCGTTCTTTGTGAAATACCATGAGTTTTCCGAAGCAGAGTTTTTCTGAAGTTTTAAAGGCGTAACGATAACAATGTCTTCCGTGAGATTTGATACTTTAATAGGCTCGCTGTCATTATTTTTTAAAGTGCAGGCTTACAACATCAGAGCCAACTCGTTCCTTGGTGCCGTCCCAAGTGTAAGGGTTTAAAGAAAATGAGAGCATCTAAAAGAGAAATAATTAAGAATTTTGCTTGTTTGTTTTTGTGGACTGCTATAATTGAACACGTAAATAGGGTACTCCGTCTTACTATTAATTTTAAGTTATCATAAGTTGGGTTCAAAATAAAACTGGAAATATACTTGGAAAACAACAAAAAATAAATAACATTCATCTGGTCACTTCGGTCACATGATTCGATTCCCTTTTGCTGCCCAAGTGCCAGAGTTGAACACGTCAAAAGCAAAACAAGAAATATGACTGCTAGAGGTAATAAGCAACCTTTAAGGTGTCTAACGTGCGATTTTAACTTGACTGGTGTTGGTATCTGCTAAAAAAAAACTTGGATTGAAATTTGTCTGAAGGGCAGAAATAATTACCTGAACATCTACAAAACTTGTTTTGTTTACTCCAGAGAGTAACAACTGGCTCTTAGACGGTAAGATAAACCGGCCTTTTCCTGCTTTTACTTCCAGTCCTGAAAGTCTTTGGAGGGTATATCTTCCGAGTGTCATGGATAGCTGTCCTGCAGTGAATGGTATAGTTTTTTCATCAGGTACTGTCAAGACCAACAGCGAGTCTGTAACTTTCTGGAGGGCCTTCATTGAAATCTTCACTAATAGTTTACCCTGTAGAAATTGCATAAATAAGCAAATAATATAAGCAAATTATGGATTTTCGAAAGCTTAAAACAAACATACATACAAACAAACCATAAAAGGTTCAAAATCTGAATGAATAAGGGAGTAACAGTTAAGTTTAAAGCAATCTGCGATGGACCATTTGCTAATGAATAAAGTCTAATGATTATGCTTGCATGTATAACTACGTTTTAAAAGGTCTATTTAACTCGTAGGCTTTTGGACATCACCTAAATGTACATTAAAGTACCTGTTGCTGAAAACTTGACTTGGAGTCTTCTGATGCAGTCACTGCTGCTGCCTTCAACACGGTATTAAGACATGAAGCCAAGTTTTCTGCTGATTGCTTTGTCAGCGATATGTCTGCTACGTCTCTTTTCTGGGCGATAGACCATAGGAGTGACGTCATTGAACTGATAGCTGATAAGGAGAAATTCTGTGGAGTGCAAATAAATGGAAATGAAGCTAAAAATGCTTACTTTCAGATTTCTTTCCATTACCGTCGTAGAGCTAATTTGTGGCGAATTATTTAAAGTGATTACAAAATTATAGACTGCTTCATTTGATAACACAACAGTTGCTTGTTTTTCATGCTTGTTTGTTTCCAAATTCTTCGTCTTTGCTGTTGTGGTTATTTCTGTTGTTTCTGTAGCCTTTCTGGCTAAATAGTGTCATGGTATGAAAACTTGACATAACAACCAAGGCTATTCCATTCCCAACCAGTACTACGTAATTCACTTACCAGAGACTGATGGGGCACTTCCTCCAGAACCGGAAGAGCAGAATCGATAACCGAAGATTTTTGAAGGAGGTCGAAGACAGTTTTCGCTTCCAAGGGCGAAATGTTTTCAAGGATGTAGTTTACAACCTTTAACAACGATAAAGCTTAATGTTAATTAAGCCAGTAGAGAAATAGGCAAACAGACTATATCCCTCATATTAGGCTCGTTCCAAAGATGATACATCTAAAGGCATACTTAGACTCAACGTATTAGGTTTTCCGATTAAATTGTTAGTTAAAACCCATCAAAATGATACATTTGCAGGCGCATGATTGATCTAAATGCATGAAAACACCGAAAACGTCCAAGCTGAAATAAAGGAATGCAGGGTGATTTCCGCCCATGAAGTAAATTTTCAAACCTCATTTTCAAGACGTGGTAAGTTCTTCACTCGTCTCAGCGGTAGACGAATTTTTTTGCTCACACAATCAACCCGCGAGAATAATGGGAGGTCAACATCTAACGTAGAAGCCACGACTCTTGGAATGCAGAAATATCAGGTATTTAACACACAAGCCTACCTTTTTTTCTAAAAGGTATGTTCGTATGTTTAATGCATTATATTCGACTGTTTTTCGAAAGTTAATTTTTTTAATGATAGTATATTTTTTTTCAAATACAAATTCTTTATTCTTTTCGTTTTCTTTGGCATGTTTGGCTCTTAGTAAACTCTTTGCTTTTCGGATACGATCATAATGAACTAGTATTTCACTTTTTAAGTAACAAGTTATGTTTGCAGTACCTTGTATCTCTCCTGGAAATTCATTGAGGTTTCTTGTGAAACTGAGAGCAGGACAGAGTTTGCTAATAGCGCCGCTTTTCTTAGGTTTCCGATCTCGATGAACTTCTGAAATAAACTGTCGTTTGCCAGTAGAAGGTTTGTGATAACATCAGTGCTTACATTCTGATATGGACTGATCTGCAAAAGTCAAAAGAAAGACTGGGGGCGAGGTATGCACGAGTGAAGACGTACGTGTTTCCCTCCCGGCTGTTTTTCAACGAATTTTCAATATTTTATGTCCATAAGCTTAGTCTATGGCGCAATGCTACAAACGTAAAAAAGAGAGATTAAGTTTTGATAGTGATACTTCCTCTCCTGAAGGAAAAAAAAAATTTGAGAGCCCACGTTCTGACCCAAATATAAACACAGCAAGCGGCGAAGGCGAAGACGACAAAGTGTTGGAAGCGTTGAATATGACAGAAAGGATTGCCTCACAACTTGAAACGATCTGCAACACGCTTGCGAGCGTCGAAAATAGACTACAGAGGCTCGAAGGTATATTTGAACGTTTTTCTGCTTTGGAGAATTCGGTTAGTAGCCTTCAAACTGGATTGAGCACGCTAAGTGAGAAGTCGAGAAAAGTTGAAGAGAAGATGAATGATATTGAGAAGGCAATGGAGTTCGAAAGCACAGAAATCGAGGAGCTAAAGAAGAAAGACAAGGAGAATGAAGACAAAATCAAAGAGCTTGAGGATAAATTGCTGTACCAAGAGGTATATAATAGAAGAGAAAATTTACGCTTCTTTGGAATCCCCGAATCTACTACCGGTGTCGAGAATACATTTGAAGTGATGCGTAATTTTCTTAAAGAAGAGTTGGAGCTAGAAAATACCGAGAATATTGAATTTCAGAGAGCTCATCGAATTGGCAAGAAGAAGACGGGAGAGGCCAGGCCGGTTATCGTTCGTTTTTGAAGTTTCCAGAACGTGAGCTGGTTTTTTAGAAAAGCCCGTGAGATGGAGAGTGATATTGATGTAAAGGTCTATTCAGATCTCCCCAAGGAAATCGGTCAAAGAAGAAAAAGGCAATGGCCAAGGCTAAAGAAAGCGAGGGAAGAAGGAAAGATAGCATTCTTTAGCAAACCCGAGCCTGATAAATTGTTTATTGAAGGACAGTTTGTTCCATTGTAGATTGAACATTTAGATTCTTTTAGGAACGGTCTCTCTACAGATTGAACCCTTTACATTTATTTGATGTAGTTGTTTTTCAGTGTAACGGGAGGTTGCGTAAGATCATTTGAATCTAAATAATTGTTCCAATCTCCGAGGCAGCTCTATAGGTGTTAATTACTCAGCTGCCATTTATTCTCTTTGTGTAAGACATTGTTGTGTAATGTTTGTTATTTGTTGTTTCTTTTGTATACCATGTTGTTGTGTAGAAACCTCTTGTAAACTCCATCGGTACCACATATTAATTTATGCGCAGTTGCAACGCGAGATACTTGTATACGTAACTAGTTGATTGAATTGTCCCATTCGAGAAGGAGTATATAAATTTCAAATTACTTTCTCTTAATGTTCGAGGGATTCGTTCCCCAACAAAGAGGAAAGCTCTTTTCACGTGGCTTAATGAACGAAAGTACGATATCATTTTCCTTCAAGAAACCTACAGTACTGTAGATGTTGAAGATATCTGGAAGACGCAATGGCAAGGTAAGCTTCATTTTGCACATGGTTCTAATCACAGTTGTGGGGTGATGATTTTAGTGAGAAGTGACCTTGATTTTAGCGTTAAGTCCGTTAATTTGGATACTGAGGGCCGCTCAATTATAATGGAAGCTGAGGTACAAGGCTCATTATTCTTGTTTGTTAATATTTATGCTCCCAACAAGGTTCAAGATCAATGCCGTTTTTTTGAAAATTTAAATAAAAACATTGAACATTTCGCTGTTAACAAAGAGCATAGGATAATTGTAGGGGGAGATTTCAATGTCACACTGGACTCCGATCTTGATTGTTCAGGTGGAAAACCCTTTAAGAAAGAGTCTGTCAAAAAAATACAAGACTTATGTCTCGATTTCGACTTAGTAGACATTTGGCGAATTCGAAATCCGGAATGTAAACGTTTTACGTGGAGGCAAAAAAATCCTTTCATTCAGAGAAGACTTGACTATTGGCTAATCAATGATTCTTCCCAGGATGATATTGAGAAATCTGATATCATTCCTTCGATCAATTCAGACCACTCGGCAATTTCTCTTCATCTTAATAGTTTAGACAAACCGGAATACGGTCCCTCCTTTTGGAAATTTAATGCCAGTCTCATCGACGATGATGATTTTGTCACATTGATAAATGAAAGTGTGCCTATGTGGTTAAAGGAATTCGAAGATATTACAGATAAAAGACTGTTGTGGGATTTAATTAAGTACAGAATCAGACAAGTTTCAATTAAGTATAGTAAAGAGAAAGCGCTCAAAAAAAGAAAAAAGATTTCTGATCTTGAGACCTCTCTAAGGATTTGTGAGGAAAAGTGCAATGAGTCACCAACCTTTGAGAATCAGGAGGAGCTTGAAATGTTGAAAATGGAATACGATTCTATTTATGAACAGATAGCAAAGGGAGCCATTATTCGATCAAAAGCCACATGGTATGAGAAAGGCGAAAAAAGCAACAAGTATTTTCTAAATCTGGAAACGCATAAAAAAGCTAAAAGCTCTGTTCGCAAAGTCTTTAACAGTGAAGGTGTGCTAATCACAGACCCTAAAAGAATTCTCCAAGAGATACAAAATTTTTATTCCAATCTTTGTAAACATGATCCCCTTAGACCATCAGAGGAGATGCTAAATTTTTTCTTGAATAACTCTGAAATACCGAAACTCGCTAATAATGAGGCTCGAAACTGTGATGGAAAATTAACAGTTGACGAGTGTTACAAGAGTCTTCAGCTTTTTGAAAGCAACAAGTCACCAGGTAATGATGGATTAACGGCTGAATTTTATAGAGCTTTTTGGCACATTTTAGGAAATCTGATGGTAGACAGTTTAAACTACTCTTATGATTATGGCGAGTTGTCAAATTCCCAAAAGGAAGCCATTATTACCTTAATTGAGAAAAAGGATAAAGACAAACGGGATTTGTCGAATTGGAAACCAATCTCACTTATCAATGTGGATGTAAAAATAGGGTCAAAAGCTATTGCAAAAGATTAGAGAAGGTCTTACCAAACATCATACATTATAATCAATGTGCATATGTTAAGGGAAGAACTATTTTTGACGCAGTCAGAACGATAGAAGATGTCATGGAATTCTCACAAAGGTATAATCTTGAAGGAGAAATGATTTGTATAGATTTCAAAAAGCCTTCGATACTGTCAGTAGAGATTTTCTATTTCGCACTCTAACCTCTTTTTGGTTTCGGTACATCATTTTTGCAACGGATACACACATTTTACAACAACATCTCAAGTTGTGTCATAAACAATGGTTTTTCTACCCAGCCCTTTGCAGTTGAAAGGGGAGTGAGACAAGGAGACCCCCTCTCTGCTTACCTGTTCATCATAGCGCTAGAAATTCTTTGTATTAGCGTACGCAGTAGTAAAGATATTAATGGTATTAAGGTAGATAATGAAGAGATCAGATTAAGCCTTTTCGCAGATGATTTAACTGGTTTTTTGAAAGATAATCTTTCTTGTGAACTTTCTTAAACTTATAAAAGATTACGGGACTTGTTCAGGCCTGAAGATTAACCACGATAAATCAGAAATAATGATATTGGGTAATTGTTCTTCTACTCTACAACAAGACAATGTCGTTTCATGCAACTTAAAAATTAAAAAAGTTGTTAAAATTCTGGGAGTGCACTTCACCTATGATTTTCGATTGAAACAAAAATTAAATGTTGATGAATTAATTAGTTCCATTCAACAAAAACTACGAATTTGGAGGTGGAGGGATTTGACGATTATCGGAAGAATTCAAATTGTCAAAACTTTTATCATTCCTATTTTCCTGTATCGCGCGAGTTTGATATTAGTAAATAGGGAATTTGTGAAAGATGTGAACAAAATTATCTTCGATTTTATCTGGAAGGGGAAGGACAAAATCAAACGCTCTGCTCTTATTGGTGACATTGAAGATGGGGGACTTAAAGCCCCACATTTAGATTCTATAATAGAGACTCAGAGAATCCTCTGTTGCAAAAAGTTGGCAAGCGATCAACCGAGCAATTGGAAAAAAATTGTACTGCATTATCTTGAACCTGTGGGGGGTAAACTTATTTTATGTTGCGATTTTGATTTGAAGAAATTGCCCATAAAGCTTCCAGCATTTTATGAAGAATGCTTTAAAAGTTTCGCAAAATGTTCCGCAGCAACTCACACAAGTATACAGGATCAAAATAGACAAGATCTTTCAAAAGCTATTGTGTGGAATAATAAATTTATTTGTATCGGTGGCAAATCTGTGTATTTTAAAAATCTCGCAGAAAAAGGAATTCTTCGAATAGGGGATCTAATCTCGGACAATAACGAATTTATTGTCAAAAGTAATTACAAGTTGTGAGAATTAAACACCTCGCCGTTAGATATATTTCGACTTATTTCTGTAATAGACGCCTTACCAGTTGAATGGCGTGAATCATTAAACACGCTTGCTTCTACAGCTGACGAGCCTTTCAATTTGTATAACGAAATTAAATTAAGTTTTAATGACAAAAACGTTTTAATTGAAACAGTCATTTCAAAGACTATATATAAAGAACTTCGAAATAGAATCATCACTCCACCGACTGCCCAACTGAATTTTAATACTCATTTTGTTAATGATGTCTTAGAATGGAAAGAGATTTACAGCTTGCCATTTCGTACTTCCTTGGACACAAAATCGCGTGAATTCCAGTATAAACTACTTAACAGGTGTCTTATCACAAATTCTTTTTCAAACAAAATTGGTATTATTCCATCCCCGGCGTGTTCCTTCTGTGGCGAAATGAACGAATCCTTGGAGCATTTTTTTATTTCTTGTCGTTATACTAAGGATTTCTGGGCTGAGGTAATAAAGTGGTTCGATAATCAAGGCGTAAAGATAAAACACCTCTCTGAAAAAGATATAATGTTTGGTATTTTAAGGTGCGAAGACGAATTATTAATCAATCATATTTTAATAATTGCCAAACAGTATTTATATTCTTGCCGACAGAACAAATCTCTTCCTTCAATTAAAGTATTAAACCTCAAAATTAAAACGATCCACCAACTCGAGACTATGATCGCAAAATCAAATAATAAGCTAAAAGCTCATAATATGAAATGGGACAAGTACAAAAAAATTATTAGATGATATAGAATCTCATGTTTGTTGCTGCGCTGTACTAGTATGATATTTAGAAGCCGAGGAGAGCTAAGAGGAACGGTGGGTTGTGTATGTAGATATATGATGTACCGTGTCTGTCTGTTTATGTGAATTATGTTTGTGTATGAAAAATGTATGTAACTTTGAATTTGAAAATTAATAAAATTAAAAAAAAAAAAAAAAAAAAAAAAAAGTCGAAAGAAGGCGTCTATTACTATAACTACTCTATTACTGATAGGGACCAAAAGAAATTAACATTTTCACATCCTTTCATGCTAGACGCTAAATCAATGGTTAGCGACTTACCTGAACTGTCAAAGAGACTGGGGAGGCAGAAATTCCAAAATTGTCAGTCACTGTAGCGATAACTTTGACAGTAAAATTATCTGTACTGTTCTCAGGCGGTATCCAAGAGGTACTTATGTTTTTGTTAACGCCACGATATAATACATTGTACAGACCATTCTCTAGCCTGTATTGAAACTGGTAGGATAGAGGGGTGTTGTCACTTTCCCAGTTACTACAGCTCAGAATGAAATCGGTCTTCAGTGAGATGCCGCTTGGCGGAGTGATCGAGCAGTTACCACCTGTAGGAGGTTTTGCGGTAGAAAAATCGTAAGCACTCACTCCCCATAAACCGTCCGTAATTGTTATGAATAGTGCCAAGCGGTACATATTTCCACCAGTAAGGGAACCTCCTTTGATAACAATGTCACTTGAATTCAGCGGTGTACTTGTGACGAGTCGTAAATTATGTTTCCTTTGCCAGATAAAGGAGGTGTTTCGCTTGAAATGCTGGTAGAGCCTCCACTTATAGGATGATATTTTAGAGCACTGTGATCCGCGACATTGTGATTTGATACTAAGTTTGACCAAGGGACTCACTTTAGGTTGACAGTTAAAAAAACATCTAAAATGAAGCAAAAAGATTAGAAGAACACTCGGTGAAAAAGGGGTTTTGAACTTGCTCTGTCTGATGTGATCATGTAACTAAGAAGAACAGCTGCAGCAGTGGCCGCAATTTAATTAACATTAACATGAACAACTGCTATTAAAGTAGCTACAACAACAGTAGTAACCAAAACGACAATGACAACAATAACATTATCATTAATAGCAACAGCAAAGTATAAAAAAAGACGACAGTAGAAACAACGAAAATTAACAAAACCAGAAGCAAAACAGGTATAATTGGACGACAGAAGTGTCCGTAGCGAAAATAAAGAGCAACAGCAAGGTCAAGAACAAATAAAGGTATCAAAAACGGCAACAAAACTAACAGTAAAAACAAACCAAAAAACTAAATAACGACAGAAACAAACAAAGTAGATCCCTAACCCTTGATGTATTTCTGGTGGGTCTCCTTCTATCAAATGGATAACTTGATAAACGGTGGAAATACGACTGTCCTTGGTCATTACCAATTTAACTATGTGGGTCTGATGAACATACAAAGTTTCAGTGTTTAAGGAAACTAGTTCGCCAGATGCACTTCTGTGATAATGAATGGCTGACTCGTTTATTGCCATGAAGAAATCTTTCTCCGCCTTCGCTTCCCCTTGTTTACTGGAATTATTTCTTGTGACTTTGCCATAATGCCAGGTGAATTTCATTCCTGATCGGTTGCCATGTGCAACTTCCGGGTCATATGACAATGAGGCATTTAATGTGATATTTTTGTGGAGTCCTCTAGTTACTTCTGCGCCGCCGGAAATGACCGCTACAAGGTCAAGTTTTCTTTTGCCAGACGTCTCATCTATATAATGATAGAAAAAAAAAAACTTAGCAAAAATGCTACTTTCTCTGTTGATATCGGTTCAACCCTGTATACAATTGTTTTGTTACATTGTTGACACTGAAGAGCTTTTAACAAATGGTTTTCACCAAATTCTCAATACTTGAAAAGAATGTAAGCTGTAGGAGCCGATTTGAGCTGTTTTATCATTACATCTCATTCCTGACGTGTATGATGTCAGTAACTGTTGAAATCATATTTTATTGAGCGCCACTGTTAACTTTGGTCTTGGAAATTGAGCCAAAATTGAAAGAAACGACAGCAAACGTGTTCGTCGATGGATCGATGGGAGTAATGGTCGGCGAAACAACACGTCATAGTAGTATCGGCCATCCTCCGCTGCACCATCCTGTTGCATGTGAAAACATAAAATGTTACTCTTATGATCAAATGAGACAGTAAAATTTCAGAAGCAATATTTTACGAGCTGACCGTCTGAGAAAAAGTCCACTCTGGTAATTTTTTATATAGCAGGCAAACCCTATACAACTGATTGGAGTTTATTTGATCGCAAATATGTCAGGCAGTGGAGGAAATTAGCTGGCACAATTCAAGTTTCCCCTCTGCATTCTGTGATCTTTTTTTCTTTCAAATGAGAAAGTTAAACTTTTTAATCTCCCTAATTTGCGGTCGAAAACTTAAAAACCTGTAAGTTATTTACGGATATTGGCGGCCGTAAAATTGCAAGATGTGAGCATGATTGCAACACGTTCAGCCTTTCGTGACGAACCGTTGAGTGTGTTACATCTACACTAATTTCAGATTGCTGCCCTTCTTCAATGTTTGGCGAAGAACTGTTGACCTACTAGTATGAAGGTGTTCGAATATGCAAAGAAAAACAGATGCTTGCTGCTACTTTACGGAATGTGTTATTGTAGAAAATTTCGCCATGGGAAATAAATGAGAATTTAAAACGAGAAAAGGTATAAAAACCAGTCTGCCGTCGTTAGCCATGCAAGTTTAGCTTACTATTGATTTCCCTGATCGCACACGGTACTACACGTGTTCTGAAAAGAACGTCATCTTGTACCCTATCCCAGAATCCCCCTGTATGGACATGTAAGCTAACACAACATCTCTCCCTTTTTTCGTTAAAGAGCACAAAGTCTGAGAAATCATAGACACAGTCTACATCAGATCTCTTAACACAGTGTCTTAAAATGCTAAACCTAGATTTTTTCTGACTTTTAGCAATGGTTTTATAACTCGCTCAGGCCTAGTAGCAAGAATACGTGTTACGGGGGGTACTCGAAAGTCTCTTAGAAACAGGAACGTCCTTCCGAATAGGTGTTGCAGCCTTGCTCTCTGCTGGAACTTGTTTCTCCTCCGGCTTTAGTTGTTCATTTTCCAGCTGATCTGGCAGTGAGGTTAGGTGAACACGGTTTCTTCTGATCGTGCTGGCTGGTGTCTCAACCTTATATGACTGGGGTGTTACTGCTACTTCGATGACTTTTCCTGAATGCTGAAGGTCCTTCACAAAGACTTTCGTACCTGGTCCAATCGGAGGTAAACGCTTTGCCTTGTGCCTGCTGTTGAACACTGTTTGCTGCTTCAGCTTGCACATGCTCTATTTTTCAGGTAGGTTCTTCCAGATCAGGCCACTGCAGGTGAAGCTGGGTATGGAACACCGCAACACTGTTCCTTATCTGCCTTCCCATCAGGAACTTGGCAGGAGAGAATTGAATGCTAATAGCGTTGATCTGTAGGCTAGTAATCCTTTAGCTGGGTCTCTTTCTATCGAAAGCAGATTCTTCACGGTTCTAAATCCACTCTCATCCTCTCCGTCTGATTGGAGAAATCTCGGAATATGGGTGAAATATATTGACCATTGTCTGATCGCTCTTGTTCGGGGATGCCATGTCCGTCAAATATCGACTTAAGTGCTCTTATGACCTCACTTGACTTCGTCGTCTTCTTCATGGCTGCTACTTCTATGTACCTTGAGAAGTAGTCTATTACAATCAGGTAGTCGATGCCTTTCAGCTCGAAGAGGTCCGTGGCTACGACTTGCCAGGGGCGGTCTGGTAGGGGTGTTGCTATAGGCAGTTTGGGTTTGTTTTCCTTATGCAAAGCACAAACCCTACATTGTTGAAGCAGATCCTGGATTTCTCTACTAAGTCCTAGCCGGGCTTTTGGCCCGCTCATGGCATTTGGTGATTCCCTGATATCCCTCATGGATCTTATCCAAGTTCTCAAGTCGTATGGAGGATGGGTATGGGTACTTTCATCAATGAAATCATTGGACAGAATACGTACCTAAAAACTTTGTGTAATGGTGTCAGAAGACCAAATAACCACGTGACACTCAGTAAGGGAATAATAACCACGCATGCTCTAATGCCAAGTCTAAAGGATGACAACAGTCTAAGATATGGGATTGTTATAAGATCAATTTCAAATATCGTTTAGAGGATCATTTAAAATTGGATACGATTTCGTTAAAATCTCCGGCAGAAGCTGTCAAAAAATTAATCCTAATGCGAAACTTACAATCATAATCACAAATGCGACAAATATCCAGATCAAATTGTTAGTTAACGTCGACGACATCCAACAGCTAAAGGGAAAAAAAGGGGAAAACAAAAATAAAAAGAGAAAAATTATGTCTCACAATATACCCGATCAGCTTTGCCTCCAAAAGTAACATTCGTTCAGTGAAAGAAACTGTAGGTCACAGACTGGCCTTAGAAGATGAAGATTGTGAGAAGGAGATTAATGAAAGTTATAAGGAAGGGTAGGATATATAATCAAAGTAAAGCAAAACAAACTTCAAAAAGTGAACAAACAAAGTAAACAAAAACGATTATAGCTGGTAAAGATTTGTATCCCATATTTTTCAGGAGCGATGCTCTGTGAAATGGCAATCATAATGACTGGGAAACCTTTTATGAAAATTTAGAGTTAATAACATGATACAGTAAGGTAACAAAATAATCCCTGACAGTATATGATAAACTCAACTGAAAAATCAAAATACCCCATGAAATGACGTGATACATGTGCATCTTGGTGTTGATGTTGGAAACTTTCACAACAAACAGGTAGAGATGGATTTCCTCGACGAGCATCCAACAGAAAGCGACCATTAGGAAATAATGCATTAGAGCTACCACTGTGACACAAACAGCCTTCAAAAGTAAGGGGGAAAGACTTTTTTTACATTTCATTCAAGGAGGTTTTCTTTGAACGAACTCCACGAATGGTAAAGAGCCACTCACCGTTTTTTCTGTGGCGTTTATTCCAGCGAGAGAGATTATTTGTTCAGCTCCAAGGGATACAAAGAGACTTAGTCGTATTTGAGACAGGTTTTCCAATATGTCTGGTGAAAGTGAAGCAAGTATTGATGTTGATATACTTATATAAAAGTACGAGAAATCTGTAGAAGCACAAACGAAGAGCAAGGTCAAACAAATCAAGTAACCATTAGAACAACAAACAAACAAGCCCTGAAAACCAAACGTGATATCAATAATGACTCATAAATTTTGCAACATATTGAGTGTATGGAAATTGCAAATAATATTGTCCATAAATTATTGTTATATTTATTTCGAACTTTTTTAAAGTGACTGAAAGTGTATGATGGTTGACAGTCTACTGTAGTAGGTGTTGCTCACAATTTGTTGAACGCCGGTTTTATTTAACATTGTCTGTTCTAGAAAATACACCGCTGATTGATTAGAAATAGCAGTCACGTGAGGAAAAAAATACAAAGTTATTGTCGAAAGAATTCCGATGATGGAAAGGCATAATCCCACATATGTGATGATCTCCAAGATGGTTACGCCCTTGGAGGAGAGCTGTCGCAAAGTTAGATTGAACGATGAATTTATTGAACCAACACACCTATGATCGAAATGCAAAGTACAACAACAGTAAAAAATACCTCTGGGCCACAACTGAAGTCAGCTAAGAGAGAAAAATGAGTCAGATGATTGCATCTGCAAACTGTGTCTTCTGAGTTGCTCTCTGGTGGATCTACATAACAGCCGTCTCTTGAAAACCCTTGTGGGCTGAAAAAAAAAGTTACTGAGACGTTTTTGATCTTGAATGAAAATTCGGAGTTTCGAACATCATCATTCATCCCTTTGAATTGGCATTTAATCGCAGTCGTCTTTTCCGTCGTAATACTGATCACTCTCTTCGTATCGCAGTCTCCCTTGTTGTATTCCACTTTGCATCTTTTAACTTCTCTGTTGCAGCGCTGAAAAGAATTGTTTCCGCTGTATCTTAGATTACATTTTTTTTGCCTTACAAGATTGCGCACCACTCTCTTGACTAAATGTTAGAATACAAGTATAGTTCCCATGTTTGCAAATCTGCTCGTTTAAACTGCCAGTCTGGCAGACGGGTCGTTACTACTGTCGCATTCCTGATGATCCAACGCTAAGCCTGACAAATAATCACGATGGTGAAAATAATAAGGTTGACCCACAAATTTTACTGAACCAGTCAACACCTATGCACAACTCCTAGATGGATCCCACATCGAATGATCTTTGACATTTCCACAACACAACATTATAGAAATATCTACCTTATTGGTATCTAAATTCGTGGGTCTTTAATTCCGCGTACCGGGCGATTGCAAAAAAAATCGCCAAATCAAAGACCTGCGAATGAAAATCAATGCTAAATTGAAAGACACGAAATTAGCTCCCTTAAGAAAATTCATGTCGCTGACTAAACTGATCAACTCGTTACAATAACAACATCTACAGGATATCTACGCATCGACAAAGACTCAAATTATTATTTGGTTATACTGGTAAATTCTATTTTGTAACTTCTGTTCTGAAATGACGTTAACTTGCAAAGAAAGATTTCGCTCTCTTCGTACATATTCCTTAGAATACTAGGACGCGAAAGTCAATGCCCCTTTTTCATGTTTGCCTTTTAAAATCGTCAAAATATAACCCCGCGATATATCTCCTCGCCAGTATTGCGGAATTAATGTTTATGTTAGCGATTTCGATGAAAAGTGGACGGGAGACAGATGAAGAGAGTCTGCATTTCTTTCAAGAAGAAGGCCCGAGGAGGGTGTTTTTAGGTGGCTACTGCTTCAGCAATATGTTCATTACCAGGGGGAGTGGAGAGCTAGGTGTTAACCATTCATTTACCTATTCCAGAATTGTCATAGCTTTGATCTCAAAAATCAAGCTCAAATTACTCCTTCCCAATTTGCATATTTGCGCAAGAGTTTCACATCAACACGCAGGACCTTGCGTTTAGCCAGACTTAAAGTAATTAAGGAGTTCAATAATGGTATGGTACGCTTGTTTACCAAGGAACTCTCCCTTAGTATGAATAACAAGCTACATAATCAGAAAACGTCTCAGGCTCTATCAGTCTAGCCTCCTCTTTTTCTCCGCGTGCTATTAGGAGGACCATAGGTTCGAGTCATGTCTCGAGATATGCTCATGGTAATTATACTTACTGTACAGAAAGTCACGTTTTTAAAGGAGCATTGGTACTCACTCAGGAGGGTTAATAATAGTTGTGTGGTTGCCTATATTTGACAAGTTTTGGTCTTTATAATTCTTTGAGAGTTACGTCTGTGTTAGAAACGTGTTAGAAGAAAAGGACTATTTTCTCCAATTTGTATATCCTGCAGATCTGAGCAAAGTTCCATTCTCAGAAACATTTCAGAGAACACTATTTTGTAAAAACGATAGACCTTGCGTTGTTTTGTGCCAGAGCGAACCGTAAATGGAAAGTATACAATGCGGGAAATTGACTGTTATGCTAATTAAAAAACTGGCGCAGAACAGTACGGTATATCACACCTGTCTTTGCCATGCACCACAAAGTGTTATTGACAATATCAAAACCTTCTTTCATGCGATAATAGGCATGATAGCATAGTTTTATTATATAATTTTTGTTTTGCTGTACTAGATACGAATTTCTTCGCTGCATGGACATTTTATCGTTTGATTAACGATGATGAATCCTTAATTTTAGATTACGAGGATCAGAGCACGAGTCATACAGAATACGGCAAACGGTATGGATTTGTTTACTAGGTATGATTGTTTGTCTAACAAGGTGATCACTTTTTTATGTCGATCGCGACGTTGCGACAACATATTGACTGCATGTTTTCGACGATCAAAAAACTATTTAAGCAAAACTCTGTCGACCTTATTGCCTGAAGAAGACTCGCAGTACACAGTCGAAATGTCGTTATTTACATCGAAAGTGACTACGCAATGGAAAAAAAAACTTCTTTTGTGCAAGTGTATTCATCACGATTATTAGCTGCAACCTTATCATAATAATGATAATTTTATGCTTAAACATGCAAAGGCAGAGAAAAAATATAGATTTGTTCGTCTTTTCACGAGCGTGGGACAAATAAAAAATTCTGAATCCCCTTCGGATTCCTCGTCACTGAGCCACACATACTTCACGGTGAGCGAGGTCTATTACGAAATTCATATGACACGCGTCCTGCATACAGATAGGATCAACAATGTCGATAGCGTTATGTTTTTAAATACAATAAGAGAGATGGCAAGTTCTGAGCTTTTTAAAGGTTTGATCCTTCATGGGGACTCAAAATTTTTTCTTTGTCCCAGGCTCGTGACAGGACAAAAAAATCTTTCTTTCTTTCTTTACCGAGCTCAAAGTTTACCATCTCTCCTAATCTATTAACAAACATGCGCATACTAGTTCACAATAGTTTTTCGATTAGCTGTTCCCTCCAAAATTGCCCACGAGTCAATAACTACCTGTTTGAGTATACCCTCAGGGTCTCCAAATATGATGGGGAAAATATTCTAGAAAGAAGAACCGCAAATTAATGGCAAAAAAATACTGGCATAGTTTCAAATTTTTTTGCTTAAAGATTAGTTCACAACATGAATAAAAAATGTTTCATTGGTATTTCTGCTTGTTGTTTTATTGGTATCAAGATATTTTCTCGCTGATGTAGCACAATTTTTCTTCAAAATTGCCGTTTGACATCGGAACTGATATCACTGAGCAGCAGATTTCTTTTTCCATGTTGAGTTATATTTATCTGAATCTGAGATAGCTAGGCAACTTATGAGGCAATTAGCATTAAATTCGAGAAGTCTTCTACTTCCACCCTTACCACACGCTTGAGATTTTCTTGGAGATGAAAGCGAATCTTAAACGTTTCGTCTTTCTTGGCGTGATTAAAAAAAAATAAACTCTAAAAGCTAACGTTGAATGAGAGGTCCAGTATGTCTTCTTAACTTTATCTGAGCGTAATACTTTTTTAAACCCGCATTTAATTCACTGAAAGACTATTTTTGTTTTTCTCCATGTCATAATATTGAAGAAAAAAGCAAATGAACCGACGTTTGCTATTGAACGTATGTAAATTGAAAAGGGAAAGCACGTTTCGTATTACTTGTTTCATTTAGTTTCTTATTATCATTACCACTCTCATTCATGGCCTTTTTTAATCATTTTTTAACTAATAAATGCTTTGTTTGCTTAAAATCTCCTCTCTGAAGCTACTTAAGCCAACCTTTTCCATTACATAATATCGCAACATCGCACTCCATGCTCTAGAGGGCATTAGTTTCAAATTCAGATTCTTTAAAGCAATTGGCTTTTGTTGATTACAAAGAATGTTATTCAAATTCAGGTAGTGCATTAGTGGCGTATATAAGATAATCATTATGCACAAACCATTGAAAAGTTCTAATTAACTCTTTTTTTTCTGAGTAATTTACCTCCCTGAAGACGTCTTACATTGAACAAACAATATTCTGCCTTTTGTCACAGAACTGTTATACGCTTATCGTCATGGAGCGAGATTTTGAGAAGTCTATTTGTCTCGCGAGTGGAATATCTTTTTCCCTACTTTCATTTCTTATATCAGTTCTTAATGGTGTGACTTTGGTGGCATTATACAGAGACCCCCTTCGTCGCTTCAGAAAAACATTTTCCGTGTTTTTGATATTTATCGCTGCGATGGATCTGTTCGTTGGCATTGCTGTTTGCCCAGCAGAGGCTGTTATGAGGCTTAGGTGTACATTTGGAGAACATTTTTCACCTACGGAGGGAGATTTCCCCAGAATAATGGGATACATTGGAGTTAACAGCTCAATTTTGCTCGTTACAGCCATGTCGGTCGATCGTTTCGTTTCTGTTGTTTGTCCTTATTTCTATCTTCGTAAAGTCAGAACAAAACACCTCGTCTTTTGTACAGCGATCATGGTTCTTTTCTCTAGCATATTCGCCTCTCTTCAGCTCGTTGATTTGTCTCGGGATGTTTACGTTTTAGTCGATATTCACTTACACACGACGTTTCCTCTTGTCGTAACTACAATGGCCTATACTGGGATTTTCATAACTTTGCGAAAGAGCCGCTCTCGCGTTGATTTGCAAAGACGGTCATCTATCTCTGAAAACCCAGTACTTAGCGACATACGCAGACTAAAAAACACCCAAAAACAGCATCGATGTGCCACAACTTCGTTTTTAATCTTAATTTGTCTGATTACTTGTCTGGTTCCCTATTTCGTCGTTGTTCTTATTGAAGCAAACTGCGACAGCTGCCACGATCAGAAATGGCTGTTGACTTTAAGAGTAACTTCCGAGATATTTCTGAACGTCAATTCTGCAGTAAATCCTATTTTGACTACATTTAGACTTAAAGAACTGAAGCGATCAATTGAAGTAGTATTATGTGGAAGAGAGAACATCAATAATGTGGCAGATTTGGAACATCAACATCTTCAAACCGCGAGAGCGCATTTACCCAATTGTCCACGTTAATCAGAGATGGAGGATTCATACGCACGGGAAAACCTAACTCCGATCATTTTTATCAATATAGAAACAAAATATTTCAATACGCGACTATTGATTTGATGACTTCTACTAAAAATTTAAAAACAGCCTCACCAAGGATACAAGGCCACAACCATAATATAAATCATTTGTCGAACAATGAAGCCTTACGTTAGTTTAGTTGTTTTTTTTGGGTTTTTTTTTTTTAATTTTCAGCATTTTTTGTGTTCATCACTTTCACAAGACATACAAATAGACACTTCATTCATGGCTAAAATGCACAGTCCAAACGGTAAATTGTGAAGTCAGACTATCTGGTGAAGGATAAAATTTCGTGATATTATACTTTTCCTATTTTCTACGTACGATGCTCAGCGAAGCTTATATAAAGGAGTTTCTAATGGAGTCTATTGATCACAGTATTTTTTGGCCTTATCGCTCCACGCAAGTGTTTTAAAACCCTACGGCTTGCAGTTGAATAGACTCATTAGAGCAGGTGTGCCTTGCCTAAAACGCCACTTCTTTGAGGCTAATCATCATGCATTAAAAGGAATCTTATTGAAATTAACTCAGTCCACGTAGTAAATTCAGACGAACAAAAACAAATCCAACAAGCTGTACTTTCAAAACGAGCCTTTTGAAATAGAGTGATCAATACCTAATATACTCCCACGTGTTTCAATGCATCGTAAAAAAAAAAAAAATTACTGTTTTCAGTAATATTTTAGGCCTTACCAGCGGCCTAAAACGTCAAATAATTGTAAATCGTTTCTGCGTGGTGCATTTATCAATAAAAGTGGACTCTGTTTACGCTGTCAAAGACCCCACATATCTTAAATGAGCTATATTCATATTTTTCTTGGTCTGGAATCTTAAATCCTCTAATCTGATATTCCATTCCCCTTGGATGATCGTTTAATACAGGTTTGACTATAATAGCAGTTTACTGCTTCTGAATTGCATGGTAAATTTTTTTTTAATCTACTTGCCACTTCGCCAGAGGGAGAAATTACCTTGATTTTTGTGATCAACACAAACATGAATTACGGCTTAAAGACGCCAACAACTTGCCAATATGAATGGAAGATGTCCTATATAGGCGATCGGCAGAAGGAAGAGCCTTGCTTAACTCAAAAGTTCTGAAGCAGATCCATTTACTACATGTGTTGCATCTGAGTTCGTGCCTATGACATTACGAAATAGCTTTTCCAATGCACTTTGCCTGTGGTTAGCCAGGGCTATACTTGGTTGGCTGTAAATTTTGCGAATAAACTGCCTCAGATACAACTTTCATCCTGTAACGATAGGATTTTTAGTTATCGAGTTCTTTCGTGCTTGCGCTTAAAAATACAATATTCAACGTAGAAAACTTAGTTCAGCAAAGCGTAAATGCTACCAGTTCTCCTTCAGCCACCCGTAAACAGTTGTTATTAGTGTTAAACTGTAACAGCCACCTGTCATGTCCTTTTGTGTAACTGTTATCCACCGGAACTCTTTGAAAGTAATTAATGTTGTAAAAGGCGAAATTCCTGCTTAGCCAATAGTGTAGTAGATTACATGATTCTTTAGATTATTCATGGCATTACGTTATCCATGTACGTTAGGCTTAAATAGGACTGTTCTGTAAAGCTTAAAGGAGAAAAAAGGAAGAGAAGAAAAGAGAAGAAGAGAAGAGCAGGGTCGAACCAGCCCTGGCCAGGTCCGTTCTGGTCAAAATTGTATTAGAGCTTGCAGAATAAATCTACGTTGGAGCCAACCCTGTTGTCGTTAGTCATTCTCTCAAGGATAGTCAGCAACCGTAATAGATTCCGGTTCCTTCCCGCAGCCAGCGACTGCCCCCATGGAATGCCTTTACCCAGAAAGAGTTTTTAAGAGTTGTCCCCGTCCGTCCGTCCGTTCATTTGTGAAGGCAAAACCCTGTTTTCACAATCCTTCCCAGCACATATGCCTTTCATTTTCAAAAACCAAGAGTGGGAATTCATGTGATTCTTTGCCATAAGCGTGCACTGCATGCATGAAGCACCATCTTAGAAAAAGCGTCCCCTTCCGTGGAGCAAGAATAATACATGTCACTCATGATTACACATTTATACCGCGAACATAGGTTAGTCAGTCATTAAAGGTGTCACCTTTTCCGAGTCGCTACACTTAAACTTATAGCCATGTGATTCTTTTTTTGAGCTGGGTTTATAGGAATATTTATTACGAGTATTGACGCCCTAAGATCCATATATCACCTACGATGAAAACGAACATGTCTACAAATGTCGATGGCTGGAATAGAATTGCAATTTTGGCGTTTTATACTGTATATGGGAAGACGAAAGCTACTGATCCCTATTGCTGATTTCCTTCAAAAATAAATATTAGAAGGTCTCTTCCAATCATAAATACCAGTAAACTCATAAAGAAAATTACTAATTCTTACGTTTGGTTCCGAAATGCTTTCCAAAACACTCAACTCCTGTTTGTATCTTTGACCTAAAAAATTTACGATTTTTTAAATTTTTTTTTTTTTTCATTTATTTATTTTATTTTTTATCAGAACAGTCATAACGTTTATCTATTTGCAATTTGGGTGTTCATTGATTTTAGGAGGACATTGAAATAAACGAACGTACACCAAACAAACAGTGAATTTAACTTTTTCTTGGTTTTTTTTTTCCTTTTGGGATCCGACACAAGAACTGAATCAGAAGTTAGAAGTTCATCAAGCCTTTCTCTAGATAAACTATCGTAGGGAGATACGACGACTTACTGTAGCAAGAATAAATGAACATAAATAAAGTTGATACTCACCCATAAATCTTATCAACAATGCGTTCGTAGTCGATGATTGAAGAATGTTCATTTCTTCGAGAAATAATTTCCCCGCGGCTAAAAAAGCCAACTTAAGCCGGATGATGCACTCGCTATATGATAGAGTGTACTATATTACAGTCGGTATAATGGTTTGTCCATTATCTTCTATATCGTTGTGTAAAATTATTGCTCGTGAGTGCTTGATAGACCGGTATCCAGTAAATGGATGATTTCAGCTTGTATTTTGTTAATTTTTAGCGACAGTTAAGCTTTTAAAATGCAATATATTTTTCTCGATTTAGAACTGGCTGACATGTACAGTGTGAACGTCCGGCATTTCATTTCGCAGTTACACCACAATGTCATCTGAAGTCAGAACAAACATTTTCTATTTGTTCTTGAATAGAAGGAAATGACTAATTTCAGACATTTCTTAAGAACTACCATTTTAAGCGTCGGGGTTACTTTTTGAAATCTATCGCAGTTTTGCCGTAAACTCTTTAATCTCTCTTCTAACGGCTCTCTTATTTACATGTCATTCCTATTATACTAACTTTTTTTGCCTAAAGCAAATTTAAAATGGGCATAAGTTTTTTCTGCCATTAGAAACTTGCCCCTGACAGCCCATTTAAGTTCAAACTTAAAAAGTTAGAAAAAGCAATAAAAACGAATAATTTAAAACGAGACCAAAATTTTGTAAATTAAAAATGATGTACTGAGAAAGTCACAGTGGGTACTACAATTTATATTGAAAGTAGAAATCAAATAGCAGCGCGCTTATAAGGATCTAAACCAAAAAGAATTATAAAGTCATGAAATTGGAGAACTACTACGTTTGTTTCTTGATATACACGAGTGTTTTTGGGACAAACTTCTTCAGTGCAGTGCTTTTCTCGCGCCGATAAACCTTAACTCGCCAGTAGCATTACGCTTGAAATACCCTTATCATGATATCAAACCCTGAAAAATTATTTCCGCCCTACACGGAATTTTCTTTTCGGAAAATATTCGAACCTACAGGAAAGGATACGTATAACAGGAGTACATGATCCTATATGAATTGTATGTCCAAGATCCTGAAATGCATACCAGCCTTGCAACTTACTTGGTTTTGCATTTAAAATAAGGTATCCAAACCTCCTCCTCCCCCCCCTCCCCTTGGGGACAAAATTAAGCAAAATAGACGTGACTTCATTTGTATATTCCTGATAGTTTATATTTCCTCAAAGGTGTTTCGGTGATAAACAAGAAGTAGCAAATGCAAAAATCGCTGTAAGAGTTGCCACTTGTGTATATGCATTCATGTTGTATCTATCGATACCGACTTTTTCTCCAACTAGTTTTCATTCCAACATTTCAAGCAATACACTTGATCAAACATTTCGACTCTGAGAAATTTGAGAACATTCGTCATTTCCTGACATGAATACAAAAAAAAAAAAAGGAAAAAAAATGGGGCTTTAAAAAATAATAATGATGACTAGATAGGTGAATATGTATTTATTATACATTTGTTTATTTATCCATTATTGCTATAGGAGCAACTATATTGTGTCACATTCAATTTGATTACGTATCTGACTTACTATATGGAACACGAAAACAGATTAAAGAAAAGACGTTGAAATCGTTGATTTGTATGTTTAACACAATTTATAGGTAATCAAGCTTTTACACAGTTTTTTTCTTTTAATTTTAGGGCGAACCTTAAACTTAACAATAAAGTACAAACATTGCAGTTGACTAACTTCAATGGCTTGGAATGTAAAGCTCTTCTACAAGTATTAACATTAAGCAGAAATATCTTAAGAAGGGCGACAAACCGAGTGAGATTTATATCATTTTATCCGTCCCATTAAAACGAGGGTCCATGCATGTACTAGTGAAGGGGGATAGACCCATGATTTACCAGGGGGCATCAATTAAAGTCAACAGCTAATAGCATTACGAAACCGCAGAACTGAAAAAAAAATACATTTAAAACCGCGACAAAAATTCGCTTAAAGCCGAAAATCGCATCCAAAACCGTCTAAACCGATTTTTCACATCCTAGTTGTGAAAACCCTAATCGATCCAATAAAGATGACAGATGGAGCACAAAGAGGTCTCACAGCTATGGAGGCAAAAAGATTGCCGCTCAGATCAAAGAGGAATTGGAACCCAAATAGGAAAAGCCAAAACTACTTCGGACTCCAAATCTGAAAACCCATTAGTATTTTTGACGAAAATCGAAAACCAAGTGCCAAAACTCGGAAATCTGCGAACCACAATAAACACCAAAACTGTAAAACCGAAGTTTGTTTGGCACAAAACCGAAAAACCGATCTAAAAAGATGACGAACACCGCAAAACCAAAAATCCTAATCCCCCTTCCTTACTGATACTACGATACTAACCAGGTTCTAATGAGGAATTACTGAGGGAAGGTCATGCTAAGTGATTGCAAATCGCTAAAAGATGATTGACTAGCTTCACCGAGGCGCAGTGCTATTTATGTATCGAAAGACTGCATTTCGACTGCCCGCATTTTCCCGGCATCACTTGCGTTAACTCGTGAGCTCTTCCTTGCAGAGTTTCCAACTTCGGAAGATGGAAAAATTGCGTTCATCCTCCTTTTCAATCGCTCTCTAATCTTTAGATGAACAATTGGCCAAATATCAGTTCTTAACCATCCAAAGCTCAGTGATTCTAAAGTCTCCACAATTCACTTGATCTACCTCCCCTGTTTGATATGCTACTCATAGAGTCGGTTTTGATATTCTAATTGTTACACTGAGATGAAAGGGTATATTGACCCCAGGCTAGTAAAACACAACTGAATCTTACCTTATGTGAAAAAGAAAATTGGAAAACGGAAAAAACAAAAAAATCAAAGGTGAACTTTTACTTTTACGGTAAACAAAACGATTCTGTCAGCAACACTACGTAAGACGACGACGAGAGAAGCGAAAAAAGGCGACAATCGGAAGTGAAAACGAATAAAATGCATAAAAAAAAATGGCTTCAAACCAGAAAGTAACAAATTGACAATGACGGATATTCGAGAACTTTAAGGAAAGTCACATTGGTATCATATTCAAGTGAGGAGCTTTCCCACTCGAACGTTGTTGTTGTTGTTTTTTTTTTTTTTTGGTCTTTTCCGCTGCAAAAGCTAATTGGTGTTTCCTTCACAGACAAAACTTCATAACGGTTAACAAAGATTACGTAAGCCCGGCGTGCATAACTTCTAGAACAAGGTAAGTAATATATTTCAGCTTGTTACCTTCTGTTAAAGCCCTTCCAAAACACACCAGCCTTTTTTCTTTCATCAACCTGAAAACGTGTATTATCTCGTTAGAATAAATAAACAAAGTGTGGCCCAATTGATACCAATTTTGATCGTGTTGTTACCCTCAGGTTTCTGAACTTTAATATGACATTCGCTTCTAGTTTGTTTGGTTTTGGATCCATAGCCACGCCCATTATCCTGGAGTTCAAATGCCTAGCAAAAAAGAAAAGAAAATAATAATTTTGTACAATTTGAATCATATAATTTTTAACGAGATGGTAACCATGGTAGCCAAGGAGCTCTAACTGTGTTACTTTAAAGCTGATTTCTTTGACACCGAAAGTAATCATTGATTTACACAGGGACCACGAAATAGGGCTTTGAAAAGTTTAAAAAACTTTCTTGGTTGAATGCGGAAGATACAATTTAAGATTTTAGAGAAATTAAAATTCACCGTGTGTCTTCATTCCTGATCGGTTGATCTAGGTCCAGTAGTTCGTGGAGATCCTTATACACAATCCCAACAACCAGAGAAACTAAAAAAAAAGGAGGAAAAAATTGAAAAGTTAAAAAAAAGTCGGGATTAAACATGTTCTTCCAAGAAATTTCAGATAACTGAATTGATAGACTTTGTAAACAAACAAATTCAGGACTATGTATATGTGCAGATGTACTTCAACACCGCGTAAATTTGTAAGGCAAATAAAGGGAACTGTACTTATCCATTAAGGAGTAAACACTGCTGTCGATACCAACCGGATTTTGCAAAATTTGCAGACAAAACATTTATGCTTGCTTGCAATTCTTGATCCTCAAGGTAGAAGTCACCTGCATTTTGATAGTAGGTTTTTTGAATACCCAGCACTAACGAAGAAAACACCAGGTGATGGTATTAATAATTTCACGACTCATGTTGGACTGAAAATACAGTCTATATATCATGGTTGCATTAACGCTTTTCTTTACTTTACCTCACAACAAATGCAATCCTTAAAAGATTGTAAAATCATCGATAAAATCGCTGGATATAATTATTCAATTCCATCACGATTGATAAACACAAATAGTCAATGGGAGGACCGGAGGAGTCGATTTGATCCAGAAATAATGCTTCCCATTCAGTAACGTGTACAAATTTACTACATCATCAAGGCCTAGAGACCATATTGTGTTCAGACTCACCCATTATGTGGTTGTCGATCACTTGTGAGGACCTCGTTCCAATCAGGTGGAGCTTGCTGTAATTAAGAGCAAATTCCTCAAAGGCGACTGCCACGTTAAAAGTGAATTCTCTCTTTATCTCGATCTCTTCTGTTACAAGCGCGCGGTCACGAGCTCTTGTGATGTTTTTAATACTTGTGATGAATACTTCCAAAACCACTATGGCTTCCTGTAATGACATGAAATATTTTTGTTCCCGCAAGGTGCTGTGCATTTTTTTAAGAAAATAAAAAGAATCATGTCAAATAAACGAGAAAATACTCCAGCGAGAGAGCCAACCAATATCGGGTACAAATGTATGTGCACAGGTTAAAGATAGACTCGCCCAGGAAATCAAAATATTTTTACTTGGCGGATCAATTATTCAGGTATTGTCTAATAATTAAAAAACAAATAAAAATGATACTGATAATAATTCTGATAACGATAATTTCGATAATTGTTCAGTATGTGTCCGAATCACTTTCTATGAATGGAATCGTCGTTTCGAGGTTTAACCATGTTTACTTTTAATTTCGGCATAGAATCGCTCGAATAAAGTTGGTTTGGCTTGCAATTTTCGATTTACTTGGCAATTTCCTTCCGTAAACACCACTATTTCCAAGTCGACAACACAAAAGGAATTACTTTTTACGGTATTTTCGTTGTTAGCCGAGCTGTTTTTCAGCCGCTGTATTGTTGTTGCGGTGGCGAAAAAAGCCCATTTGATAAACCGGCCATTGTTTTGCCCGCAAATTTTCAGCAAATGTTGTGACATTCAAGGCTCGCACTTTATTGGCTATCTGTGAGTTTCTTTGATTATTGACCAATCAGAATGTCTGGTTTGTTACTTCTTTGCACTGAATTAACCCTATTCTGCACTGAATTAACCCTATTCTGCACTGAATTAACCCTATTCTGCACTGAATTAACCCTATTCTGCACTGAATTAACCCTCTTCTGCACTGATTTACCTGAAAACTGCATTTATCTTAACCAATCAGAACTGAGTAATTTTTTCATGTATATTATTACACGCGTGATAAAAATTCATATTTGCGGATTCCGTTCGAACATTTGAAACACACTGACTGGAGCATCAGTTGCATAACTGCATGTAGAAATTAGTAGAATGAAATACCTGCAAGGAACTGGCGTTGGTGATATCCATTCTGCGAAGTTTAGAAACATATTCAGCCGCCTGAGGTAAGAAAAATAACAATTATAATTATAGAGTATGAGGATCCTCAAAGTAAAAAAAAAACAAACAAGCAAAGCAAAAACAAAACAAAAAAAAAATACACACCAGCTTTTGAATCATTTTCGACTGCAGCGGCGATGATGATGTCGATGGTAACAATGACTGCGATGGCAAAAGCGCGGACGAAGGCAAGTCAAAAGGTGACTGTAACGAAGACAACTGAGACCGTGACTTAGGTGACTGTGAAAAAGGTGATTGAGACACCGACAGGGACGGTGATTGTGACAGCGAAAACAATGTCGAGGATAATGACCACACAGGTAGCGATGGAGTGGAACGTAACTTTATGGATCCGGATGGTGAAGATGCGACTGCAGTTGACTGAAACGTCCACTGCAATGCTGACTGCGACAGTAACTGAAAAGGCGTCTGGGACGTTGATAGCCAAAAAGATAGCGAGTACAACTGACACGGCGAATGTGACGCCAACTGTGAGGGCAATAGGGGCGATGACTGAGAAGGCGATTGGGAAGGCAATTGGGCAATTGATTGCAACAACGACGTAAACTGCGACTGAGACAGCAAATGAAATGGAGGATGAGACACTGATGAAGAAAACAACTGCGGAACCAACTGCGATGGCGACTGCGACATAGACAATGACGCTGATGGTGACGGCGAACGCAATGGCAACAATGATAACCATAGTGTGGGCGATGGAGTGGGTTGTGGCCGTATAGATTCAGATGGTAAAGATTTGTCCGCAGCTGTCGGTGAGGACACTGGTGGTTTAGCTGACACTGGTGCAATTAACGCCAAAGATAAAAAAAACTTTACTAACGAAATGCTCTCATCAACAACTTTTTTTCCATACTGTTTTCTATATTACATTTAAAAATTCAATTTATATTCATTGGAATAATTAAGTTCAATTTTATCTCTAAAACTGTCTTCATGCATCTTACATATGACTCTTTAACTCGGATAAGGCGGCAAATAATTGAATCGCTTTCTCTGTTTACTTTATCAGTGGATAAATAATATCATAATATTAGGTTTATCCTGTACTCTGAATATTTCGCATTGCATTGAAATCAGCACCTATAACTTCGTGGTTCTAATGATCAGATTTTAACTAAGGAAAATGTAAAGATAGGTTGAGTCTGCTTGTAGTTGGTGTTTGTTTTATAATACGATTGTAATAATAAGTTGTCATGTATCTCTATAAAAATGAATCACAAGCCCTTCTATTAAGATAAAGCAATTTATAATAATGGATCTAAGATAAAGCAATTTATAATAATGAATCACTAAGGATAACTTTTAACCAGACCAATTGGAGTGACGATTTTTTGCAGCCGATGGTGACCTTCATTTTGTTCAATCAAATAAAGAAAATCAAGGAAACTAAAATAGCTGATGATTGAAAGTTTTCACAACTGCTGTTACTCATAAAATCACAGAAGTTATAATTTTCTCGATTGTTGTTGGTTTTAAAAAGCTCCTATCTTCTACAAATTCGAAGTTGCTATGTTACATGCCAAGTTGTTGTCGGACAGTTCGATGAGACAATCACTTTCAAAGTTGTTGTTTAACTCGACTAGTTACAATCAAAGTTGTTCTTCGAATTATCCTGAATGTCAGAACCTCTATAAGTTCCACTATGATAGCAGTGGTAAGTGTACCGAACGTGAACACATAGATAACATTCGCATTACTCTTGAGCTCTTGGCGTGCCTTTTACTTAGTTCAGTTTTAAAAATAAAGAGTAATTTTGTCTTACCTTTTGGAATTTCGCAAATATAAGCCAAGTTCCTAGAGCCATGGATGTTATAAAATAGGCCCTGGTCGCCATTAACAGACTGCTTGCATATGTGAGCCACAGCTCCCCTACTTTGTCGCTCTTCTGCCCATTTAGACATGTTCAGCAGTTTTCTATTCACCCAAGTCCAGTTTTCGCCTTTTTTTTTTAAGCCAATGTACCATCTATTACAACAACAGCAATGGTGGTCTCTTAGATTACAGTGGGACATGTTGCGATTTTGAATCTCGTCATTAATGAAATTCCATTCTTCTTCGGTTTCAATGGAGACCAGATCTCCTCCTTGACTTTGGCAGATTCCTCTGTCCGTTGTCCAGTTGCCTCCTCTTTTCGTGAATATATACCAAGAGTTTTGAAAAGAAATATTTGGGCATTCTACGAAATTAAGGCAATAATAATGATGACCATGATGATGGTAAATAATAGGAAAATCATTAGGCCAATCAAGGGTACATATAAACTAGCCGGTAGACTGGCGTGTCTCTATCATTGTTATAATTACTGGCATCATCATAATCATTATCAATTTTCATTGTTATTATAACTAGAATTGTAACATTTGTAGCGTCTGTTGATCAGTGTCATTTAAGAACCCGTCCACACTTATGCGTTTTCCTTTGAAAACGGATATTTTTTGATGTGTTTTGCCCTTCCGCTCGTGCTAAACGTTAGAAAACAGAAGCGTTTTCAAATGGGCATAAATCGATTCGAAAACGCTATCAAAAGTGGGAACATTTGAAAGCGCATCATATCGTTTTAGTGGGGACAGTCAAAAACGGGGCCTTCCGAAGGTAATGACGCTGGGTGACGTCATAATGTCATCAACCTCTTTTCTAAGCCTCCCGTCTAAAATTCAAAACAAATATAACGGATAAGTAAATGGAATATGCTTTGAAGTTTAACTGGAGCTTAATATTGTGTCTGTTCAGGCACGCGCAAATCAACGAGTAAGCACGTCACATCAAGTCATTTATGTGTGTTCCAGTGTTTTAGTGTGAACAGTCAAAAACGTTTGGAAAACTCTCTGAACACGAAGAAGCAATGTGTTTTTTGAAGGACGAAAACGGAGCGTTTCGAAAACGTATTAGCGTGGACGGAGTGTACATTCTTTTTATATTACAGCGTCCGATCTCATCTTCCATTTTGAATGATTTCACTTCTAATCAGCATAAATTAATTTGATTTTATGCCATTTTTAAACTCGAGTTTCTTTTTGTCTGCTTGTTAGTTTTTTGGTTTATTTTTTTCTATTTTTTCAACATTGTAAGGGTCAAGGGTTACTCGTCTGAAGGGGCTTAAAGAAAATCCCAAAATTAGATGCGAATGAAACTCATCATGATATTTTAACTGCTAATTTGTTCATAATGAATTTTTTCATCACCTACGCGCGTAAAATCTGGGTGAATCTATGTATATTAGGTGAGCAATATCTTGACTTTATGGAAAATAAATCTTTCAGATAAATTCTCATCAGATCAGTTCCAGAAGGGCATGTTCCAGCATGTAATGATCTTTATCGGTGGAATTTCTGTTTACCTTTGGGCATTTCACAAATAAAGGCGTTGATTTCGGACCAAGAAATTGCGTAAAAAAGGCTTTCATTCTTGGATATTCCGCCCCGACCTTTTGTCTTTTTGTCCTTTAGTCGCCATTTCGAAATATTCAGTTGTGCTCCACTTTCCCAAGTCCAGGTCGTCGCGTTCTTTTTTAAACCAATGTGCCACCCAGTAGTATTCCAAGAAGAAGGTTTTTTTAATTTCTTGATTTATAAACTGCCATTCTTCTTCCGTTTCGATAGAAACAAGGTAACCTCCCTGATATTTGCAAGCCATCCTGTTCTTTCTCCAATTTCGTCCCCATTTCGAAAATGTGTACCAGGAATTTTTGAAACATGAATGTTGGCATTCTGAGACAAAGTGAATAAATAAATAAATTAATAAATAAATAAATAAATACACCAAAAATATGTGGATTATAGTGATGATTAACAATATGATAGTGTCGATGTTAGAGACAAAAACTACTGATTATCATGTCAATGATTTTATTCATAAACGATGAGCATAAAGCATTTTACCTCGCTGAAGCAAACCTTGAAATGAATCTTGGCTTTAAAAATGGTAATTGGGGAGATCTGGATGGTGGTAGTGTGATTCTTCAACTATGTTGTTTTGTTTCAAACTCACGATTAGAACCACAAGCCGATTAATGTACTTTCAACTGGCAGTCCATGGCTGATTGTTCTTATAAATCAGTCGGAATTTCCCCTTTTTTAGGTTCTGTTTTAGGTATAAAATTATTAAAGTTGGAATAGCGCCGTCTCACCTGTTCCTTTCCATTGCATCATTAGAGTAACAAGGACTGCAGAAGAGAAATAAATTAAACATGTGCATTGACTTTTTGTTGGAATAATGTTATTTGTAACAAGTAGAAAAAATGTCTCTTAATTTCAAGTTGAACTATTACTAACAAATTAATGGATGCATTTCCATTCGCGCGCAACTGGTCTAAGCGTGTAAAGTGACCGGATGGATTCTATCAAGACTGCCAAGATAGGCTCATCTAGCCTGCTTGGGTAGCCAATCAGACACAAGGTTCCCTTTATATTGCCCAAGGGCGCTGCCGGCTGTATGATAAATTATGATATCATTCCACTTTTTTGCCTTAACGCTAATTCAAGAGTTATTTACTATTTTTGGGTCGTTGGAGAAAAAGAAATAAGAATTATTACTTATAGTCTTGTAATTCATCGAAGATCAAAATTTTGAAAAATATCCTCTGAAGTGTAGACCGAACAAAGAAATTGCGATAACAGAAGCCTGAAAAAAAAATTCCGGCTTCTAGATTGTTCACCATTGTGCCTCGCAGTATCTGTTTAGAGCTACATACAGTTAAAATTCATTGAAAATTATAATTATCGTATGCGACGAATGATGGCATACTGCTGCAGCTATGGGATTGAGGCAAAATATAACCATTTTTCTTTCTTTTTCGCTTTTTTGCTAAGTGGAGTGGAACTCATTCATTTCTACGAGGTTTTTGTGTCCGCTTGGAGGAAAACCGTTTTATAAATCAAAGAGAAAAAAAAAAGTAAAATATAATTCGAGGAGGAAGGCGCTTAATCAAAGGGAAAACGAATCGAAAAACCTGCCAGATGTCTATCTCTATAGCTGACAGTATTCATTGCGAAAATTGCTCGCGCAAACCCTCTTCTGTTTTTCACTATCAATGTTTTCTTTAGAGCATGATTTTATAAATGAGCTCGGACGAAACTTCCTCTTCGTTTCGTATAGTACTTTTTATTTCGGCTGATAAAATTTCTTTCGTATCCTATTTATCAAACGACGAACTTTTTTTTGGCGCTCAATATATTTATGCGAATTTCGCCTGTGACATCCTGTGAAGGTAGCTTCAGACTGAGCTATTGCTTTTTTTAAAGCTATAAATATCGGTGCTCAAAACTGTTTTGCTGACCGTCACGACAGAACACTAATTATGGATAACAACGACAGCAGCAAACCTTTATTTAACTAGGGTAATCCCTTCTGAATACTTAAAAAGTATATCTGTTATCAATAGGAGCCCTAGAAACGACGACTTCATGATTTTAATTATATATGTCAGTCTGTTTAATTATTTTCAAATCATTTTGCATCGCATTGAAGCTAAATAAAATTTAAAAACACACTTACACACATCGCCTGTATTATTTTTATTTTATACCTTACTTATTCATTCATTTGTTCTCAATTTAAATTTGTTTTGTCATCAAGAAGCTGAATAAGCTACAATTGACGCATCCATTTCAGGTTTAATCTTGGCATGGGCCGCTGGCTGTCCCGCTACCTGTCCCGCTACCTCAATTTCTTCATCATAACATTTAATACTAATTTTTCATTCACAAAGCATAACCAATCGATATAATAAGGCTTGTACTTACTCAGCAAACAAAGGGCTGTGATCATATTACCAGATTGAAGCCGTTTCATCGCATCATTCATTATGAGATTCCGTTAGCAGCTGTCAGTATGCTTGTTTTGGTTCGTGACTCGGTGGCATCTCTTCAGCTTTAGATGTGTCGGTGTATTTCAAACCCTTTATAGGAGGCCGAGTGTAATGGACATCAAAATATTTCATCCTTTCTTGCTGACGTGAGTCAACATTTATTTTCCCTGTATAAACGCACCAATAACTCTAAATGATTTTTTGACTAAGTGCGGAAAGATGTTTTGCCTAATAAAAACAAAAAAAAATTGCGACGAGAAAAAACTTCATTAATTTTACCTTTCGTAATAGTGCAGATGATATAGCATTACTTAGTTAATTTTTTAACTCTTTGTGAGTCAAGTTTCTTTCTTTTGCATATTGTTTCTTTTGATTTTCATAAATGAGATAAGTAACTTAATATTAAACAACGAACTTCGTTCTGCGCGGTTGAGATCATACATTTACATGTATCTTCAGCGTGATATCTTGTCACAATAACTTAAGAAGGTTGGTAACTGAGTTATTGTGTCCCTGAGACTCTACATATTACTTCTGATCGAAGGTGCCGTAACGAACGTCAATTAGGACGCAGCAATAATGAATTAAAACGATCACTTCAGTTTGAAAATCGCATAATTATTGTATAATTGTGGCTAACTGTTCCTGATCATTTTGCTTCGTATCGAAACCAAACACTTCTTGGCGGCAAAACAAACTTAAAGATATTTCTTCTATTATCTTATATTATGTAGAAGTAGGTTAACATAGTCGAAAGCTGTAATAACCCTGTTGCAGCTGGTCGACGCGCAGCCTTCGCCTGGGTTTCCATACGGGACATCGAGTTTTTCGTGCATGCGCGGTGGCGGCATTCTCGAACGGTGCCACGAGGTCACCGAATTAAAACCTCTTTATCTCCTTCAGTTTCTCGATTTTTCGGTCTTAATGTTAGCTTAAACAGTGTAACGTTTAGTACGAGTTTTCAAAAAGTCTTCATGAAAGATTTTTGATTAAAGGCTTATATTTTACATGGGTAGTCACCGTTCGCGGCAAGAAACCCAATCCGTATGACAAGTGGAGCATATAATAAAACAAGTATTTTTTTCTCTAAGTTTGCTTTCTCTTGAACTCTACCACAGAATTCTGAAGGTCTCAATGTTGTTAAATTAACCGTTAAAGAGTAAAAAAATTAAAGAAAAAAACTAAAGAAAGAAAAGGCATGAGGGGAGATGGGAAGGCGAGGCATCTGTGAGGGTTGATTTTCTCTCAGCATAACGTTTCCCCGATTCTGATCTTTTTCCCTGTTTAGCAGTACCAGGTTGATGGAAATTTATTTTTTTGCATACCTTTCAAGATAAGTCTCTTGCTAAACGGATAAGCTTTTAACGTGTGCTGTTTTTAGTCGACATCATCCTTCCGTTGCTAAAGAAATTTTGCAGGAAATTGAATGTCATGCGAATTCTTGACGCCTTGTCTTCGGTTAAATTCTTTACACCTGCTTAAACCAAGCATGGCAAAATAATTAATTTATATCGAAAGGAACTGTTTCATTTCGTTATTCGTAATTCTTTTAATAGAGTAGAGTGCGATCCACAATCATACAGGGAGAAAAAAAATTAAATAAAATAGTTGTGATATCCCCAAGCTTGAGAAAGTAACTTTTTAGTAACAATTATGACAAAAAATTGCTCATGTCCTTCCTACGGTTGCCTACTCACTATTAAGATTCCTTGTTTACTTACCTATTGAAATAACACTTTCGCTGTTTTTAGAGCGCTTAAAAAATTTGAACTGGTACGGAACAAAGTAATTTACTAATTTTAAAATGATCCTACAACTTAGATGATGACGCTGCCTTACCTTTCTCTGCCGTTACTTTTTCTTTCGCACCTGCTCTTCTCCATGAACACTCAAACATCATCTTTTAATTTATTTAATTCATTTTTGATACATCGGTTTGGAATTATTGGGTATGCAGACCATTCATTATCACACTATCATTATATTGAGAGAATGACAAGAAGTATCCCTGGGTCATTTCGCTTAAATGGGAGATCAAATGTATCGATCTCTGCTGCTCATGATCAACGACGAATGTTTCGACCGTTATTCCGTTGCATCAATAATTATGAGCGATGGTGATGAAAAGTTTTTGTGCTCGTCAATATATGTCTGTACTTATATCTTGCAGGAGTAATATATCCATTAAGAATCGCCACAAAGCTCTGATGTCTCATCTATTCTCTTTCTAATGCAATCAGAGGACACAAAATGGATGGGGGTAGCTTGGATTCTCGAGGGGCCCCCCTCCCCCCCTCCTTCCCCTTCTGAAAGCAGGGGGGAAGTGGGGATATCGTCGTTATGAATTTCCGCGCGCGCGCCTCACGTAAAGGGGCGTTAACTTATATCTAACGGGCTTGTAATCACACAGTGGAAAGGATTCTTTAACATTTCATAATATTTTGTGTCATGTACCTCCTCAGAATTCACGCCTGCAACCATGGCAATGACTTCATGTTCAAAGAAACAAACCAAAAACCAGACAAAAATATCAAAGAGCAACATAAACACTCACCCAAGAGAGTAGTTGGACTTCTCCAGCATCTTAGAATCTTCCCCTGCGGAGATGGGGTTAGGGGGGTGAGAGCGAAGGGAAGGTGGCTAACATGGATCCAAAACCCCTTCCTCTATTCCACCCTCTAATGGTTTACTCCAATGATTGATCAAAACTCAGAGGGATTCTTCCCTACGGGACAGTTTTGTTTCATTGCTTCTCGGTACAGCGATTTTAATCCGAAGTGATCAAAAGTGACTTTGTGACTCGATAGGGTACAAAGTGCCTCGTCATGCGAAAAAATATAACAGATTACTGAAAGATAGAGATTATTCATTCGTTTTTAATCATTTATTATTTTATCTTTTGATTTAATTCATTTATTAATTAAAAATTTTAAAACTTGACTTTTACCACTGCTATTACAAAAGTACGATCGTATTTAGTATTTTCACAGGTACCTTAGAGTTACCTTGTGTATTCAATATGTGGATCATTATAAAGTCGTTATTAATATCAGTAAACAGTGGTTTAAAGGAAATACAGTAAAATTTGTATTAGTGTTAAACAAGTGAGACTTGAATGTATAATACGATTTTAGATAATGGACTTTCATTTTCGTTCTATTAAATCCAGTCATTTAAGCTATTTCTTTTTAAACTCTCAACTTATTTTAAGACTGCTATTCAACTACCCACACATGACCGACATCACTGAGATTAACCTGTGAGCTTTTCCTTGTGGATTTTTTATTTCTACAGGTGGAAAAACGGTATCACTAAAAGTCCTTTAAATTGAATGACAGACTATTGTATGGTGCTATTCTTTGAAAGCCTGCATTTCTACCGCCCTCACTTCGCTGGCATCACTTGGATTAAATTGTGAGCTCTTCTTCGCAGAGTTTCCATGATCTGCAGCAGATGGGAAAATGATGTTCATCGTCCTTTTCAATCGCTCTCTAATCTGCAGATAAACAGGCGACCAAATATCAATTGCTAACCGCTAAAATCTCTATTGATGTCTAACAAATACACAATTCGCCTTATGTACATCCTCAGTTTGATATTCATCTTACCTGGCTGTTCCGCACACAATGGAGAACGAAAATCAGGATTCCCTAAAACAGACAATTATATCAGTATTACGCCTTTTGTAATCCGAATGACAAAGGTGATAAAGGTATAATCGTTTAATATGAAACCACGATAAAAGTGGCGAAAGAATGAATTAGAGCAAGTCGTATATCTTGTAAACCAATAAAGATTGTCTGCTGTTGGGTAAGTTATGTTGAGTAGGTAAAATCATCTTACAAATATCAGAGTCTTTTAGGTAAAAGAGTACTTTGAGCATTTAAGTATGTGAACAGATGACTAAAATTTGGTATCGACTGACTTTTATTGAGATCTCACCTGAGTAGAGTTGAAAATGGTAAAAATGTAGGCGAAAGCTTTGTGTAATGATAAAAAAAGTCCAAAAAGCCATGTGACACCAAGCAGTGGGATCATCACCGCGCATGTTTTAATGCCAAGTCTGAATAATGGCAACAATATATGATGAGCATCGATAAACTGTTTCTTTCAATCACGCGAATGAATTTTTTTTCAAAGTCGTATTGCTTCATCGTCGCAGACTAACTAGAGTGGAATCTGTACAAATACTGCTTAACTAAATGCGGCAACTATTTGATCACATCACCTGAGGAGTCCTTGTAAAAACTTGTTATTATCTAACTTTGCCCCCTGAATTTTAACTAGTTTATCACAATTATCTACTAAATGTTAAATTTAAAAACTTCCCGTATCTGCTGAGTATGGTTGTCTTCCCCCATGGGTTGGATTAATGTCCTCATCTCCTTTATTACTCTGACGAGTATCAAAATGTTGAGCTGAAAAAAAAGCAAGGAATATAAAATCACCGACAACAGAAAAATTGTCGTTCGTCTTGTTGCGAGCGTTTGAAAAAAGAAAAGTCTGAATCTTCATAAAAAATTAAACCCTCTGTATTTAGCTAGCCAACGCGCTCCGACGTCTCTATAATAGGCAGCAGAGAACCCTGTGCTGCACCACGCTATTAGTTGGTTCATACGTAGGCCAAGAGGAATAGAAGTTGGAAATACGCGAGGGAATGGCAATTGGAGTAGGCATTCTCTTGAAAGACGGTACATATTTAGTTATGAAAATCTCTAATAATAGAAAGTCCTGATATAGATAGGAAATAACAATAATATTACTGACGATAATAATAATAACAATAATAACAATATTAATGAGGTGTCAATCAATAAGACTCACAAGTTCAATGAAAGCTACAAATGTGATGAAGATCCAGATCAGGTTATTTGTTGAGGACAACCAGCAACTGGAAACGAGCATATAAAAAGATACATTTACATAAAATAATATTTGCAGCACGACACAAATCAAACACAAAAACACAATAAAAAAGACAACTCCAAGTGAAAACAAGTGGAGTGATAAAGGAAAACGGGGAAGAGATCTTAACAGCGGCAATGTGTCCTGAAATGCTGATTATTTAAATGAAAAGAGAGAAAGAGAGAGGGAGAGAGAGAGAGAGGAAAGAGGAAGAAGAGAGAAGGAACTGCAGTTGTATTATTGACTTTTTCTCATACTATTTTTCACTGGTATAGCTTTTAATTCCATCTTTTCCAGCAGCGATGCTCACTGAAATGCTAACCATGATGATGGGCAAGCCTAAACATAAGTAGAATGGAGTTAGTGCAACTCGAGAAGTCATACGTCCGATTTTGAGGCGATTCCGATTCAGCAGCTTACAATAATTTACAACAAGCGAAATAAAAATACCCCATGATATGAAGTGATACATATTCATCTTGGTGTCGATGTTATAAACTTTCACAACAAACAGGAAAAAATAAATTCCCTCCACCAGCATCCAACAGAAAGCTGCCATCAAGAAGTACTGCAAGAAAGCTGCAGTTAGGACACAGAGAGCCTGCGAGAGAGAAAAATAAGTTTTTCTCGGTTTTTCATGTTACTAACATGAAAATGATTTTCTGAAGAATCTTTTAAGCCCCTAAAAAGCAAACAAACCATAAACAGATAAATACCACACTTACTGTATTTTCTGTAGCGTTTATGCCGGCGAGAAATATTATTTGTCCAGCTCCGAGGGCCACAGAAAGACTCAGTCGTATTTGAGTCAGAGGTTGCCATACGTCTCTAGTGAAACAAACGAGAAATAAAGAAAACTAACAAACAAACAGAAAAAAAAACAAAAACTTAAAGACGAAACAAAAACAAAAACAAAACGAAGCAATATTTAACAAGGTATTCTATTAATTTTGAACTGTAGTAGTTTAGACGTGTTACCCGCTTTCGCTCATAAATTTAATTAATCTCTATTCCATTTTAATCATTGCTATTCTGCTATAATTGCCATTATTTCATTTGTTCAACATACTTTTTATTTTCATCGATATATTTTTTTAAGAACTCGTCTGTTGAAAGCCCTAAAGCCTTTAGGGTCATGCAAAGACCTAGTTCTTTGAGCGTATGGCTACAGTACTAACGTGAGGTAGGAATATAGAATAATTGTCAAAAGAATCGCGAAGATGGAGGGGCTCAATCCCACATAGGTGATAATTTCCAGAATAGTTTCGTCTTCCTCTGTGAGCTGTGAAGAGAGATTAAGAGACAGCAAACATGTTACTTAAACCAATAAAGTTTTATACCAGTGCTAAAGGTAAGGCGAAAATCAATTCATTACCCCTGGGCTACCATTGTAGTCAAGTAAGACAGCAAAATGAGTCAAATGATTGCAGCTGCAAACTGTTTCTTCTGAGTTGCTTTTCGAAGTAACCACGTGGCATCCTGTCTCTGAAAATCCGCCTGACCTGAAAATTGTTTAAATAATAAATACTACTAATAATAATGATCAAAAGAAAAATGGAAATTACAACGAAAACTCATCAGGGCACCGATAGGTTTAACTTCTGTCTGACTTTCACCGAGGTCATAACCTCTAAACATCGTTGAGTACTTTCGAAATTGGCGTTTGTCGACATCTTCTCCCTGCCACTCATGGATTTGCCTTTGAGTGATCACTGTCAGCACTTGAAAACTAAGGAAAATGGTATACTGATGATACTGATAATCAGGCTTGACACAATTCTTAAATAGACTCTTAAAAAAGTACACCCTACAAACAAAGAAACAACAACCACAATAAGACAAAGAAACAAATCAATGAACATATAATTAAAATAAATAGAAGGAGTCTGTAAGCAATGGATATATAGATATAGCTATGAACACAGAAGAAAAAAACAGCAACAACAAAACCTCGTCCAAAAAAAGTAACATTCAACAAATCAATGCTTTCATTTAAAGAACAAACAGATTAACCTTGAAAGGCCCTATTTAGAACGTAGGGAAATTTTCAAAGTCTCGTCAAAATCGAGTGGGGAATGATTGACGGCTAATAATTAACCTAGAAAAACACTCATTTAAGTATAATATTCATTTCATTTTTCTTTATAATTTGAGAATGAAGAATCAATCACTCCTGGAACGGGATGAAATGTATATTCCAGCTGTTACCTTTCCCTTAAGTCACTCCAAGACATGCATTTCTTCTTTCCTTCATCAATCTGTACTCGGAATATAAACATTAAAATCATTTACTCGGCATAAATATCACAACGTAAAACTATTGATTCTGATTTTGATTGTGTTCTTACCTTCAGATCTCTGAAATTTAGGATGACATTCTCTTGTAATTTTTCTGGTTTTGGATCTAAAGCCACGGCCGTTATCTCAGAGTCCAAATACCTTCGGAGGAAATAAATATCAGTATGAAACAGATTTATTTAAAGCATAGTAATTATTTTAATGAAAATAGCAAGCTAGGAGCCTTTACAAACTTACTTAAAGGCTAATTTATCAAACACGGAAAGATCATTGATTCACATGACTAACTATCTCTCAATATGGCTTTGAAAAATTAATAACTCATAGCTCTAACCCCTCGAGTTTCTATTTTGTGTATTTTCGATGGAAGAGGCATTTGGTTAAGAAGCTTTGGGAGGTAACCTCACCATGTGGTGCCCGTTATAGTTCCGAAGGGTTGATCTGTAATCAATACTTCATGGAGATCCTTGTACACGATCCCAACAACCACTGATACTAAAAAAGTACAAAAAAGAAAGAATAAGGTTACAACATGGAAATATGAAATCTAAGTTGCCAATGCGGATGTCTGAATCAAACGCATTATGTAAACCAACACACAAACTTGTATGTGTTTGAAGATGTATTTAAAAACTGAAAAAAATTGGAGGGGAATAAAAAAATTGTGATTTCTCGTAGCACATCGAAGATTTAAAAACTGAAGTCAATACAAACCGTTGTTGGCAAAGTTTTTAGAGGAAACCTTCAGGCTCGTTTGCAGGTCTTGTTTCTCAAGAGAAAAGTCACTAGCATTTTTGCGGTAGGTTTTTTGTATAGCCAACACTGATGGAGAAGAAACAATAGAGATGAAATTAAGAGTAACACATTTTCGAAGAAATATTTTTCGTGTTGGTTCGAAAGTAAGTCGTAATCATAATATGATAATTATACTTGCTTGAGAGCTATGTGTTCTCCACATCATCCTCTAAAATGTGCAATATTCTATAGATCATTAAGACATCGAAAACCTGAAGATTTAACACTTTTCAACATTCTAATCGCCGAAAAAAATTGTTAATTATCACTATGATTGATTAAAATAAATGGTCAACGGGAGGGATGAACCAGCTCGATCCGGCTACAGCACTGATCAACAGGTCCCATGAAAAAAAAATAGTTAAATCAGTAAAGCAGCCATTCTTTCATCGGTCATAGTGTCAGTCAATAAACAAGTAAGTCAAACCCTGACTCACCAAGTTTTCGGCTGTTTATCTCCACTGAAGAACCCGCTCCGATCATTTGGTGTTTGCCATAATTAACGGCGAATACCTCTAAGGCGACGGCCACCTTAAAGATGGAATTTCTTATTTCTTCGATTTCCTCTTTTAGAGGAGGTTTTTGAAGGATTTGGATACTAGTGATGAAGTCTTCAAAAATCCATATACCCTCCTGTAATAACATAACATATCTCCGTTAAAGTAAGATGCTAAAAATTGGGATCCGTGTGAGTCAAACAAGATATTTTATTGTCACATGAGTATTAAGCCTCAGAACCCTTGATCGCGGTCGAACATTTAAACAAAACAGTTTGAGGTAACGGTAACGCATTCAATATGCTTGTAAGGCCCATATTTCGTCAATTCTTAGTTAGATTATGGAAAAAAATGAGAAAAAAAACATCCAGCATGATGGCAAAATGATGTGTAGGATGTGCACAAGTTAAAGAGGTGTCCAAAATCTCGTCCAAGGAGTCGGAATTACCTTTTTCGGGAATTAATTTTTTTCCTCATGCCAGTTCGTATCTTACAAATGATAATAATAACGATAGTGAGGGTGATCATGTTATGATAACAATAATAATGATAATGATAATGATAACGATGGCGATAATGATACAGTCTTTTTTAATCTTGTTCAAAAGAACTCGAAGTTTTTTTCAAGCTTAGAAACTAGTGCATTGTATTGGTCATTCTTTCAAATCATTTCATATAAACTAAGTGGCTCAGTCATATAAGATAAGCAAATAGTAAATTCATACCATCAAGGACCTGTTTGTACTGATTTCGTCTCCTTTTATTTTGAAAACAGAATCGTTCGCCTGAGGTAGAGAAAGAATAAAGTTGGCGAACAACAAGGTTGTAAATGAAAAGCTTGAGAGAAATATTTTTCCTACCAGATTCTTGACAACTTTCAGCGTCAATGACAGAGGCGTCCGTAGAGACGGAGACGGTGATGATCTTGTTGCCGATGTTTCTGATGATGATGACAGTAACAATGATGCTGCTGATGCCCCTGCTGTTGATATTGCTTCCGATGATGCTGCTGCTGATGATCCTGATACTGATGCTGATCTTGCTGCTGGCTTTGATGATGATGGTGATAGTGCTGATGAATATACTGATGCCCCTGCTGGTAACACCGCTGCTGATGGTGAGTGTGATGGAGATGATAGTAGTGGTGAAGGTAAGACTAATGATAAAGGTGACTGTGACATTGATTGCAACGGAGCTGAATATTGAAGAAAAAATATTGTCAAAATAAAAACTGATGCTATGGTAAGACACGACGAATTTTAAAAGAAAATATTTTCTATTTGTTTTTCAGAATCTTAAACAGTTTTTCGTAAAATTAAAAAGAATGTTTTAAGTATTTAATGCACTATTCTACTCACTGTAAGTTTCTGTTCCATGTCCTGTTGAAGTTTTAGTCGCGAATACTCGAAATGTTGAAGCCCCAATAGATGTAATGGAATTCGACATGGATAAATTTGAATTGATGCTGTGACTATTTGGAAATTTGGTGCAAATGCAGCTTTTATCTTGGCCGCAGACGGTCTGAAAGATTCTCGTCGTGAGGGACCATGACTTGGAAGGCAGCATGAGGATTTTGCAACATTGACCATTTCCAGAGCACATTAGCTTATCATGAGAACTGGTTGGCCAAGTCCTCGTGATATTACACGTACCGTCACACATCTGTATACAATCGCCAGCGTTACAATGCATATTGCACATCTGTACTGTTCCTGTGCAATGTTGTTTTTTACAATTTATCCCGCTACAGTTCAGGTTACATCTCTCAGCGTCGCACGTTTGTTCACAATCCTGACTGTCACATTCTAGTTCCATGTCACATGTATATCCTTTACCTTGGCACTTCTGTGTTTTACAACTGCTCCCGCTGCAAGTCAGGTTACATCTCTGAGCGTCGCAGGTCTGTTCACAATCCTGACCGTAACATTCTAGTTCCATTTCGCATGCATATCCTTTACCTTGACACTTCTGTGTTTTACAATTCCTCCCACTGCAGGTCAGGTTACATCTCTCAGCGTCGCAGGTTTGTTCACAATTCTGACTTTTACATTCTAGTTCCATTTCACATACATATCCTTTACCTTGGCACTTCTGTTTTTTACAATAGCTCCCGCTACAGTTCAGGTTACAAATCTTAGCGTCACACGTTTGTTCACAATCCTGACTGTTACATTCTAGATCGATTTCACATGCATATCCTTTACCTTGACACTTCTGCGTTTTACAGTTGTTCCCGTAGCAGGTCAGGTTACACCTCTCAGCGTCGCAGGTTTGTTCACAATCCTTATTGTTACATTCTAGTTCCATTTCACATGAATATCTGTTACCTTGACACTTCTGCGTTTTACACTTTTCCCCGCTGCAGTTCATTTTACACCTGTTAGCCTCGCAGGTTTGATCACAATCCCTACCGTTACATTCTACTTCCATTTCACAAATATTTCCTTCACCTTCGCACTTCTGTGTTTTACACTTTCCCCCGCTGCAGTTCATTTTACACCTGTTAGCCTTGCAGGTTTGATCACAATCCCTACCATTACATTCCAGATCCATTTCACATACATTTCTTTCACCTTCGCACTTCTGTGTTTTACATTTTTCCCCGCTGCAGGTTAGGTTACATTTATCAGCGTTGCAGATTTGTTCACAACCCTGATGGTTACATTCTAAATGCATTTCGCATGCAAGTCCGCCTTCTTTAAGGCACTTCTGTGTTTTACAAAATTGCCCGCTACAGTTCAGTTTACACGTGTTAGCCGTGCAGGTTTGGTCACAATCGTTACCTATACACTCCAGATTCAATTCACACAACTCAACTCCAGTATCACACGTCTGTTTACAGCCTTCTCCCTTGCATTTCATAAGACAATTATAATTACCACTGCTGCAATTCCGGAGCGGATCACAATGATCGCCGTCCTTCTTACATTTCGATTGACATTTACTCTCATCGCATTCCTCACCGCCCAGCCCAAAACCTGACACAAAAAAACAAGAACAGAAACAAAAATATATGAATACTAACTATGAAAATGAAAATGAAATAATTATGAAAAATACAGAGGTATCACAGGACCTTCGTTGCGCAAATAAACAACTTTATACCACTTTTGCATGAGACTACTGAATACAATTTCGTTTTGGCTTCCTGAAAAAAGCCTGTGTGGCCACCCGCCACCAAGAATGTTCTAATCTAGGTTTCAGCGGTCTTTGTTTGCGCTCAATTTTATTTCGAAGACTTTTCAAAGGGCAGCCATGAGATGGACTCTTCGGAGTGCGCTTAAGATGCATTCTGAATGAAATCAACCCTTTAAAGGGAGCTTTGGTACCCACTCAACATAGTTATTGATAACAGGAGTGTTCCCCACAACTGGCAACTTCTCGTCATCACTATTTTTTACCCTCATTAGCCAGCGACCAGTTTTGAGCTTCAATTAATGACGAGCATGACCGTCGCCTTGCTACAACACTAATGTAATTAGATGTTTTGTTAGCTCTCTTAATGGTCCTCAGTAATTAGTGCAGAGCGGAAGATCTTACCTGCACATGCCACGCACACTAATGTAATTAGATATATTTTTTTAGCTTTTTCTAATGGTCTTCAGTAATTAGTGCGGAGTGGAAGATCTTACCTGCATATGCCATGCACAAGAGGGTGTTTTTGACAAAATATGTGACGTTTTTCGTTTCTTAGAACAATAAATGGAGATAGTAGCTCACCGAAGCTTAATTAGTCGTTTAACTTCAAAAACCCACAGAGTTAGAGACTGATTTGCTAGATATGAGTATTCCCTGTTTTCGTTGTATATATGTTAAAATGAAGAATCTCTGATGTCAGACTTTGGGAAGCACAGTCACGTGGAATATGGAAACAGACAAATCGTTATTTTTCGCCTGGGAGGGAAAAGGAGGATTTTGTAGAGGGGAACACATGGTTTTCAGGAGTAACAGAATGGAGATCAGTCATCGCTAATGGTGCAAAAAGAGGAAGACTGTAGGTAATTGACTTCCAATGAGGGGGGGATTATTGAAATACTTCCCAGTCTTTGGGAGGATCGGGTAATTTTTATGTAACACGACTGAAATCCTGCAAAATCCCCACCCCATCCTATCCCTTATCGATACTAATCTGCAAACGAAGATCAGTCGTTGGTCTCACAATGTGGTCCCGTTCGATATGAATCCGCATATTGATTTTATGCCTTCGAAGATCTTAAAACACAACGGGTATTGGTAAACCCGTCTACCTTATCGCTTAAGAAATTCTCGCAAATGACTACATCCTGAAAAAAATATATATATATTATTCTTCATATACAAATGTGTTCATTGCAATCTTTAATTGCAACTCACATTGTAGTTATAATGATAATAATAATAATGATAACAATTTACTGTTTTTAAAAAGTGGCATAATAGCTCTAAAAAGTATGCCGATTAACGGTTTTCTAAAAAATTGACGGGGTTATACCTAGAAGCCAATAATAAGTGTTTTTGCTATCAACCAGCTGTTTCACATTTCCCCTGGGGTTTTTTCAAAATGTTTGGGAAAGGATCTAGAAGAAAAGGAAAACAAATAAACTGAAACAGTATCAATGCAAAAAATTTTTACTCAGAAAAATAATCTAGAACAACTCCGTCGAAATTGCATATCGTGTTTGATATGTTTGGTTTAATATTGCTTTCTTGATGGTTTGGTATATTTGATGCAAGCATTCGAAAGACTAAAAATTTTTTACCTTATTTTCCCCTTAATCACAACGTGATCGTATTTAAATAGTTTTTTTTTTCTATTTTTTTTTTCTTTGGCACGGGAATTAAAATAGATCCGGAAAAAATTCGTGGCAAAATAAAAGTCGGAACTGCTGCTGAGGTTTTCTTACCCTGCATTTTCATCATGAAATTATACACTGATTTAACTAGTCAGAGCCCTTGTTATCACGAAACGTCGCTATCTTTGTGTGATAGACGTTTTTCAGTCGATATTTCCAAAGCCTTCTCCAAATACGAAAACGGTTGACAAACCCATGAGACAATTTGCATAAATTTCGAGAAGTCCTCCATTCCCACCCCTTCCCTTCGATTGAATCTTATACCTGAATTGTACGCACGAGTCTAAAATGTTACAACTACGTCCATATATATATATATATATATATATATATATATATATATATCTATATCTATATCTATATATCTAAAAGCATCTGTCGACCTTTGGCGAAATCATAATATCTCATTAATATGCAAACAAACTATTCTTCCTATTTTTTGATCATCTGTGTATAGTGTGGGGAGATTATAATAAGCCGAGAGTTCTCAGCGTTTAGAAAGCCTCCAAAACCAAGCAATATTTTATCAGCTCATCGTAAGTCTTGCACAAAAGGCATGCGCAGTAAGTTAGGTCTTTTATCATCAAGTCGTTTCTAAAAGGATCTTTGTCAACCACAAGACATTGCATGCTTAGTCTGCCATTTTCTGTTTTTCAAAAGAATAGAATGATCTTACAAAAGAGTTAAGGGAACTCAGCCCTTTCTTAAGTTGAAAACAGTATGAAGAAGAACAACTGTACTGCTTATGAGTATGTATATATCGCTCATTTTTCTCTTTTTGTCTATATATATAAATATATACCATATATACCCGTTTTTTTTAAAACGTAGCAATTTAGAAATATGTATCAGATAAAGTAGCTGCTGTACACTATTGTGCCTCGCAGTAACTGGATGAGGACTACAAACAACTGGGTAAGATTTCACTTGCCTACGTAGAGTGATGCAAATAATAGCGCCTCTAAGTCTTTCTTTTCTGTACTCTTTTAACCTTAGTTAACCCTTCAGGAACATTCCATCATTCTTCCAATCATTCAGAGCTCAAAATATGAATTAAACAATTATTTGTAAGCTAGAAAATGCTCGATTCTCGGAACAGATTTGGATGGTGTCTGAAAGATAGTTTTACAGGCATACCTGATAAAAAGAAATACATATGTGTACTAATATTGCTTGATTTTAGATATGCGACATCCGCCAAAAAAAGTAAAAAAATGATTTAAATGGAAATGAGAATTGAAATGCATATGATTCAATTTTCCTTCAAAACTTTCCCAATGGACTAGAAGATTAACTTAACTGAATCCGAAGTTTATCATTAAAGTTTTGAAGTTTTTTATTTTTCATTGAAAAATAAAATTATCGAATTCGGCGAAAGTGGCATACTGCTGTAGCTATGGGATCGATGCAAAATGAAAGTATTTTAATTTTTTTTTTCCTTTTTCTTTTTCTAAGTGGAATGAAACTCATTCATTTCTACTAGATGTTAGTGTCCGCTTGAGGAAACACCGTCTTAAAAATTAAAGAAAGAAAAAAACTAAAAATAAATAGAGGAAGAAGGTACTTAATAAAAAACAAACTGATCGAATAACCTACCACGTCTATTTTTATAGCTAACGGTATTCATTGGGAAAATTCCTTGTGTAAAACATACTTCTGTATATCACAATCAATCTTTTCTCTAGGGCACGATTATATAAATGAGCTCAAATTCATCCAAACGACTAACTTATGTTTGGCGCTCAAGAGATTTATGCGAATTTTCCAGTGACATCCAGTGGAGGTAGCTTCAGAGAATGGCGACTGAGCTTTGGTGTTTCTCCGACGCTAAATATCAGTTCTAAAAACTGTTTTGCTGACCGTCAACACAGAATACGACGAATTTATTTTTAAAACTTCATGATTGTAATCATTGTGTTTAATTATTTTCAAATCATTTTGCATCGTATTGAAGCTAAAATAACATTTAAAAACACAGTTAGACACATTATTTTTACATTATATCTTACTTATTCATTCATTTGTTCTCAATTTAAACCTGTTTTGTTATCAAGAAGCTGAATAAGCTCCAATTGACACATCATTTTCAGGTCTATTCTTGGAATGGGGCTGCTGGCTTCCCGCTACATTTCTTCATCGTAGCATTTACTACTAATTTTACATTTACAAAACATAACCAATCGATGTAATAAGGCTTGTATTTACTAAGCGAAAGAAGGGCTGTGATCAGTTTACCGGATTAAAGCCCTTTCATCGCATCATTCATCGTGAGATTCCATTAGCAGCTATCAGTATGCTTGTTTTGGTTCGTGACTTGGTGGCATCTTGTTTGCTACAGATGTGTCAATGTATTTCAAACCGCTAATGTAATGGACATTAAAACACTTAGTCGCTTCTTGCTGACGTAAGTCAACATTTACTTTCCTTTCAAACAGGCACCTACAAGTTTAAATAATTTTTGGACCAGGCGCAAAGAGATGTTTTGCGCAATTAAAACAAAAAAATGCGATGAACAAAAGCTTTGATCTCGTAAAGACTTCCCTTTAGTTAGCTTTGTTTGTAGGCGGATAAACGCTCGTGCTGCTGCACTAATAATGATCGCCTGGTGGAAAAAAACCTTTTTTACCCAAATCCTCTAACATTTCACGAACACAGTTTTCTTTCAGTAATCTGAATCAAATTTATCGTTGCCTCGATACATTCCCGTGTACATGGGTTTTCATTGGAAGCACAGATATATTTGTTAAGTCTTGCATATCCTGGAAAAGTAAAATTTGGAAGGAAAATAATAACATAAGCCGTGAACATATAACAAGTGACAAGAAAATTTTTGCCAGGAGTTGCGTGCAGCTCCGCAGGTTGATCTATCGCAGACGGTTGTATTTCACGGTTTTTCTCCTCACTTTCAAATTCAATGCCTGTGTGGGCTGAAAATAATTCATTTGCATTTGCATTTGCATCACAGCACCTTAATGAAATTCTCCAGTGCGCTGCAAAATCGATCTTGCTTGGGCCGCTACAAAGTTAGCATCCCCTAATTTACAAACTTTTCCTGTGTTCTCCTGACGTCCCAAGTGATTTATTAGGGGTGTTTACCGAGAAAAAGTGTGGTTTACGGCTTAAATAGTGTTAGTTTATAAGATTTTACTGGGAGATATTGTTTTTCTTTCGTTGTGAGGGCAATAAGCTCGAGTCTCGCCAGAGAATTCTGAAGAAGTCACGATTTTCGGAATAAGCTTGTGGCACTAATCTAGTGAACAATGATTTGAGTTTTAAAAAGAACTTTTGTACTCACTCAACAAAGTCATTGATAATATTTTAAAAAGAACTTTTGTACTCACTCAACAGAGTCATTGATAATAGGACTGTTCCCCATATCTGACAAAATTTCGTCAACATTTCTTTTTCTCTGTGAGGTTAATTTTCTGTCAGAATTATGTTTACCCAACTCTGATCTTTTTCCCTGTTTGGCAGTATCAGGTAAATGGGAATTCCTTTTTGTAAACCTTTCAAGACGAGTCTCCTGCTAAAAGGATGAGCTTTCTAGCATGAGTTGTTTTAAGCGAACATCATTCTTCTGTTGCTAATAAATTTTGCAGGAAATTGAATGTCATGCGAATTCTTGACGTCTTGTCTTCGGTTAAATTCTTTGCACCTGCTTAAAACAAACATGGCAAAATAATCCATTAATATCGAAAGAAATTATTTCATTTCGTAATTCTTTCGGTAAAATAGAGTGCGATCCACGATCATGCAGTGAGAAAAAACAAATTAAATTAAACAATTGTGAACTCCCCAAGCCCGAGAAAGTAACTATTTAGTAGCAATTACGACAAAAAATTGCTCATGTCATTTTTACAGTTGCTTACTCACCATTAAGATTCCTTGTTTACTTAGCTATTGAAATGGTACTTTTGGTGTTCTTAGAGTGCCTAAAATATTCCAACTGCCACGGAACAAATATGTTTCTACTTGAAATAATTTACTAATTTTAAAATGATCCTACAACTTAGATGATAACGCTGTCTTAAGTTTCCCTGCCGTTACTTCTCCATGGACACTCAAATATCATCTTTTAATTTATTTAATTCATTTTGGATACATTAGTTTGGAATTTTTGGGGTATGCAGACCATTCTTTATCATACTATCATTATATCGAGAGAATAACAAGAGGTATATCTGGGTCATTTCCCTTAAATGAGATATCAAAGGTATCGCTCAACGACGACTGTGTTCATCGCTATTCCGTTGCATCAATAATTAAGAGCAATGGTGATTAAAGGTTTTCGTGCTCCTCGATATATGTCTACACTTATATCTTGCTTGAGTAATATATCCTTAAAGAATCGTCACAAAGCTCTGATATTACATCTATCCTCTTGCTAATGCAATGAGAGAGCACAAAATAGGTGGGCGTAGCTAGGTCTCTCTAGGTCTCCCCCTCTTCCCCTTTCGAAAGAAGGGGGAAGTGGGGGGTCGTCGTTACAAACGTGTGCGTGCGCACCTCACGTAAAGTGGCGTTATCTTATAACTAACGAGCTTGTAATCACACAGTGGAAGGATTATTCAACATTTCAGAAGATTTTGTGGCAATGGCTTCATATTTAAAGAAACAAACCAAAAAACAGACAAAAACATAACAGAGCAACTTAAACAGTCACTCAAGAGAGTAGTTGGACTTCTCAGGCATCTTAGAATCTTCCCCTGGGGAGATGGGGTTAGGGGTGTGAGAGCGAAGAGAAGGCGGTTAAGATGGATTCAAAACCCCTTCCTCTCTTCCACCTTATAATGGTTTTCTCTAAGCATTGATCAAAACTCAGAGGGATTCTTCCCTGTGGGACAGTGGAAGTTTGTTTCATTGCTTCTCAGTACACCAATTTTAATCCAAAGTGATCAAAAGTGACTCGACAGGGTACAAAGTGCCTCGTCATGAGAACAAATATAACAGATTACTAAAAGGTATAGTTCATTCACTCCGTTTTAACTATTTATCATTTTATCTGTTGATTTAATTAATTTATTAATTAAAAATTTAAAACTTGACATTAACCACTGCTATTACAAAAGTACGATCGTATTTGGTATTTTCACAGGTAGCCTAGTGTTACCTTGTGTACTCAAAATGTGGACCAATATTATGTTGTTATAAATATTGATGAACAGTGGTTTAAAGGAAATACAGTAAAATGTGTATTAGTGTTAAACAAGTGAGACTTGAATATATGATACGATTTTAGATATTCGACTCTTATTTTCGCTCTAGTGAATCCAGTTATTTAAGCTATTTTTTTTTAATTCCAACTTATTTTAAGGCTGCTATTCAACTGCTCACACATCACCGACATCACTTGGATTAACCTGTGAGCTTTTCCTTGTGGATTTTTCATTTTTAAAGTTGGAAAAACGGTATCACTAAAAGTCGTTAAAATTGGATTACTGAATACTGTATTCTGCTATTCTTTGAAGGACTGCATTTCTACTGCCCTCACTTCGCTGGCATCTCTTGGATTAACCTGAGAGCTCTTCTTCGCAGAGTTTCCATGATCTACAGCAGATGGGAAAATGATGTTCATCTTCCTTTTTAATTGCTCTCTAATCTGCAGATGAACAAGCGACCAATTATCAAATGGTAACCGCCAAAATCTTTAATGATGTCTAGCAAATTTACAATTCGTCTTATGTACATCCTCAGTTTGATATTCTTCATACCTGGCTGTTCCGCGCACAATGAAGAACGAAAATCAGGATTCCCTGAAACAGATAATTATATCAGTATTACGCTTTTTGTAATCCGTGAAAGAAAGGTGATAACGGTATGATCGTTTGAGATGAAACCTCGATAAAGGTGGCGAAAGAATGAATTAAAGCAAGTCGCATATCTCTTAAACCAATAAAGATTGTCTGCTGTTGGGTAAATTGTTTTGAATAGGTAATATCATCTGACCAAAAGAGACTTTTTTAGGCAAAAGAGTGGTTTGAGCATTTAAGTATGTGAACAGATGACTAAAATTTAATTATAGACTAACTTTTATTAAAAGCTCACCTGAGTAGAGCCGAAAATGGTGAAAAGGTAGGCGAGAGCTTTGTGTGATGATAGCAAAAGACCAAAAAGCCAGGTGACACCCAGCAGTGGAATCATCACCACGCATGTTTTAATGCCAAGTCTGAATAATGAGAACAACATATCACGAGGATCGATTAACCATTTCTTTCCGTTACGGGAAAAAAATCGTATTGCTTCATCGTTGCAAACGAACGAGAGTGGAATCTATGCAAATACTGCTAGACTAAATGCGGCAATAATTTGATTTCATTACTCGAGAAGTCTTTGTAGAAAATAGTTTTTACTTACCTTTCCTCCCCCCCTGAATTTTTACTAGTTTACCACAATTATCTAATAAATGTTAAATTTGAAAACTTCCCGTATCTGCTGTAAATGGTTCTCTTCCCCCGGGGGTTGTGTTAATGTGCTCATCTCCTTTATTATTCGGACGAGTATCAAAATGTTGAGCTGAAAAAAATAAGGATTATGAAATGTATCGCTGAAAACAGAAAAAATTGTCATTCGTTCTGTTACGAGCGTTTGAAAAAAGAAAATTCTGAATCTTTATAGAAAATTAAACCCTGGTGTTCAGCTAACCAACGCGCTCCGACGTCTCTATAATGAGCAGCAGAGAACCGTGTGCTGCGCCACCCTATTACTTGGTTCATACACAGGCCAAGAGGAATGGAACTTGGAAAGACACAAGGGAATATCAATTCAAGTTGATATTCTTTGGAAAGACGGTAAACGTTTACTAATAAAAATCTTTAATAATAGGCAGTCCTGGTGTAGGAAATAACGATAATATTACCGACAATTATCATAATAATAATAACAATAATAACAACGCAGACTCACAACTTCAATGACAGCTACAAATGTGACGAAGATCCAGATCAGGTTGTTTCTCGAGGACAGCCAGCAACTGGAAACGAGTATATAAAAAAAATTAAATTCCAGAAAATAATCTTCAGAGCACAACACCAATCAAACACAACAGCATAATAAAACAAGGCAATTCCAAGTGAAAACAAATGGAGTGATAAAGTAAAACTGGGAAGAGATCTAAACAACAGGAACGGGTCGTGAAATGTTGATTATTTAAATAAGAAGAGAGAAGAAACTACAGTTATATTTTTCGCTGTTTCTCATACTATGTTTCACTGGTATAGCTTTCAATTCCATCTTTTCCAGCAGCGATGCTCATTGAAATGCTAACCATGATGATGGGCAAACCTAAACATAAGTAGAATGAAGTTAGCGCAACTCGAGAAGTCATACGTCCAATTTTCAGGCGATTTCGATTCAGCAGCTTACAATAATTTACAACAAGTGAAATAACAATACCCCATGATATGAAGTGATACATATGCATCTTGGTGCCGATGTAATAAACTTTCACAACAAATAGGACGAAATAAATTTCCTCCACCAGCATCCAACAGAAAGCTACCATCAGGAAATACTGCAAGAAAGCTGCTGTTAGGACACAGAGAGCCTGCGAGACAGAAAAAAAGTTTTTGTAGCTTTTTCATATTATAAAATAGAATCTGTTTGGCCCCTAAAAAGCAAATAAACCATATATAGATATACAACACTTACGGTATTTTCTGTAGCGTTTATGCCGGCGAGAAAGACTATTTGTCCAGCTCCGAGGGACAAAGAAAGGCTCAGTCGTATTTGAGTCAGAGGTTGCCATACGTCTCTAGTGAAACAAGCAAGAATAAAAAAAACCGACAAACAAACAAAAGAAAAAGCAAAAACTCAAAGACGAGACAGAAACAAAAACAAAACGAAGCAATATTTGACAAGGTATTCTATTAATTTTGTACTGTACTACTTTAGACATCCTACCGGCTTTCGCTGATAAATTTAATTGATCTCTATGACATTTTAATCATCTTAATTCGTTATTATTTTATTTGTTCAATAAACTTTTGAATTTTATCGATATTTTTTAAAGAACTTGTCTCTTCTACGCCCCAAATCATTCAAGGTCTTGCAAAGACTTGGTTCTTTGAGAGTATGGTTACAGTACTTACGTGAGGTAGGAATATAGAATAATTGTCAAAAGAATTCCGAAGATGGAAAGGCACAATCCCACGTGGGTGATAATTTCATGAATAGTTTCGTCTTCCACAGTGGGCTGTGAAGAGAGATGAATATTCAGCGGATTCGTTACTTAATCCAATGAAATTTTATTACCAATACTAAAGGTAAGGTGAAAATCAATTCATTACCCCTGGGATACCGTTGTAGTCAAGTAAGACAGCAAAATTAGTCAGATGATTGCAGCTGCAAACTGTTTCTTCTGAATTGCTTTTCGATGTAACCACATGGCATCCTGTCTCTGAAAATCCGCCTAAGCTGAAAATAATGAAATAATAATCAAAATAATAATCATAATCATAGTAATAATTAAAATATAAATTGAAACTACCCCGAAAACTCATCAGGGCACCGAGGGGTTTATTTTCTGTCTTCCTTGCGCTGAGTTCATAGCCTTAAAACATCGTCGAGTGCTTTCGAATTTGACGTTTGTCGACATCTTCTCCTTGCCACCCGTGGATTTGCCTTTGAGTGATCATAGTCAGCATTCCAAATTGAGTAAAATGGATGCTGATGACATTGATATTCAGGCTATGCACAATTCTTAAATAGACTCGTAAAACATTGATACAACCTAACTTAGGTAAAAAAGCAAACAAGAAAACAAGCAAGGCTGGAAACACACTGAAACAAACAAACATGATAATACAACCAAACAAATCAATAAACATATAACAATAATAAATGGAAGGAATCTATACACAATGGATATATATATATATATATATATATATATATATATAGCCATGGAAAGAGAAAATAAAAATAGCAACAACAAAACCTTCCAAAAAAGGTAACATATACCAAATCAATGCCTTCATTTTAAAAAGAAAGAGATTGACCTTGAAAGGCCTTTTAATAATGTAGGGAAAGTTTCAACGTTTCTTCAAAGTCGAGTGAGGAATTATTGACGGTTAATAATAACCCTAGAAAAACACCCATTAAAGTATAATAATAATTACATTTTTCTTCATAATTTTAGAAGAATGAATTACTCCTGGAACAGGATGAAAAATACATTCCAGCTGTTACCTTTGACTTGAGCCACTCCAAAACATGCATTTCTTCTCTCCTTCATGAATCTATGCTCGGAATATAAACACTGAAATCATATACTCGGAATAAATATCACAACATAAAACAATGGATACTGATTTTGATCCTATTCTTACCTTCAGATTTCTGAACCTTAAGATGATATTCTCTTGTAATTTTTCTGGATTTGGATCTAAAGCCACGGCCGTTATCCCGGAGTCCAAATACCTCAGGAGGAAATAGAATATCAGTATGAAACAGATTAATCTAAAGCATAGTAATCACTCATGAAAATAGCAAGCTAGGAGCCCGCCATTATCAACACGGAAAATCATTAATTCACATGACTAATTATCTCTCAATAGGGTTTTGAAAATTTTACGACCGGTTTTATAGGTTCAACCTTTTGTGTATTTTCGATTGAGGGGGCATTTGGTTAAGAAACTTTAGGAGGTAACCTCACCTTGTGGTGCCCGTTATAGTTCTGTTGGGTTGATCTGTAATCAATACTTCATGGAGATCCTTGTACACGATCCCAACAACCACTGATACTAAAAAAAGTAAAAAAAAAATAGGCTACAACATGACAATATGAAATCCAAGTAGCCAATGCGGATATTTGAATCAAACAGATTATGTAAACCAACAAACAAACTTGTATGTATTTGTCGATGTATTTCAAAACTGAAAAATCTTGGAGAGCAAATTGTGCTTTGTCCTAGTGCATCAGAGATTTAAAAACTGAAGTCAATACAAACCGTTGTTGGCAAAGTTTCTAGAGGATACTTCCAGGCTCGTTTGCACTTCTTTTTTTCCAAGGTAAAAGTCACTAGCATTTTTGCAGTAGGCTTTTTGTATAGCCAACACTAATGGAGAAAAAAATAGAGACAAAATTAAGTGTCACACATTTTCGAAGAAATGTTTTTTTTTTATGTTGGTCCGAAAGTAAGTCATAATCCTAATATGATTATTATACTTGCTTGAAAGCTATGTATTCCTTACGTAGTCTTCTAAGACGTGAAGTTTGAACGCTTTTCAACATTCTAATCGCCAAAAAGATTGTCCATTATCACTATGATTGATAAAAATAAATGGTCTATGGGAGGGAGGAACCGGCTTGATCTGGCTACAGCACTTATCAACAGGTCCCATGCAAAAAAAAATTAAATCATGAAAGCAGCCGTTATGTCATCTGTCAATGTGTCGGTCACTAAACAAGTAATGGATTATTTCAAATCCGAACGAATAATCATGCTCTGACTCACCTAGTTTTCGGCTGTTTATCTCCACTGAAGAATTCGCTCCAGTCATTTGGCGTTTGCCATAATTAAGGGCGAATACCTCCAAGGCGACTGCCACCTTAAAGATGGAATTTCTTATTATTTTGAATTCTGCTTCGGCAAGAGGTTTTTGGAGGATTTGGAGCCTGGTGATGAAGTCTTCAAAAATCCATACAGCCTCCTGTAATCACATAACGTATTTCTGTTAAAGTAAGATGCTAAAAATTTGGATCCATGTGAGTCAAACACGATATTTGAGTGTCCTATGAATATTGAGCCGCAGAACCCTTGATCGCGGTCGAACATTTGAACAAAACAGTTTGAGGTAACGGCAACGCATTCAGCATGCTAGAAAGGCCCACATTTCGTCTACTCCTACTTAGATTACGAAAAAAAATTGAGAAAGAAATGAATTAGACCAAAAATAGGTAAAAGAAATAAATCCAGCAAAATGGCCAAATGGTGAATAGGATGTGCATGTGCTAAAGAAGTGTCCAAAAACTGGTCCAAGAAATCGGAATTATCTTTTTCGGGAATCACTTTTTTTTCACTCATGCCTGTTCATATCTTAGAAATAGAAATGATATAGATAGTGACGATGATACTGTCATAATAACTATAATAACGACGATGATAATGATGACGATGACGATAATGGTACAGTCTTGTTTGCTCTTGTTCGAATGAACTCAAAGTTTTTTCAAGCTTAGAAACTGATGCAATGCATTGTTCATTCTTTCTAATCACTGTGCATTTCATATAAACTAAGTGGCTTAATCATAAAATATAAGTAGTAAATTCATACCTTCAAAGACCTGATTCTACTGATTTCTTCGCCTTTTAGTTTGGAAACAGAATCGTTTGCCTGAGATAAAGAAAGACAGTAAAGTTGGCGAGCAACAATGTTGTAAATAAAAAGCTTGAGAGAAATAATTTGCTCACCAGACTCTTAATAATTTCTAATGTCGATGACAGAGGTGTCCGTAGAGACGGAGACGACGATGATCCTGCTGCCGATGTTTCAAATGACGATGGTAATAATGGTGATGATGCTGATGCTGCTACTGATGCTGCCTCCGACGATGTTGCTGATGATAATCGTGATGTTGCTTTTGACTTTGATGATGATGGTGACAGTGCTGATGAAGATTCTGATGCCCCTGCTGTTGATATTGCTTCCAATGATGCTGCTGATAATAATCCTGGTGCTGATGCTGATGCTGATGCTGATGTTGCTACTGGCTTTGATGATGATGGCAATAGTGCTGATGTCGATGTTGATGTCCATGCTGGTAATATTGCTGCTGATGGTGGGTGTGATGAAGGTGATGGTAACGGTGAGATTAATGCTAAAGGTGACTGCGACATTGATTGCAATCGAGCTGAATGTTAAAGACCATTTAATTGTTAAAATAAACTTGACGCTATGGTAAGGTGCGACGAATTTTGAAAGAAAATATTTTCTTTTTCTTTTTCAGAATCTTAATCACTTTTTCGTTAAATAAAAAAAAGATGGTATTGTACTCACTGTAAGCTTCTGTTCCATGTCCTGTTGAAATTTTAGTTGCGAATACTCGAATTGTTGAAGCCCCAATAGATGTAACGATATTCGACGTGTATGAATCTGAAGTGATGGAGTGACCGTCACACATCTGTGTACAAACGTTAGCGTTAAAATGCATATTGCACACCTGTACTTCATCTGTGCAACTTTGTGTTTTACATTTTCTCCCGCTGCAGGTCAGGTTACATACTTTGGCATCGCAGATTTGTTCACAATCCTGGCTGTTACATTCTAGATGCATTTCACATACATCTCCTTTACCTTGGCACTTTTGAGTTTTACAGTTTTTCCCGGTACAGTTCAGATTACATTTTTTAGCCTCGCAAGTTTGTTCACAATCCTGACCGTCACATTCTAGATCCATTTCGCATACATTTCCATGATCTCGACACTGCTGTATTCTACAGTTTTTCCCGGTGCAATTCAGATTACATTTTTTAGCCTCGCAAGTTTGTTCACAATCCTCACCGTCACATTCTAGATCCATTTCGCATACATTTCCTTTATCTAGACACTTCTGTGTTTTACAGTTTTTCCCGGTGCAATTCAGATTACATTTTTTAGCCTCGCAGGTTTGTTCACAATCCTGACCGTCACATTCTAGATCAATTTCACATACATTTCCTTTACCTCGACACTTCTGTGTTTTACAATTTTTCCCGCTGCAGTTCAGATTACATTCGTCAGCGTCGCAGGTTTGTTCACAATCGCTACCTTCACATTCCAGATCCATGTTACAGAACTCAACTCCAGTATAGCACGTCTGTTTACACTCTTTGCCCTTGCATTTCATATAACAGCAATAATTACCACTGCTGCAATTCCCGAGCAGATAACAATGATCGCCTCCATTTTCACTTTCCGAGTTACATTTATTGGAATCGCAATCTTTACTACCCAGGGCAAAACCTGAAACAACAAAAACAGGAACAGAACCAAAAATTTAAGAATTCTAAATATGAAAATAATGATGACGATAATTATGAAGAATACAAAGGTATCGCAAGACCTTCTTGGGCAAATAAACAACTTTATACCACTGTTGCATAAAACTGCTGAATATGATTTTCATGGAAACTGCCATTATAGTAGAGTAATTGCATTCACCATTTCGTTTAAACCAAATCTTCAAGCACCGCGAAGCTGACAGAGGTTTCGAATATACAAGTTAATACAAAGCGGTTTCTTTAAAAACTAACTTTCTAGATAGGTGAAATGTATCTCAGCATTTTTTCTTGTTTTGTATCACTGACATAATTTATTTATATTTATTTATCCATGTTTTTGTCTATTTACTTCAATTTTTTTTATATCTTATTACTTTTTGCTAAGATAGGCGGCCCTTGTAAGATTAAAGAGTGAGCCTTCTTTCCATAACTACGTTTTGCAACTTAGGAATTGATAAATACATAAGGGCATCGCTGGGTTTAAAGAACATTTCCGCATGACGTCGTTGGCTTCTCAGATATTGTCTACAGATTCACGAAAAACTACACACCTACGAAAATCTGACTCATATAAAAACTTTTAAGGATAAAACAAGACTTCAAAGACTTGAAATGATATTGTTAAGCTTCCAGGCTCGGTAGTTTGTGATAGGTGAGAGGCGACCTAAATTTCGACTATCTTTTTTAGTCATTACAGAATTTGTATATCTTTAAATTGGAAAAAAACCCGAGCTTAAAATATCCCATCGCAATTTGCATGTTTGCGCTGAAGCCTTACTTTTTCATGATAGACCCATGAGTTAAAACAGGCTTTAAAGGTAAAATGGTTCCCTAAAAGACATCTCCTAAAATAATTCGTCTTGGCTTCCTGAAAAAAAGACTGTGTGGCCATCTGCCATACAGGCTAATCTAAAACTATTCTAAGTTTTACCGGTCTTTGTTTGCGCTCAATTTCCTTTTAAAGACTTTTCAAAGGGTACCCATTAGAAGGACTCATCGGGGTGCGCTTAGGATGCATTCTAAATGAAACAAATCTTTTAAAAGAAGCTTTAGTACCCACTCAACATAGTTATTGATAACAGGAGTGTTCCCCACAACTGGCAGCTTCTCGTCATCATTATTTTTTTCCGTTGGGTGAGTTTAGTTCCTGTAGGCTGAACCAAATGCAATCTTTTAAAAAATTGTCAGTGGCTGGAGATCGGTCCGAAATATCCTTTGCCAATATAAATGCAAGGCTTGATAATTTTTCCTTTAGCAAGAACCAGCCGTTTACGCAGTGCTGACATACATTGCGGGAAATGATTGTCATACAGATTATTTTCCGGTCAGGTATTCCCACCGAAATTTAGTCGAACCTAAGCTGAACCAAATGCAACCTTTTAGAAAATTGTTAAAATTTTCGAAATTTAGTCGAACCTAAGCTGAACCTAATGCAACCTTCTAGAAAATTGTCATTGGCTGGAGATCGGTTCAAAATATCCTTTGCCAATATAAATGCAAAGCTTTATTATTTTTTTTTTTAGCAAGAACCAGCCGTTTAGTCAGTGGTGATATACACTGCGGAAAATGATTGTCATGCAAATTACTTTCGTCGGGTTTAGTCGCAGTAAGCCTTTTTACGTAAGTAAAAATATGACAGGTATGCTTCATTTGAATATTAAAAGTTCGAATTAGGTTTTTGTTGAGAGCAATAGCATCACAGGAGTTGTTTCGAAACAATTACGCCTCCACTTGTAGTATGATTGTCATAAAGAGATATTTTTTGTTCGCTTTTCTAACGGTCCTCGCTAAGTAGTGCAGAGCGGAAGATCTCACCCGCACGTGCCACGCACTAGAAGGTATTATTGATAAAATATGTGACGTTTTTCGTTTCTTGGAACAATAAAGGGAGATAATGGCTCACCAAAACTAAATTAGTTGTTAAACTTCAAAAACTCTCAGAGTTAAAAATTGATTCGTTAGATATGAGTGTTCCCTGTTTTCGTCGCCAATATATCAAAATAATTATCTGAGTAACAATGAAGAATCTGTAATGTTAGACCTTAGCGGAATATGGTGAAAGGCCAGTCGTTATTTTTCACCCGCGAGGGAAAAGGAGGATTTTTCAGGGAAGGCCGACTTTATGCGTTCGAAGACCTAAAAACACAACTAGTATTGGCCTTCCCAGTCGACCTTATCGCTTAAGAAATGCTCGCAATAAGCCTATTGCCCACGTACTGTCTGTTGTTGCAAGATCGAACAGATTATTGGGCTTACTCAAGCGGACATTTGGATCTCACTCTAAGGCTCTATTTACTGGTTATAGATCCATGATCCGTCCAATACTCAAGTACGCTTGTCAAGCGTGGAATCCTCACCAAGCATATCTGATTAAACAACTTGAATGCGTGCAAAGCAACGTTACGAGATGGATCATTGGTAAAGACACTCCGTATGAAGACCGACTCAAATCCTTGAAACTAGCTGACTCAATTAATGCTTTTAAGAAAGCTCTTAAATCAACTTTTTTTTTTAACTAGGCCTATAACTAGAAATTAAATTATTCTATGTATTATACATTATTTAATTATAATTTTAAATAAAATTTTTATCTTAGATATGTCTTCTTTATTTAGATTTTTTTATATAGATATATGCCTGTATGTAAAATGTTTCAGTATGTTTATGTATATTGCATAGCATTAAATTTTTATATCTGGGCTATAGTTTACAATGAGGATTAAGTTCCTCCCTTCTATAACCCTTTTTTAATGATAATATGTTATATGTTATTGTTTAAATAAAGTTGTTATATATATTTGACTCGAAATTAACTACATCCTGAAAAAGAATAAATACATAAAAAAGAATTATCTTTATGTACAGCTGTATTCATTGCGATCTTTAATTGCAACCCACTTTGTTATAATAATAATAATAATAATAATAATAATAATAATAATAATAATTTACTGTTTTTGAACTCGGGCATATTAGTTTTGAACAGAATTCCGTTAACCGTTTCTTAAATATTGACGGGTTAATGCCTAAAAGCTGATAATAAATGTTTTTGTCATCAACCAGCTGTCTCAGACTTCCCCTAGGGTGTTTTGAAATGTGTTGGAAGTGAACTCTGAAGAAATTATGCATATCAAGTACACCTAAAAAATTTGAAAAGAATGCTAAGTGTGTAAAGTATCCGATGAGTGATGACTACTTCAGGTTTAGTTAAGCAGCTCCAACTTCCAAAACTAAAAGTCCCTTTCGTGTGGGAAAACGGCCTGAATCCATGACTAATTTAGCGAATGACGAGTGACTCCTAACATGAGCGAATTCTGTTTGACTGCACCAACTCAAGTTTAACTTTTTAAAACCTGTGAAAGGAGAAGTCGTTTACCAAATTGAAAGGGATTAAAATATAGATTAGCATACAGTCCATTTGACCTGAAAAAGTTAGAATAAGTCCGATAGCGAACTTATACCTTTGGTAAATAATACAAGCTTAAACTTTGTAGAAAAACATAAATATTCGTTATTAGTTTACGCGCTTGAAGGGAACGGAATTTACACTGATCTCGCTGGAAGTCTATTGCACGTAGATAAACTTTCTGTAAAAGTGGTTGTGATTACAAGAAAAGATAAAATGTAAACAAATTTAACATACAAGACTAAAACAAAAGAAGGAAGGTTACGAAGTTACTAAGAGAAATTTTTCGAGGACTCAAATAGAATTATCTGGGATATGAATATTGAGCTCAGGAATGGACACTCTGAAAAAGATGCAAGTTATTTCATCAATGAACAGCAGTATTTGATCCTATCTTATTCATGTGTGTGTGTGTGTCTTTTTTTTTTTTTAATTAACAGATTTGGGAATTTTCTGCGCTTGTTCATACGTCAACGGCAGGTGAAATTTAGTTGTTATGAATTCAATAACTTCAGCAATATCCCGCAGGCATGTTTAAGGCAAACAAAGTGAAAGAAAGAGGAGGAATTTGTTAATTACTTTATGATAATTGTGACGCTCTTACCACTACACTACAGCAGCAGAGAACGAAGGAATCATTTTCTTTTCCATGGATCGGGAATTCGAGAAGTCTCTTTGTCTTGGGACTGGAATTTCTTTCATTTTGCTTTCAGTTTTGATATCAGTTCCAAACATCTTCGTTCTGATTGCGTTGTACAAAAATCCTTTTCGCTGTTTCAGAAAATCCTTCGCTGTATTTCTCGTTTTCATTTCTTTAGCTGATTTATTTGCTGGAAGTGTGGTTTGCACTGGAGAAGCCGTAATGCGATTTTCCTGCGCCTTTGGAGACAAAACGCTACCAAAGGATGGAGACGTCGTTAAATTGTTGGGATACACAGGAGTCAATAGTTCTATCTTATTGGTAACAGCAATGTCTGTGGATCGCTTTATATCAGTAACTTTTCCCCTCTTCTATCGCAACAAGGTCAAGCGAAAACACCTTATTCTGTGCAATGCGAGTATTATTGCTTTCTCAACAATGTTTCCCTTGCTACAAATTACCGGAATCTCAATTGACACCTATGTGTCAATAGATATACATCTGCATACGACATTTCCTCTCGCAACGACTTCTGTGTGTTATGCCGGAATATTCATGATTCTACGAAAACGTTCTCGGGTTGGTATTCTAAGAGAACACAGAATGCCTGGTGAACCAGCACTCCGCGTCATGCGTAGGGTCGACAACGCCAAAAATGAACGGAAAATTGCTATAACATCGTTGTTAATTTTGCTGTTTCTAATATCATCACTTGTACCTTATTTCATGACAGTTATTCTGGAGGCAAACTGTCTCGCTTGTCGTGAACAAAAGTGGCTATTTGTACTCAAAGAATCATCAGTCGTGTTCTTGTTTTTCAACTCTTTAGTCAATCCTTGCCTCACAATCTTTCGTGTTAACGAACTGAAAGAGTCTGTAAAAGTAGTGTGTTTCCACCGACGCTAAAACTATAGGGTTTGCCAGCTATAATGTTTGTGTTGTGGTTGTTTTAAAGCCAATGTTAATTTATAGCGTCCTTCAGATATTAAAAAAAAAAAAAAAGAGAAATTCATTACACATTCGTGAACGTACACACAAAAGTTAGGGTCTTAATGGGGTCAACCGCTTACCGTAGAACGGCATAGTAATTTGGCCGTTAAAACCGACAAATTTTAACCGTGAGTCATAACAAACCTATCCGTTATTTTTTCCCCTTAAATCGCAACGGAAAAAATATTAGCTGTAAAATTGCCGAATTTAAACCGTTAGCCGTAACCCATTGAAACTCTCCAACAAGAGTGAGTCCAGTAAATTTAAGATTGGAAGTAATTGATAATTTAGATTATGTCGTGAGATTTTGGATACAAGGTAATATTTATCTAATTACCTGTTAGATGATAGTATACTAATGGGTTTTAGCCTATTCATTTCCAAGGGCAAATACGCAGTAATGGAGAAGGGTAGCTGCGTTATTACATTCCTTGAGTTGCAATAAGACATCTCGCAATAAGACATCTCTCACTTGACGGAAAATGCCACACGTCGTAGAGAATTGCGACGCCGTGTGACTACTAAGTATTTTTGATATTACACCTGCTTTTAATTTTCTTCCCATAGGGTTCAGAAAAGACGCTGAATCTATGTCATGACTTTTAAGTCCACGAATATGCGGCCTTTTGATTTATTTCTTTGGTAAACAATTCACTAATCCACATGTTGAGCTCTTGGTAGTATACTCCTTGTATTTTTACTAAAACTCGGTGCAAAATATTGCATCGACCAACGTTCTTATTAGGCAGGTTGAATAAAACGTTCATTCCAACTTTTATTATATTTGACTGCTTACCGCAAATGATAAGATTAACGTATGTTAAGCTGATAAGTCTCCAAATAAAGCAGGTGCTAAGATAGAAATTAAATATATTTTGAGCCACTCTTAGACGAATGGCAAGGATTGAAATATTTCCCATCTACGCCATGCTCTCATCTTCAAGTACACAAGATGCCTTCAAAGCACTGCCTTTTCAATAAACAGGATCAATGTCACATTATTATAATAATGCCAAGAGATCCCTGTACCTGAAATGGTGGAACATTTGACAGCGAAATCAGTAGTCTTTAACAGAGGGGGAATACTCGAATACAACAGAGCCTTATAAGGGGATCGGGTAAATTTTATTTTGATAAATAGTGCGGGTCTTAAGGTGAAAGACTGACAGAAAGAAATTATGTTCAACAATTTTCCTCCTCGACTTCGTCTGGGGAATTATTTGTAAAAAATGAATAATTCTTAAGTAGTTTGCAATTGGATTGTCAGAGAAGTATCATTTTCTTTCGTTACGTTCGATTTTCCGTAGAAGTACGAAGAAACTGCGTTTTCATCATTTTAAAGAGTTTTTGTTTCTTTAGTATTGAAATTACCTTGGACTGAATGATTATGGCAGTTTATATAACGTCATCCATAAGTACCTACGTAAGTAAAAGCATATTGAGGATATCTCAGGTGATACAGATCTCACGGGACACAAATAACAAAAATTACCATCAGTCTATCTAGCTGCACGCTGGGTCGTTTTCCAGTGTTTCATTTCATGCAGAATTTCAGCTTTATCCTCCTTAGTTAATTTCAGCAAAACCCAGCCCTAATTCCATAAAAACGTAGCATGTGGCCTTGTTTACAAAGAAGTTCTGCATGATCGAGCTAATAGAGTAATGATATCCAATCAAAAAATCGGAACTGCGAACAGGTGACATGGTACTGTCATTTACGTTATGAGCCTAACAATACCTTGGCTAGCTTGCCAAATAAAGTTGTGCATAGAACAGTCGAGGTGGAGAATTGGCGTAAAGGGCCTTAAACAGACTGGACGACAACGCAGAAGAGTTAAATTAGTTCTCTAAAGACGAAAAAATTCATAATTTTCTAATGAATTTCTCAAATGGAATAATGAGTTTGACGTCGCTACAATGGCGCCATTTGTCGACAATCCTAAAGCAGCCACAACAAAGCATTTGTAAGCAGCGTTGAATTAAAAAAAAATTATAATATTTCGCCCGCGGGTTCCGTTCTCAGACCGCAAAAAATTCCACCTTGCTGGTTTCCAAAGACCGGTTAGGGAATATAAAAGACCATAAAACACACGCGCACAGTTATTGCTTTGCTCTTTAAAAGCTTATGTGTTGCCCCTTAAAAGCTTTTAGTTTGCCTCGTTTTCACTGCCGTCGCCGTCGTGGTTTGCTTAAGGTCACTGCTGGCGAGTAAAGGACTCTATTAGCTTTGAGCCTAGTGTGTGGTATAGCTTGCTCAGGAACTTCCTGTTAATAGCATTGTTGTTGGGTTATTCGACCATAGAAACGGAACTTGCTGTGGTTGTTATTCACAAGGTTGACTAAGGTTCTATTTCTGCAACTTGAGAGGAATCCTTTGTTTGGCTTGTTGATAGACTCTTTAGCTCAGAGTAGAGTTAAGCCAGTTAAACGGAAGCTGTATTCCTCATTGTTTTCTGTTGGACAGAACTTCCAAAATTACTTACATCTTCCTGTCTTTGCACGCGGATGACAATTCTCAAGGAATGTTTCAACTCGTTCATCCGAAATGTTGTCAATAACGGGTTCACAGTTGAATTTAGAAATAAGAATACCACTGAAGATTCTCTCAGCACAATAAGCCATTTCTTTCCGCGACAACCAGATCAGTTCGCATCAACAAGAATTGATGCAAAGTATGGAATTAGGGAGATGATTAGGAAAAGCAGACTTAAGAAGGGAGTCGTGACAAATTCCCATTCTCTTTTAACACGCGTTATCGCTTGCATGTCACCAAGATGAGCATTTGTCGAATTGGCCTCCCGTCGAAAATCGACTCGAGCGCGTTCCCGCAAAACAAAGAATATTCCTAAATGAGACAGACTTGTCGTGATAAGCGGAAATATCGTGTGCAAATGTATATCTACGGAAATATACACATCAATTGGAATCCCAGCATGTTGGAGGCAGGAAAAAAATCGCAGAAAAAATAACGATGATTGAGTTACATAAGACAAGTGTCTTTGGTTTAACCGTGTTTAGATAAAAGTGTGGGCAAACGACCGATGCAATACTCTTATCATGACATCAGACCCTGAAATATTATTTCTGCCTAAAAAGGGATTTTTTTTGTCCAAACCTACTCCCCTCTAGGGATAAACGAAATAGACGTGACGTAATTTGCTATTCTCCTGATAATTTATGTTTCCTCAAACTTGTTCCGGTGATAAGCAAGAAGTGGCAAATGCGAAAAATCGCTGTAAGAGTTCTTAATTGTGTATATGCTTTCATATTACATCTATCGATGCTGACTTTTTCTCTAACTAATTTCCATTCCAACATTTCAAGCAATACACTTGATCTTACATATTGATTCCGGGAAATTTGAGCATATTTGGTCATTTTCCTGACATGGATAAGAAGAAAAAGATAAAGAAAAAAAATTATGTAGCTTTAAAAAATTACAATGATGACTAGATAGGTGAATATGTATTTATTATACATTTGTTTATTTATCCATTATTGCTATTTAATGTCACATTCAATTTGATTACGTATCTGACTTATTATATAGAACACGAAAACAGATTAAAGAAAAATACGGTAAAATCGTTGATATCTATTTTTAACACGATTTAGAGGCAATCAAGCTTTTACACAGTTTTTTAATTTAGCCGAACCTAAAAATTAACAATAAAAGTACGGACATTGTGGTCGACTAATATCAACGGCTTGGTATGTAAAGCACTTCTACAAGTATAAACACTAGGCAGAAATATCTTATGAAGGCTGACAAACCGAGTGAGATTTATATCATTGTATCCGTCCCGTTAAAACGAGGGACCATGAATGTTCTTTTGTTGCTGGCAGTGCTGCCTCCAATTTATCTAAGCTACCTTTGCAAAGAGCCTACTTCCTATCGAAACAGATAGACCCATGATTTTCCAGGATGCCGACTGGGGCCCTTCTTAATTACAAGTAAAGTCAACAGCTAATAGCATTATAAAAACGGTTTATTCATGTATTTATGTCATTACGTTAATAACCAGAATGGCCCTACCTTACTGAGGGGGGGAGAGGGGGGGCATCGTGGTCTATTAAACCGCAGAACCGAAAAAAAAAACATTTAAAACCGCAACAAAAATTCGCTAAAAGCCGAAAATCGCATCCAAAACCATCAAAACCGATTTTTCACATCCTAGGTGTCAAAACCCTAATCGATCCGATACATTTGACAGATGGAGCACAAAGAGGTTTCACAGCTATGTGAGATCCATGGAGGCAAAAAACTGCCCTCAGATCGAAGTGGAACTGGAACCCAAATGGGAAAAACCGAAAACTACTTCGGATACCAAATCTAAAAACCTATTAGTACTTTTGATGAAAACCGAAAACCAAGTGCCAAAATTCGGAAATACGCCAACCATAATAAACACCAAAACTGTAAAACCGAAGTTTTTTTGGCACATAATCGAAGAACCGATCTAAAAAAAATTACCAACGCCGTAAAACTAAAAATCCCAATGCCCCCTTCCTTACTGATACTACGATACTAACCAGGCTCTACTAAGGAACTACTAACGGAAGATCATGCTAATTAAGTGATTGCCAATCACTTTAAGAGGATTGACGAACCTCACCGAGGCGCAGTGCTTTCATGTATCGAAAGACTGCATTTCGACTGCCTGTATTTTCCCGGCATCACTTGCGTTAACTCGTGAGTTTTTCCTTGCAGAGTTTCCAGCTTCGGAAGATGGAAAAATTGCGTTCATCCTCCTTTTCAATCGCTCTCTAATCTGTAGATGAACAATTGGCCAAGTATCAGTTCTTAACCATCCAAAGCTTAGCGATTCTAAAGTCTTCACAATTCACTTGATCTACCTCCTCAGTTTGATATCTTTCTTACCTGGCTGTTTCGCACACAATGGAAGAAAAAAATCAGGAATCCCTAGGACAGAAAATTATTTTAAGATCAGCCTTTTTTAGAGATGGTAGCGCGTCGTTTAAAAAGTTTGATGTAGTGCAAACATCATGTAATCTATATCTTGAGATCGTCGTAAAAAAAGGGTAAAACAGTAAATTAAGGAAAGTTGTAGATCTCAAAAACCAAGAAATAAATCCTCTCTTGTCGACTAGGTTCCCTTTGAACGGGAAATATCATCAGACTAATGTAAGAATGTAGTTTGGACATTCAAGTCTCCAAACAGATGATCAGATTTCCGACATTTTCATTAAAATCTCACCTGAGTAGAATTGACGATGGTGAACATGTAGGAGAAAGCTTTTTGTGATGACGACTAAAGATCGAATACTTACCTGAGTAGAGTTAAAGATGGTGAAAATGTAGGCGAAAGCTTTGTGCCATGGCGACAAAAGACCGAATAGCCACGTTATACCCATTAGTGGAATCATCACCGCGCATGTTTTAAAGCCAAGTCTGCCGGAATAACGACAACATTAAAAAAACGTTTGAATTATTTTGACGATTGTTTCCTTTAATTTCTCATTGTTTAATAGGCATTATTTAGAGATGGTAAAAACACTTAACAGTAGCCCTAACCCTAAGGCACTGATGACTCTGTGTTTAATGTTAACTAGTGTGGAGCTGAGGTAAATATCTCACAATTAGATGCTTCAGCAATTTTTCCCTCCACTGATTAAAATATTTCACTAACAGCAAATTTTAAATTTAACCGTATCTGCTTAATATGATTGTCTTCCCCCATAGGTTGCACCAGCGTGGTCATCTCTTTTATGACTCGGACGAGTATCAAAATGTTGAGCTGAAACAAACAAGGAATGTCAAATATTGGCAGAGTGTTTGTTGCTAAGACGAGTAATGCTGAATACATAGTGAGCGTAAACGGAGTTGGATAGGTTGTGAGCTTTGAGCCTGGTAGTCAAAAACAGAAATATGCTTTTCGTTTTGTAATAAGCATGGGAACGAGAGAGACAATCTCCACCGGTGGTTAGTCTTGGCATGAAAAAGGAAAATGCGAGGGATTGACTAATTGTAGACTCACCACTTCAACAAAAGCCATAAATGCGGCGAATATCCAGATGAGGTTGTTTGTGTAGGATAGCCAGCAACTTTAACGAGAAACGGAGAGAAAAAAAAGATAAACATTTTTTGCTGCAAATAATCCTCTGAACCAGTAACCCAGAGAAAGAGAAGAGAGGGAGGGAGAGAGACAGAACGAGAGACAGAGACAGAGACAGAGACAAAAACCTGGATAAAAACACAGGGACACAAAAATCCACGAAATGAAACGAACTAAAAACACAAGATTGTGCAAAAAGGGTTGTACTTAAAAAAAATACATTTATGTGGGAGACAGGAAATGTGGAGAAGGAGAAAAAAGAACTAATGTCGAAGGATTCTCTTACTATTTATCACTGGTAAAGCTTTCTATTCCATCTTTCCCAGCAGCGATGCATAATGAAATACCGACCATGACGATGGGTAAACCTAAACATAAGTAGGATGTCAATGCAAGTCGATTCAGGTGATCATGAAGTCAAACAATTCAAAACAAGTAAAATGAAAATACCCCATGACATGAGGTGATACATGTCCATCTTTTCGGTGATGTTGTAAACTTTGACCACAAAGAGGTAGAGGTAAAATCCCTCCACCAGCATCCAACAGAACGAAGCCATCAGGAAATATTGCATGAAAGCTGCAGCTGTAATACAGGAAGCCTGGGAGAGAGAAAAAAAAAGTTACTTCTTACTACTACTTTTCATGCATCTTTTCAAAAAGGTCTGGGCCCAGTTGTTCGAAGGCCGATTAGCGCTAACCCAGGGTTAGATTTTAATCTGGGTTTCTTTATTCCTTTACTCTAAAGCCTTTCTGGGAAAATTTTCAGTGTCCTTTTCAAAGCATCAAATAGTCATACTCTAGACAAAAAGAATTCGACTGAATTTTCTTTTAAAGCTTTTAGATCTGAAATCGGATTTCACACTAACCTTGGGTTATCTTAACCCAACTTTGAACAACCCAGCCCTGGTGTACTTCTTCATGCTCGTCTTGAGTCTCGTTAAACAAATATTCATCAATGGATGAAGAAGTCACTTACCTTGTTTTCTGTGGCGTTTATCCCGACGAGAAAAATAAATTGTCCAGCTCCGAGGGCAACAGAAAGACTCAATCGTATTTGTGACAGAGGCTGGTGAACATCTCTAGAGAAACAAACAAATAAAAACAAGCAGACTAAAACAAAAACAAAACCGAACAAAAAAAAGGAAAGTAACTTTATGTTCCAACAGGTAGTTATTTCAATATGCATTGACTGAGTGTCGGTCTTTTCGCGAAGAGGTCTTACTTACGTCTGACATCTTTAAAATAATATAAAGTTTCAAAATTTCTGGCTGTAGCACTTACGTAAGGAAGGAATATAGAATAACTGTCAAAATTATTCCAATGATTGACAGGCTTAATCCCACGTAGGTGATAAACTCCAGAACAGTTTCGTCTTCCTCAGTGAGCTGCTTCATAAATCGCATGAAAAGAATTAGAAATGTGTCAATCACCTGAATGGAATTGTATTACCACCAGTGAAGGTAAGGTAAACATTAGTCCATTACCCCTGAGCTGCCGTTGTAGTCAAGTAAGACAGCAAAATGAGTCAAATGATTGCAGCTGCACACTGTTTCTTCTGTGTTGCTTTGCGATGCAACCACATGGCATCCTCTCCCTGAAAATCCTTCTGAGCTGGAAAAATAACGACAACGTTAAAAAAAATAACACAACAAAATTAAAACGATAACAAAAATATTATAAAAAAAAATTTGAAGAAGACTTTTGGTTACCAAAAGGTCAACTTGCTATCTTCCTCATTATAATCGTAGCCTCGAGACCAAGTTGACCACTTTCCATTTTATTCAGTAATTAATACGTGCTACTCATGAAGTCGGCTTTGATATTCTAACTGTTACAATGTGATAAAAAGGTATATTGACGATCCAGGCTAGTAAAACACAACTGAATCTTACCTTATGTGAAGAAAATTGAAAAATGGAAAAACAGAAAAAAACAAAAGGCGAACTTTTACTTTTACGGTAAACAAAACGATTTTGTCAGCAACAATATGTAAGACGATGGCAGAAGCGAAAAAAGGCGACAACCGCAAATGAAAACGAATAAAATGCAGATAGAAATGGCTTCAAAACAGGAAGTATCAGATTGACAGTGACGGATAATTGATAACTTAAGGGAAAGTCCTGCATGCATAATAATCAACTGGGGGCTTTTCCACTCGTATGTTGTTGAAATTTTTTTGGTTTTTCCTGCTGCAAGAGCTGATTGGTGTTTCCTTCACAAACAAAAAATTCATAGCAGTTAACAAAGATTACGTAAGATTAGCTTGCATAACTTCTAGAACAAGGTAGTAATATATTTCAGCTTGTTACCTTTTGCTAAAGCCTCTCCAAAATACACATGTCTTTTCTCTTCCATCAACCTGAAAATGTGTATTATTTCCTTGGAATAAATAAACACAATGTCGCGCAATTGATACCAATTTAATCGTGTTCTTACCTTCAGGTTTCTGAACTTTAACATGACATTCGCTTCCAGTTTGTTTGGTTTTGGATCCATAGCCACGGCCATTATCCTGGAGTTCAAATACCTGTCAAAAAAAGACAAGAAAATCATAATTTTGTATATTTTGAATCATATAATTTTTAGACAATTTTTGACGATACGGTAACCATGGTAACCAAGGAGCTCTTACTGTGTTACTTTAAGCTGATTTCCTTGGCACCGAAAATAGTAATTGATTCACACAGGGACCACGAAATACTGCTTTGAAAAATTTAAGAAATTTTGTTGGTTGAATGCAATGCATTTCTTTGTTTTCCGCGGAAGAAACAATTTGTTTAAAAGTTTAGAGAAGTTAAAATTCACCTTGTGGCTTCGCCTGCTTCATTTCTGATGGTTTGATTTGTGTCCAGTAGTTCGTGGAGATCCTTATACACAATCCCAACAACCAGTGAAACTTAAAAAAAGAAATTGAGGAAGAAAAGAAAATCAAGCCAGAACATGGTCTTTCATGAAACTTCAGATAACTGAATCAAATGTACTGTGTAAACAAACAAACAAACTCAGAACTAGGTATATGCGCAGCTGTACTTCAGTAACACTTAAATTTGTAAGGGAAATACAGGGAATTGTACTTATCCATTGAGGAGTAAACACTGCAGTCGATACCAACCGGATTTCGCAAAATTTGCAGACGAAACATTTATGTTTCCTTGCCATTCTTCATCCTCAAAGTAGAAGTCACTTGCATTTTGTTGGTAGGCTTTATGAATACCCAGCACTCACGAAGAAAACAACAGGTGATGGTATTAATAATTTCACGAAACTTGCTGGACTGAAAATACAGTCTGTATATCATAGTTGCATAAACGCTTTTATTTACTTTACCTCTCAACAGCGCAATCCTTTAAATATTGTAAAATAATTGATGATAAGACGTCAGCATTTTGAAGGGTTCAGATCGCTGGACATTATCATCCAATTCCATAATGATTGATGAACATAAATAGTCAATGGAAGGACTGAATGGATCGATTGATCCAGCAATAAAGCTTCGCATTCAGTAACCTATATCTATATTTACTACATCATCAAGGCCTATAGATTATACGCTGTTTAAACTCACCCATTGTCTGGCTGTCAATCACTTGTGAGGACCTTGTTCCAGTCAGGTGGAGCTTGCTGTATTTAAGAGCAAATTCTTCAAAGGCGATAGCCACTTTAAAAGTGGATCCTCTTCTTGTCTCAATCTCATCTGTTATAGGGGCGCAGTTACGAGCTTTTGTGATTTTTTTAATACCTGTGATGAATATTTCCAAAACCGCTATGGCTTCCTGTAATGACATGAAATATTTTTGTTTAGGTAAGGTGCTAAGCATTTGTGGTAAGAAAATAAAAAAAAAATCATTACAAATAGATAAGAAAATTATTCAAGCGAGAGAGCCAACCAATTTCGGACACAAATGCATGTGCACAGGTTAGAGATCGACTAGACCAGGAAATCAAAATATTTTACTGGGAGGATAGATTATTCAGTTTTCGTCTACGAATTAAAAAAAAAATAACAATCATACCGGTAATTACGATAATAATAATACTGATAACGATAATTTATCTATAAAAATTCCTAAAATAGCTTTCTTACAGGCGAGAAAAACTATACAGGTTAACGTCTTAATCAAGTAAAAAGTTATGAGCCATTAATCTTTTACTGCCACGAGCAATATGAGACGAAAGCAGAAAAACTAACAAACAAACAAAAAATGATTTATACGCTTAATAAAAATTCGTATTTACGGATTCCGTGTGGACATTCAAAACATACTGACTGGAACTTCAGTTCCATAACTGCGTATAGAAATTAGAAGAATGAAATACCTGTAAGGAACTGGCGTTGGTGATATTCATTCCGCTAAGTTTAGAAACATATTCCGCCGCCTGAGGTAAGGGAAATAACAGTTATAATTATAGAGTATGAGGATCCTAAAAGTAAGAAAACAAAACAAAAACAAAAATTACACACCAGCTTTTGAATCCTTGTTGACTGCAACGCCGATGATGATGTAGATGGCAATAATGACTGCGATGGCGAGAGCGATGGCGATGTCGCTGCTTAAGATGGATGAGAATGTTAATCTTCGATTAGAACGACATGTCAACCGACCTTTTTTTTTTACTGTGTACAGTTTTCCTCCTAGCACAAGTTTTATATATTTTTCAAAATATTGGGTAGCGAGTGACACGAAACGCAGAGGGCGTAAAGGTTCGTAATTCAAGCTTGTCACCGTTACTCAATCTACAAAACTTGAATGAAACGGATATTTTATAATAAGTGGACGCTAGCGAGGACCTTTTTGATTTCCTTTCAACGCAGGTTTTACTAAATGTGTTATAACACCATAAGTCGCCACTGTTACGAAATACTTTACCCGAAGTGTGCTAAACGAACGGACGCTATTGGAATACATTACAAATACTTCGAACATTCCCATTGTTAACGCTGCTATGAGAGGAAAAGACTAATAATCACATTACCGCATTAGGGTATTATGTTGCACTAATGACATCATAACATTCAGATAACCTGTACCAATATCACAGCGTTTAGGTATTGTTTTCTCGTAAATGATATTATGGCATCAGGGGGCCGTGCACAAAGAATAACATTAACCAAAAACTTTGGACTCATCTGATAAGAGTAGTGGTATGTGGCTTTTGCAAGAGCCTCGTCGATTAGAGTCCAGAGTTATCGGGATATGAAAGGGTCGCATTTAACTTGTTGTATCATTTCAAGTTTAAATATGTCTTTTCCGCTCTTTTTCTCACAACGCACACGCTTAACAACTTACCTCCTATCTTAATTCACGACAAGGAGGGGGTGTGCAGATCGAACTAGGAGCGTGAGTGCTTCATGCCGTCCGACAAAGGTACAGAGTACGATAAACAACTAGTTACAACTGAATTACTTCTCGCGCAAAAAAACATTTTGTGTGCCGACGCGTGACAAGAAACCCAGAAGACCCACTGGAAAAAATAGGGACGTATTCCCTATCCTAATGCTAGGCACCAACCTCTGAGGGTTAGAGGTAAAACAGGCTAAATTATGTGAAAAAATTAACTTAAAGCTCGAAAAGTTCGAAAAATGAGATGTATACATTACAAATGTCAAACCTTCTTTTCGAACTACAGCAATATATCATATATATTAAAATAAAATAGAATAAACACAGAACTGATTCCGCTATGCGAAGAAAAAATAAATTTGCAAGTCTTTTGTATTCGTTTTACAAAACGATAATTGGCATGTATCTCAACAGACATGAGTCCCTGGCATGGCTATTTGCAAAAGATAACGCACTTCACGTCATCACACGTTGTTATCTAAAAAAGCAATTGGACTGATATTTCTTCGCAATTGGTATTCACCATCATTTTGTTCAATCGAAACAATAAATTAACTACATGAAAATAACTGATAACTGAAAGTTTACTGTTATTACTGGTAACAGAACCATCTGTAATTTTCCTCTGCTCACAAAACTAAAAGTTAGACATATGTATCGTGAAAACGTTAATTTATATCGTTTCAAACATATTTTCATTCATTCAAATGTTAGTGTAAACTTGATTCTGACTGTCAGAGGGTTTTTGTAAATCCTTTCATAAGTTGCACAAACGATATCAAATAATGTTTTTATGATGCCTAAGCGCTTCTGTTGCCGTTAGTTTCCTCAAAATAATATTAAAGAAAGCAAACAAACAGAAAAAAGCAAAACAACAACAACAACAAAAATAACAACTTACCCTCGGAAATCTCACAAATATAAGAGTGGTTATATCCTATTCTCATGACATTAACACCGCCAAACACGCCCTGCTCCCCATTACTGGACCACTTGTACATGAAAGCCGCGTCGTGTTCACCTCTTGGCTCCCCTTGTTCCCATTTGCAAATAGTCAGTGGTCTTCCATTCACCCAAGTCCAATTCCCGGCCTTTTTTGTTAAACCAATACTCCACTTATTTTCATAGTACGTAGTATTTCGCCTTTGAATCTGGTCATTGATGAAATTCCATTCTTCTTCGGTTTCAATGGAAACTAGGTACCCTCCTTGGTTTTGGCAGGCTTCTCTGCCCCAGAGCCAGCTATTGGGCCAGTACGTTTCGTGCACCGAAATTATGTACCAAGAGTTTTTAAAAGTTATATTTAGGCATTCTACAAAATGATAAAAATAAAAGCAAAAATACTAGTTACCATAATGATAATCAAAGTGATAAATAATAATAATGATGATGACATAAAAAGATAAAAATCACAATCACAATGAAGGAGAAAAATAAATGAGAAAGAAAACGGGACTTATTTTTCATATAATTCCTTTTTTTTTCTACAGTTCTATGATTTTTTTTATATGAATCCTGTTTTTTTTTTTTAACACCTCCAGTTTATGTTCGATCAGTGTCAATTAATACTATACATCTTTCTTCCTTACGGCGTCCGCCATCTCCAACCTGCTTTTCTGAATTAGTTAACTTCACATCAGCTAAGATTATCTGTGAGTTCATGCAATTTTGGTAGTCGAGTTTTTGAAAATTAATTATTTCCTTGTTGAGCTGACACCACCCTCACCCCGCCCCCTATTCTTCCTCCCCCATCTGAACAGACTTAAAAAACGTAAAATTAAATGTGAATGTAAGTTCTTATAAATGTGCAACTGGAGATACGCAGTTCACCGCATACAGTTGTTATGGGAAAGGTTATGGAAAAAACAAAAACAACAATTTAAAGTACATGAGATAAAATCAAAAGATTATCTTGGTGGCGGTAATCAACATTGACATGTAAAGTAAGTAAAGATAAATTAATTAGGGTTTGCTTGTACTTTTTATCCATTTTTCATGCAGTTTGGAATTTAAAGTCAGTCGTATTAAAAACAGGTTCAAACCCGTGATGACTCGTCCTTAAAGTGACATTTTCTCAGATTTCCCTGAAATCCCGAGGTCGTCTGACCATGACCTGAAAGCCACCCACAATACCTGTCAAGGTTATCGCTTGAACTTCTGACACGCTTTTTCCCGAAAACTTCTCCCAAAAGAGCTGTATTTATTATTTTTTTTTCTAAGAGGGCACGGTAACGAGTCCTGCAATCTTTGTGGTTCTTAATGCGGTCCGGATTTTCTTTTGTCTGCTCAGCGGCACTGCAACGCTTGTTCGAGTCGCTATTATTATCCCAATCTCAGCGCGCTCGACAAAAGTTGTGAAATGTACAGTTTCCATCGCTGTTTTTCCAGCTGCAGGCGATGCAAAAAAGGGAAAATCCCAGGGTGATCATTTTTTTTCGAAACATATGTCCCCGTTTTTGTCATGGCCATTATGTTCAACTACTGATACACGCTTCAAAGTTCATTCGTCGCTCATACGTACGAGTTAGGTGAGCCGAGTATATTATGTGAACAACATTTTTACTTTTAAGAAGCAAGAGAAATTTTCCTGACACAAGTGCAAGACTGCTGATGTTTCAGCACATAATATACTTCATGGTTGGAATGTGATCTTACCTCCGGGCATCTCGCAAATGAAGGCGTTTTCATCACCCCAAGAGATACCATTAAAGAGACCTCCATTCTTAGATATTTCCGCGCAAGAGTCGTTACCATCTGGCTGAGAATCTCGCCATTTCGAAATACTTAGTTTTTCTCCACTCAACCATGTCCAATCTCCGGAAATCTTCCATAAACCAATGTGCCACGCACTAGTATTCGAATTACCACGCTTTTGAATCTCATGACTGATAAACTGCCATTCTTTTTCAGTTTCGATGGAGACTAAGTTACCTCCCTGGTAGTGACAGACGTGCCAGTTCTCATACCAATCTCTTCCGCTTTTCGAAAATATGTAGGATGAGTTTTTGAAACAGGTTGCTTGGCACTCTATGGGAAAAAATTAATGGAATAAATAAACGAAAAAAAATGTATACTGATTATAACAATAGTGATAATTCTGATGATGAAGACAAAGGAATAAATGAATAAACGAAAAAATGTATACTGATGACAATAGTAATAACGATAAAGATGGAGAAGAGAAAAAAAATATACCATTAATGATAAAAAAAACAATGGGCATCAAAACCCTCTACCTCACCGAAGGAAAAATTAGAATTAGGCAAGGTTTTAAAAGTGGAAATTGGGGAATCAGGGTAATAGCACCGTCAGTCTCTGACTTTTTTGTTTTGTTTTCCAACTAAAGTTTTTAATCGCAAAACGATGTCATTCCAGCAGGAAGTCTGACTAATTATTTTAATAATTCAGTCAGATCCTTTTTTTTCAGTTCATTTTAAGATACTTAAATATTAAATTGTGATTACACTGCCTCACCTGTTCCTGGCAATTCCACCATGAAATGAAGGATGACTGTAGAAGAGAAAATGGGAAAAGTATTTGATTGTTATGTCGAAAATAACATTTGAAACAACAAAAGAGTTTCTCAGATTTCAAGTTAGACTATTCGCCACAATCTACCCATAACTTTTTTATCTTCCCTAAAGAGCTATCTAAGAAATTGAAAGAAAGAAATGCAGCATCTCCGCAACCAGCTAAACAAAACTTGTTACATATCGAAAACATTTTTAAGGATACGGTTGATCTTCGCGAATGTTCAAGGGATTCGTTTGGTTGACGTTACTCGCAGGTGTAACTAAGAAAGTATTATGTAAAGGGAAAAGGAGATGGACTAAACCCGAGCTAAATTGCCCTGAACCAGCCACAAGAAATTCACAAGATGTAAAATAACAAACAATTGGGGGGTTATATTTGTCCCTATTCAAAACTAATCCAAATCTTTTAATGTTGAGAGCACGATTGTTTATTACCATGCGAATCCTTATATTTCATTAACCCATTGTTTAACGAGAACATATTTGCAAATTCCCAGATGCTTACTGTAAGAGCTTGGGTCTCCTGTGGTTGGACGTCAAGGTAGATCGATAAAAAAACAATAACAGCAACAAAGAACTAACAAACATATTTCTCTTAAAACCTTATCTTCTTTATACCCGAAAACAAAATCTCGAACAGGGTTAAGGTATTATATATATGTTATTTGCCGGCTGGGAGGTCCGTATGGTGAAAAACTGTGACCGAGGTCTTGAAAATACATTTTCAAGACCGAGGTCACAGTTTTTCACCATACGGACCGACCCTTAGCCGGTAAATAACATATTTATTGTTTTTAAACTTGACGAAATTCCTTCCGAAAGAACCCGAATGATTTATGGCCGTAAATACGGCAAGATCTTCCATAAACTGAACAATTTTTGAGTGAGTAAATGGTAGTTAAAATAGAAGTGATGCAAATTTAAGAGAGATGCCTCAGCGAAACATTTTCATTTCCGTAACGATGAAGGTGATTTAAAAGGCTTCCAAACAAAGTTGGAAACATTATTTTTAAAACTATCTGTCACAATCTGACACCTGTCAATTAGAGAGCGCGTAAGAAAAAAAAAGCGCAAGAAGATTTGAAAAACAACGGAACTAGTTTGGCAAGGACTGTCACGACAATGTTTTCTTCAAAAACAATCAATGATATAACTGAAAGCATTATTCACTCTCATCGACGATTCATTCATGTACGAAGATTTACCTCTGTTCATTAAGTAAACGGCGAGGAAAGTAATTGTGAGTAAATTCAAATTTTTTATTTTGAAGTTGTGAGAGTTTGCTCGTTTGTTTGCTGCAACGGCGTGTGTAAATCTGGTCTTTCCTCCACAAAAACTGAATTCGAACGGCACACTCCAACGAGACACAAGGGGATTTAATGCGGCCTTTTCTCAATAAATTCCTTCAGTTTCTGTTGTGCAATTTATGGTCCAAATGTCCAAATTGAACGGACTTTGAAAGACTCACCGAGAGCGTATATTTATTGTCGAACTGAAATTAAAACTTCGCTCGCTCTTTTACTACGAACAAATTGTTTGAGAAAATTCAGACATTAAATGAATGAAAGTTCCATTGTTCAGTTTACCTGTAACCAAATACCTCACGTTTTAACTTTCTAAGTACTTTTTGTGAATGATTAAAATCAATTGCAGACGGTTTTTAGGCCGCTTGTCAACCGACGTAATGACACCATTGCCTATACAAATTCATTCTGAAACCAATATTTTTTGTCAACTAAATTGATTTGAGAGAGAGAAAGAGAGGATTCTTAAGTCGGCTTGAGGTAGTGACCGATGTGTTTGCTTAAAAATACTGCCCAGCGGGCAAAACGAGATATATTTATGAAAAATGGCAACGAAAGTTGAGATGTACACGGCGACTCACGAAAGCGTTACCGTGGACCGTGGGCAGAGATAGGAAAATACTGACCGGGTAAAGAACCAATCAGATTGCAGGATTCGTTACCGTGCCCTCTAAAAAAACAATAATAGTTTTTATTATTATTTTTCATATCAGGGCAATTGCGGGAGATCCATTTCAAAAAACGGAACCCCCACCGGGTTTTGCGGTTGGTACGTTGGGGAGTCCGAAAATCAAATTTCAAGGCAAACTGTATGGTTTACATTGTCTATTATCGCGTAGTAAAAAGGATTTTTTTTCTTTTTGCTTACAAAGCTCTGTCAACAATGCCGACCACCAATAGAAACACAGAAGTGTCCCGCGTTGTCTCGGGAGACTCTTAGCAAAAACATATTTTGCGGATAATAGATGCCCGAACCAGACTGCTGAACGGCAATTTGGATTGAATTTTTTTCTTTAACTCAAAAGCGGCTTGAGCACGCTGAGGCAGAACTCGTTAATGTTTGCTGACCGTGTGCGCGTCGCTTCAACCACGAGCCCTTATCCGTTTCGGTGAGTTTCTTGAACAAATCTTCATTGAGTTTCCTCAATTCTTGTACTTACAGCTAGGATTCTTTTTTAGTTTCGCCTTAGGAATCTCTCCTTTTTTTTTTATCTGTGGCCAATCACAGTCTAGTTTTAAACGTAGACAAATAACAAAGTCTCAACATGCAACCGAAATCAGAAGATGTTTACACAACGGATGTACTTCTAATGGGAAGTCTATGACTAATTATTGTTGTAAACTAGTGAGATATTGTTTTTTCGTGGAACATTTTAAGGTATATAAATGCTGAAATTGGAATTACACCACCTCGCTGTTCCGTGCGATTTCATTTCAAACAATGAAATAATACTGACAAAATATCTTATAGCA